GAAAACCAGCACCGGAGTACTGGACAGCTGTTTCATCCTAGTTTGGGAATCATTGGCAGTGCGCACCCACCGGGGTTCAAACCCAGGACCTTCCGGTTATAAGGCAAGCTGGCTCGTATACCATTTAGCCACTGGAACCCGATTCAATGTCCAGCCCATGAATTCTAACTTCTATCAATTCGTGATTTAGCGCGACCTCAACCAATGTCGTCGTTGGGACATCCATCCTCACACGTGACATCACTGGTCACGACTTCTGACTAGAAACCCACGAAACTCCATCCTGTAACAAGGCACTAGCGACCATCAGATTAATTTTCTATAGTTTGGTTTGTGAGGGTTAGTTTTTTTTACGAGCTTGCCTTGTAACCGGAAGGTCCTGGGTTCGAACTCCCTGTAGTGGGTGCGTACTGCCGATGATTCCCAAACTGTCCAGTACTCCCTGGTTTTCAATGGTTCTCTAACGGATATTATTATTATTATTAACCTACCTTGGTAATCCTTATCTGATTGGATAACCAAACGTTGTGTTAATTATTCTTATTATTTGTAAATCCTTTTGTCAATTTGTTTAATTTAATTGACCTTTATTGTTTTCCATATAAATTGACTTGACAGGTGAATGTGTAAAGGATCAGATTGTTCAAAATGTATTGCACAAATACATCACATCACATCACATTTTTCAGATAATCTCCGTCTTCTAATAACAGCACTATCCAAATAATAATAATAATAAATATCGAATATACAAGATTGCATAAAAATGCTGTCTAGCAATTATACAGTCCAAAAGTTTCTCAAGTACAAAATACGTGTACTGTACAACAACATTAATTGACTAAAAATAATTTATAGGGACACATGAGTCAACAAAGAGATCTGCTCTTTTCGTAACTTCACTTCAAAGCTCAGCAGTTATTTAGGGTGTTTATATGATTTAATATAAATTGACTATAGAGGACAAAGGTAATTGTCAGTTAGTAATAAAAATAAAAACCAGTGATTCAGTGAAGAATTTATCATCAAGCTGTACAATCGTATATATATGGTTTTTTAAGAAATTATATCCGGTGAGGGAATTGAAACAGGTGTGAATGCATAAAATAATAATAATAGTAGTATGAAATGCAATTAAAACTAAAATGTTTGTGATTATAATCATAGTTAAATGTCAAGTGGCAAAGCAAATTAATCTCATATATAGAATAATTCATAGGATGTATAAAACTTGAAAAAGGTTGCGCAATTATAAGATTAGTAGACAAATCGAATAAAATAAAACGTTACGTAATATTGTGTGAAATTTAATAGCATAGAATTTAATCTTGTAAAAAGGAATTGATTTAGAATGACAAGTGGAACAAGAGCAATAATACCGGGGAAAATTAAAAGTGAGAGTAGTAATAGTAACAATTGACTTAATAAGGAAGAGTATACAAATTGAATAGACAAAATGAAAAAATTGGTAGAGCTAAAATATGATTGGGGATTACCATACTTTAGCATAGAGGAATTAAGACCATGAAAGTTGGAGGGGTTCAATGAACTTTTTCTGTACACAGAGATCTGACTTTGCTGTTTCGATAATCAAAGTGGATAAGTAATAAGTATGTTTGAAAAAAAATAGGAATAGTCTTACGTAATCATTAGGGTTGACAACTAATTAGGTGAGTGATTAGCAACCGTTTGCAGATCGGTAATAAGAGACAAGAGAACAAAAGATTGAAAATGATTTGCAAAGACACAAAACCAACGTCATAGACCTTGAATAAAGCAAGAACAACAGTGGTTTGTGGAGAATAATATGGTACCATCATTTATTTCATTGGGTTCTCATCAGCTGCTTACAGCCTAAATAAGTTAACAAGTTTATGCATAAAACAATTTTGAGATACTTGAAAATTTTACATGATGTCAGTTAACAGGAGGTTCTGGGATCAGTGAGTATTGCTCAGAAAATTACACTCATATAGTTCAACTTTGGATTAAAGTCAGCGAATGCACACACTGGTAAAGGAGTTATGTGATAAAGACAAGAAGTGATTAGGATAATGAGTCACTAATAAATTGAAAAATAAGATCCGGATTTTCAACTCCAATGTGAAGTCAGTGCTACTATACGGATCAGAAACTTGACGCGTCATAAAGAGCACCTCAAACAAACTACAGACCTTCATTAACAGCTGTCTTCAGTCAATACTCAAGATCAGATGGCCGGCCAGAAAAGATCAGCAACAGAGATCTCTGGGAGCGAACCAAGCATGAACCGATTGTGAAACAAATAGGCAGGAAGAAATGGAGATGGGTTGGCCATACTCAGAGGAAACTATCAAGTGACATCACTAGACAAGCCATTGCTCGAGTGGAACCCGAAAGGGAAGCGGCGAGTTGGTTGTCAGTGTGAGGGTGACTTGGAGGAGGTCATGTGAAGAGGAGATGAAAGCATGTGGACAGACTTGGAGCCAGAGACGCGTGGCTGAAGCCCTATGTTCCTCTAGTAATTAAAGGAAATAATAATAATAAGTTGAGCAACAATATAGTGAGTTCAATTCAAGTCATAGAAACAAGAGACAAGCAAAACTACACTATATCAAAGGTGAGGTGAGACAGAGGGTAAACACATCCAGTTACCAGAGCAAAGAAAGATTGATAACTGCTTCTTTCTGACATACACCTTATTACAGAGTTATTCAGGGAAACAAAGAAGGAAGAAAAAGGATGAAAATAACAGCGACAAAACCTTAGTAGTAAAAGAGGCTGGATGATGAGACATTTTTGGACACAAAGTTCAGGTTTCCCCTTAAGAGTTGCTAAGACTTTAGCTGCATAAAGAAGATGTAAGTGAAATCCCTTCGAACGACTTGGCTGATGAATCTGCATCACCAGAAGTAATAATATGCTCCAGAACTGATTTGTTAACTCTTCTAAGTTCTCATTTTGACAACTATGCTAGGAAGTGTTCATAGGTACAATTAGCTCCATCGAAGCAGGTGAATTGGTAAATACACATTATAAATTACCTGAGGAAAATGAGAATATTCCCAATAAGGTGAAATCGAAACCATGTTTGCAAGAATGAAATAGAATAGAAACCGCTTCCTGAAGGTAATCTATGGTTAAACAGTTACTCCATTGAGGAACCATGACTTCGCTCATCACACAAATAACGTATTGCCAACATCATTACACAACAGCAGCATTAAGCATAAGAATAGCCAAAAAATAGGCATCAGTTTGCTCGGTCTTTCTGTGAGATGTGACCGTTGACAGCGATTGATATAAACAGGTTAGCTGTCATCAAGCACAGATATTTGTATTCAAGTGTTGGCTGCTCACTAGTGACTGGCTCTATTCATGTAGGTAGTAGTTACCTGGGGTTCTAATGAGACGTCGTGACTAGCAGGGTGGTGCAGCAGGTTGGGTGTGGGGACAAATACTCGCCGAAGACATTGGTTAGCGGTCGCGCTTTGTCACGAATTGGTGGAAATTGGAATTTATGGGTTGGCCATCAGATCGGGTCCCAGTGGCTGATGAATGGTCTATGGGCTCGCCATGTAACCAGAAGGTCCTGGGTTTGAACTTCACTGTGGTGGAGGCGTACTGCTGCAGAGTCCCAAACTAGGCTGACTAAACAGCTGTCCACTACTCCCTGCAGGTTTTCCAATGATTCTCTGACCGATGTGTCAGCTCATGATGAAATCCTCTAACTAATCAGGATTAAGTCAAAAGGAGATATAAAAACAGTGGAATAATGACAAACAGGCGATAGGAAGAAAGGCGGTAATTACAAAAATAGTTGAAATATTTGAATAAGTGTCAAAATTGCAAGGAGATTGTTTATTAAGGGATTTTCAGATGGATAATTTTGCTAAAGTAGTTCACATTTGAACAAAATTTGATTAATTCGATATGCTATGGTAGGTGACATCTGATTCTATCATGTATGGATGGGATTTTTTCCTCATTAACATACCAGTATAAGAATAAAAAATACGTCATGTATAAAGTGGATGTCTCATTGCAGAAACCTGGTGCTTATTATTATCATCATTATTATTCCCTTGATTTGCGAGTGGAACATAGTGTTTCAGCAACCCATCTATATTCCACTGTGTTCTCTGAAATCTTCTTCTATCTAGCTGCACGATTCTTCATAGACTTTCATTTCGTCAATGTCGCCCTTGAACGCTCAACTCATAAACTGTCATTTGGGATCCACTCTAGGACTTGGTTTATCATGTCACTCAATAGTGTCTCCTTAGCATATGTTCAATCCATTTCTGCATTTCACATTTATTTAACTAGTAACTGGTATATATTTGTATTCTGTTTTAATAATCTGATTGAACACTAGTCAGTAACTAGTGTAATGTGTGTAGTCCTATCTTTGGTGCACACTGGATTCTATCAGTCAAGTTTGCAACGTGGACACCATACTAGGTAGCTTGCCATCACGGCGCACAGTGAATTGTTGACATTAGATGGTTGAAAGTAATCGCCAGGAAGTCTTGCCGGATCTAGGTTCGTGCTTATCGGCACACACCAGTCAGCAAGTATATCTACAGCCTTGCGGGGGAACTCATGTCCCCACCTAGCATAGTGGGCACATTTCAAACTTTACTGATGGTATTCAGTGTGCATCAACCAAAGAACAATCAAACACGGTCCTACGGGAGGTCAATTGCGAGCCCGAAGAGCTCAGTAGAAACGTCTCTGACTACAGCACTGGGTGATACGGGTTCGAATCTCAGAAAGGACATGAGTTCCTTCATAGTTGTAGATACATCTTACTGATTAGTACCGTCCAGTACAAAACCTAGTTCAAGCAAGGCTTCCTTCCGATCGCCTCCAGTCATCTAGCACACTATTTTATAATACAATTTAGTTGTTACTTTTTATTGTTCTATTTGTTCTAACTTACGATTTACTTTTTATTATTATTATTAATATGGTCTTTTAATAATTTTCTATTATGCTGTTATATTTCAATTTTGTAGTTCCCAGATATTCGATCAAATATGATCTGGTTGTGTTCTTTATCTATGAAACAAGATCTAGCAACATTCAAACCAGTAGCAAGCAATAATCCATCTAGTTCATCATCTTCAATCATGCATACTTCTTCAGAGTATTCTGCAAGAATTAAAAGTTTAATTACTATTGTACGCATGGATAATAATTCTGCATGTCAGATAGTTGATTCATTTGCTATTTGTAGTTCAACAGTACTGTGTATTTGTGCTGTACCAGGTAGGTATTTGTAAGCTTAGCTTATATTTTTTTCATTTACTTTTGTTACTTGGGAAATCCGCAGTGTACATTTCATCCTCTATAAGACTCTTCAGCTGGATGTACACCTGCAGTCTCCACTGAATCTCGAGCCGAGTACCAATCGTTTCAAAATCCAAGGCATTATCCACTAGACCATCTAAGCCGTGAGAGCTCTCACCTCTTTTTACAACGGGTGTCAGGTATTACTTTGTTTTTAATTCAGTTCTGAATGAAATGTACGGCCTGTCTACATCCATCTGACGAGTCCCGAGTAAGACGAAATGTGTGTCCTGGATTTTTCCATTGCTAATGTCACCATCCACTAAATTACTTCAGGTTGATCTTCAGACATCGTTACAAACACCCGCACAAGAGGCCATCCTGCCCACAGAGGCTGAATATTTCAACCCCATCAATTAACGGGTATGTGCTTTGCGCCGTTTAAGTGCAAAGTACTGTTACAAGATTGGCAGGAGTCTGTACCTGCACTCACTCTTGCGGGTGAACCGCTTAAAGTTGTTGATAAGTTTGTGTATCTGGGTAGTTGTGTGAGTGCTGGCGGAGGGGTGACGGATGAGATTTCCAACCGTATAATGAAGGCTAGGGTGGCATACATCAACTTGAGCCACCTCTGGCGCCTTCGCGACGTTAGCCTGGCTGTCAAAGGTCGGGTATACAATGCTGTACGCCTGTGAAACCTGGCCTCTCCGAGCTGAGGATGTGCGACGACTCTGCGTGTTCGATCATCGCTGTCTCCGCAGGATTGCTCGCGTTCTATGTTATCATCGCGTGAGTAATCCTGAGGTTCGGCGGTGTGTGTTTGAACACAGTGGAGGTCACCATTCATTGAATGTCGTCATCTGGAAACACCGACTTCGGTGGCTTGGACATGTGCTGCGAATGTCATCCCAGAGGCTTCCGTACAGGTCTCTGTTCACTAGCCCTAGGACGGGATGGAAAAGGCGGAGGGGTGGTCAGTCCATGACGTGGCGTCGTGAAATGAAGGATATTTGTGCTAGATCGGATGTGGCCAAGAATCGTAATCAATGGCGAACGTGTTGCAACTTTCTTCTTTCTTCCCTTCCTGATGATAGTTAACGAATACTGTTTGAACTTTTTAAGCATGACTGTTTTCCTTCCAGATGAAGTTCTTTATCCGTTTTTTACTTATATTTTTACTTTTAATCTATGTTGTTTTATTATTATTGTGTGGTGCATCTTTCTTGGTGCCATATTGTACCAAGTTTTTTCTGTGTTTAAATAAATAATTAAATTAATTAACGGGAAAATTAAAGTTGAATTAAAAATCAATATTTTTCATTCTGTACACACAGTTATTTAAATGTGTAGGCTTATAGACTTATATGTGTATATATGGCATATATCATGTGACTGTGTTTACTGTCAATATCCTATGTTTTCACAATAATTGTCAGCATATCTGGTCGGAATGAAATGTTTATATTATTCATTCATTATTGTATTATTTTGTTTGCTGTTTTGTTTTCATTTTGAATGTCTAGCAATTGTTGAAGTCGTCATTCCCTTTTATAAGCGTCTGAAATTGTAGCTAGGTGATTGAAATGTACTTTTGGACAATTATGCCTAAATTGCATTTCAAAAGTGGGGGAGTTTGTGATTCAAAAAGCTTATTAACTGTTTGATATATCCGACTATCGACCAAACGGCAAGTGTACTGCTCATCAGTCCGCTCTGTCCTCCTTTATAGATGGCTGTGAGACCTGGCCATTGAGAGCGGAAGACATGAAAAGACTAGCTGTCTTCGATCATAGGTGTCTGCGTTCTATCTCCTGCGTGAAGTGGTATAATAAGGTGAGCAATATTGAGGTTAGGCGTCGAGTTCTAGGTAAGGAGGGAGAATCGATGGACGAGGCTGTGAAGGTATATCGATTGAGATGGTTGGACATGTGTTACGTATGCCTAGCCATCGCCTTCCTCGACAATGGACAATGTTAGCTGACATAGAGTAAGGCTGGAAAAGAGACAGCGGCGGTCAAACCAAAACATGGCCCCATCAGTCAATGAAATCTACAACAGTTAGTTTAAGCCAACCACGTAGGAAGGTGTAGACTTCATCATGGTTTGGATCCTCGGGATGGTAAACACCAATGGTTGGAGACTATTGGTGATATGGCTCGAAATCGTTCTCAATGGCTGTCACAGATGCAACCACTCCTTGTGACTTATAATACCCAATGAAACTATATTGTTCTTCACTATTACTACTCCTTTGTCTCACACTTCAAATTAGTGTCTCTATTATGAATTTCTTCTACTTTCTTTTCTTGCTTTGTGTGTGCTACATGGAGTGTGGAGACTCGAACTGCCACACATATGTGCAAAGTTCTATGTCGAAAACAGACAGACAGATAGTTTGATATAAGTATCAGTGGGAACCAAGAGAGGTGTGTGTCGTCTTATTTGCCTGATATCAGCAAAATGTACCTACATTCCAAAGAATGACGACATTTGTTCAGAAACCAGGACCGAGATCTATTGGGCTAGTGCTACACGCAAAACCGCATTTCACTGGTGCTTGAAGTTATTCTACGAAAGATGAATCGTAAACTTCACTGATTGACTGACTAGTTTCATCGTAGGACTTTGCACAGATGTGCAGCAGTTCCAGTCGCCACACTTCACTTATCACACACAAAGCAAGAGAAGAAAAAAGAAATGCAAAACAGTGACAGTAAACAGAGATATGAGGCAAAAAATAGTAATATCGAAGAACTATTTAGTTTTATTGGATACTGTAAGTCACAAGCAGTGGTTACATCTGCACCATTGAGAACGATTTTTAGCCATATCACCAATTGTCTCCAGCCATTGGTTTTTACCTTCCCGAGGACCCGAACCAGTCAGGCTGTCTACACCCCATTACGAGGTTGGCTTAAACTAATTGTTGTGGATTTCATTGACTGGTGCCATGTTTTGGTTTGACCACAACTGGCCTACTCTTTTCCAAACTGATCCTTTGTCAGCTTTCATTGCCCGTCGAGGAAGGTGAATACTTGGTATGCGTAACTCATGGTGTCACTTCACAACCTCGTATATTGATTTCTCCTCCTCATCTAGCACTCGACCGATGTCTAACCTCAATATTGCTCGTCATATTATACAATTTAGCACTGAGAATGGAATGTAGACGTCTATGATCAAAGACAGGTAGCCTCTTCATGTCTTTCACTTTCAGTAGTCTGGTCTCACAGCCATGCATTAGGGTGGAAGGAACTGCTGAGTAGTACACACGTCCTTTGGTCGATAGCCGGATATTACATCTACGCCAGAGGCATCTTAAACTGGCATATGCGAAACGAGCCTCCTGTATCCGTGCTGAGATTTTTTTGATTTTGATTACAGCTTGATACCGCACCGTATTTTCAGTACAAGTATGGAATTTTCAGCATGGATATCGGTAGCCCAAATTTACAGGCAGACCATAGATATCGGGTGTGCATCGGCAGGAGAATCGAACCCCGGACCATGTGCATGGTCGGCGAGAGTCCTAACCACTGTACCACCGACGCAGCGATCAACTGCACTGCTAGCTGACATCTAGCAAACAACCTCGTTATTCGAGAGAACTCGATATCGGTGTGTCCGTATAAGAATTTTATTTATTATTATTTTATTTCTCTGACTTCCGAGTGGAACACCCAGGGCTTCAAACGTGAGCTTCGAAGTTTCGATAGCAGTGGCGTTACACTTTTTTTACTGGGTGGACTTATGAGTCCCAAGCCCCAACCTTCCCTCCTCACGTGCTTACCACCGGCTGAGCTAGGTTTAAGAGTGAATCGGCTGGGCTGGGGTAGTCGAACCCTGGACCACATGTGTGGCTGAAGAGCATTCTACAGTTGACCTACCGACGCAGCGGCTGAGCGGTCAACGAACTTGGTCTTGTAACCTTAGGGTTAAATAGGAGGAAGTGGTTGTCGATTCATATAACCGATATGAAACGAGTAACCGGTCAATTAAAGTGCTTTGAAACTAACAACTGGAAGTAACAATATTTGTTTTTTTTTCTTTTATAAAAATCGTCTGTTTCCGGAAGCTACTTTCTTCACAGAAAAAAAGAACTCCCCCACCCAACGCATTCATGCGAAATCCGTGTAGTTTTGCTACCCCACTCTTTTTAAAGTGGTATACATAACAAAATATTGTATTATACCAGAAAGTATTGACGTATTCATCACATGGTCGTCAAATGATTGGCTAATAATTCTACGGATGACCTTTACATCTTCACATGACCAATGCCTATTATACGCCTAAATATCCAATCCCGAATTCTCTGTATTGTTGCAAACTTTTCAAATCAGCAGACTAAGTAAACCTGTATTCTTTCTCGTCAATGAAAATTTCACTTCTTTTTGTAATCCCTATAAAATTGCATTAAGTGTAATCTCTAAGTTACCGAAGTGTGTACTTACATATTCAATCAAGTTAACGACACTATGTCGTTATTTGGCGCGGATAGTCCGTAGCAATGGAATGTCCTATTTGGAACTCATCAGCGTGATTTAGGTACAATGTCCAGTGAGTGATGGTGTTCCTCCACTGAGACTTGAACCAAACATTCATCCATCGTTGCATACGGCAAAGTTTTTCCATTTAGGCCACGATAGCCACCTTTTGTTACCTTTTCGCAGGACTCATGTAGCGTTTTATTATTATTATTATTATTATTGTTCCCTTGGGTTCCTAGTGGAACATAGGGCTTCAACTGCACGTCTCCACTTGCTTCTGTCTTCTGCTGTACTTTTCACCTGCATCCATGTTAGTCCATACTGTTTCAACTCCTCTTCACACGATCTGCTCCATGTCACCCTTGGACATCCCACTCGCGACTTCCCTTTCGGGTTCCGCTCGAGCGTTGGCCTGACGCACGATGTCACCACGCAGCGGCCTCCTCAGCGAGTGTCCAATCCATCCATCTCCACTTTCTCCTGCATATTTGTTGAGCGATTGGTTCTTGTTTCGTTTGTTTGTTCCCATAGTTTCTTGTTGGTGAATCTTTCCGGCCATCTGATCTTCAGTATAGAGCCAGCGAAGACAGTTGTTGATAAAGGTCTGCAACAGGCTGTTGGAAATATTCTTTGTGACACACTGGCCAAGTTTCTGATCCGTATAGAAGAATTGACTGACTTGACGTTTGTATTGAAAATCCGAATTTCGTTGATGTTGAGTGACGAAGATTTCCAGATTGGTTTCAGGTTGATGAATGTGTTTCTCGCCTTCCCGATTCTCGATTTGACATCTTCGTCCGTTCCTCCTGTAGTTGATACAATGCTCCCCTAGATAAGTGAAAGAAGTAACCTCTTTCAAATCGCTCCCGTTGATGGTGAATTGCGCTGGATGTTGTTGCTGCTGTTGTTGTTGGTTGGTTATTTTCATAACCTCCGTCTTGTCTATGTTCACCTGGAGTCCTGTCTTTGCCGCTTCTTCGACCAGTTTGCATGAATTGGTGATACTTTACAAAATAGAGTGTTTCATCAGTTAAAGAATAATGAAGAAAAAAATCATCTGAGTACTGGACGGTTGTTTCGTCATTGTTTGTAACTTGTCATCTGTAGTGTACAGAAGCTGCCCTATCAAGGCGCTCGAATTAAGGCCCTTTAGGTTAATCGGTGAGTAGATTGCTATTCAGCCTTTTAACTTATAACGTGTCCGGTGATGATTCGCGGCAAATGTCACTGATGATGACGATGGAACTTTGGGAAATTTATATGAAAGCTAGTCAGTAATAACAAACAGTTAGTCAATAAATCTTAAGTTAGTAGCTTCATACACGAAGGCTATCTCGAGTGAATACTTTATATGTTAAACTGTAAGATCGGGAAAGGAACGAGCTCACCAATGAATAATGTTCAGTGACCTGTGATAAACAAACAGATTTGAAATAAAAATGGGTTTACTAGAGAGATTGTCCTCTTATCAGACTTGGTGGGCCCTACTGGTGACCACTTCCCACTAGAGCCCCAGGTATATCTTGAATAGAGCCAGTCGCTGGTGAGCTAAATAAATATCACGAATTGCTAGGAGTTGGATTTCATGGACCATTGGGTCGGGTCTCAGTGACTTAATGGTCTGTGAGCTCGCCTTGCAACCGGAAGGTCCTGGGTTCGGACGCCGTTGGGTGTGTACTAATGAAGAGTCTCAGACTGGGACGAAGCGGCTGCCCAGTACTCCAGTATTGGTTTTCAGTGGTTCTCTAACTGATATCATCACGTGATCAATCCTGTAAGCAATCGAATCCCCGTAAACCAACACTTGATTCCTTTTTTTTACTTTCCCCGAAATTACCTTTTTTTATTGAAATTACTCGATCCAAGGATTCTGGGGCCCCAAACTTTTGTTTCCTTTACACCCCAAGTTGAAAATACCTCTACAGGCCAGGGCTGTGAAGTTTCGGTAGCAGTGGTTTTATTTTTATTGGGCGGGGTTGCGAGCCTCTCTCCCAGCCTTTCTTTACCGTCCCTACCATCGGCCGGGGATCGAATCCCGAACTAAATGAGATATGGTTGACGGGCATTATACCACCGAACCACCGACACAATATAACTTCGTAGTGTATACTTAACTATCTATTCATTCATTCAATGACCTAATAAATTCCCGTTATCGTTTCGTTTGAATTAAGCGCTGAAAATTGTTGTCTATATGTACTATAAAGCTTTTCAGCTGAACCACACACCTAACAGAACACAACCGCATTAAAAACACCTACCCAATCAAGAAGTTAAGCTAACTTTTCTATGTATATTATAGTTACAAACAGATTATTCGATACATTTCATTTATCCCTTTTATTATGAGAATAACACTGACTGTAAACAGTTTTTTGATGATTATCCCTAATGAAACAATAACTAGGTCATTTTCTCCTTCTATATGGCTTTAAAGTGTATACTTAATTCAGTTTTAGATTTTCCCGTCGATTGACCTGACACCGAGCACTTCGGTCCTATCAATCGACGGAAAAATCTATGATTGAATTAAATAATTAATAAGACCCGTTGTACAAGAGGTGGCCCAAGTGGTCTAGTGGATAACGCTTTGCCGTTTGAAATTATGGACATCGGGTTCGAGCGTCGGTGGGAACACCATCACACACAGGTACAAATAGAACGAAATGCGTATATTGTGGATTCCACTGCTAGTCACCATCCACCGGTTGAATTCATGAAATGTATACTGTTGCCTTTATAATATATTTTGGGATGTTGAATGGTCTGTCTGACTCCTCTCTTAGTCGAAGTGTCATCAACCATATTTCCTGTTCCACTTTGTGTTGTTGGTGGTTTGGCGTTACAATTCCTGCTAACCACTCATGTGCTCAGGGTTCGATTCCTGGCTGCCTCATTCTGAAAGCTCACCTAGCCGACAATAAGCCATCAATAAATAGGGTAGGTTGAACATTAGGCTAGCAAACCTACCCTGTTGGAGTAACACCACTACTGCTGGAAATTCAAAGCTCAAACTTGAAGTAAAGTGTTCCATTTTGGACGCAAAGAATGGAAAAAGGTGGCAGCTAGAAGAAAGAGTGAAAGCTATAGTTTGTGTGACCGATTTATCTTTCACATTATGTTTTATATAATTTCCACCATATGTGAAGCATTGTGACAGGAAAATTTAAATGCGTCTACTTCGTGAGTTACAAATAAAATAAAACTTGATTTTCACATTTTATTGTCAGTCTATTTTATAATCAATAATATTGTCATCTTTATCCCATGATGATAACTGTACTTAATTTTGGTTATTTCAGGTGCATCTGGTGAAGATTTCAGTTCTCTTAAAGCTACACAAAGTTACTGGGAAATGTTGCCTATGGATATGTTTGACGATGCATCAGAAACTGCCCAACCTTCAATTACCGATTTAAATCAAGGAAATACATCCTGCCCAACAAATGAATCCAGTATTATTACAGAATTTAAGTACCTTGATTGCGACTCCAATAATAATAATAACAATCATAATGAAAGCACACCTCAAAGAACTGATAAACTTGTTGAAAGTAACAAGCATCATAAAACATCAACACCAATGCCAACAGTAACCAAGGCATCATCATCATCAACTAATTCACATCTGTCAAGCATAAAACAGGCTCTGGATCATTTGTCATCAACACGCCGATTAGTGAATGCCCTTGGTATCGTTGGTTCAGTGAATGATGTAGATGAAGTGACTATGTCGTATGTGGCGACTAGACGGCGTTTTATTGTACGTCATTTAGACTGTGATACTGATATGAATGTAACAACGGCAAGTAAAGACATGCTTAGTCGTAAGTTTATCAAGTGTAAAGTTTAACTTTTTTCAAAATTATTTATTTGATTTTAAGAATATGCAGAGGATATATATATTGCTTCTAGGTGAAGACGTTGAGAAAATAGAGCAGAAATCTTCGGATTTTTGGCATGCGATTCGCTCCTGTGAGTCAAATGTAAGATGATCAGGCTGTAGGACTGGACTACATCAACTCCTAGCTTGAAGATACGTAGTGAAATGGTAGAGTGTGTTGATTACTTCATTTATTTGTGAGGTTGCATCAGCCCCAACGGATACAAAAGGTTCGTGTGCCGTTTGCCAACTTACGTCATCTTTCGAGGGAGATGGTCTCGTAGTCTCTGGTGTAGAAGTGATATTCGACTGCTTATTGATCAAAGGACGTGTGTTCTGCGCAACAGTTCACTTTGTCTTCCTTTATTATTGTGTGACTTGGCCAATGAAAGTCGGAGACATAAACGGGTTTTCTGTCTTTGTTCATAGGTGTTCGCGTCCTCTCTCCCATGTTAGTTACTATAATATTGTGAGTAATAATGGGATTAGGCGTGGAGTGTTAGGTAACGTGGAAAAGTCAGACGATGAGTCTGTGAAGCTACATCAGCTGAGATGGTTAGGACATGTTTTACGCATTCCTAGACATCACCTTCCTTAACAGTTATTGTTAGCTGACATAGGATAAGGTTGGAAAAGAGTCCTATGTTGAAACCAGTCAGTCAGTCAGTCAATTATTTATTCACTCATTATTGTCACTGACTGAATAATTAATTTGAGTATTTCATGGTTGGTGACTAGCAGTTGAATCCAGAATGTGCATTTCGTCCTATCTAGGACTCGTTATCTGGATGTACCCGCAATCCTCAATGAATGGTAGTGTCCCTGCTGAGATTCGAACCCAGCACTTATGTTGTTCAATGCCAGATAAGATAAAATGTACATCCTAGATTCCCCCCACCCCTCATTTAGCATCCACCAAACAGCATCACGGTAATCCTCAGCTTTCATCTAAGCTTCTGTTCTGCTAGTCACCGGCGTGTCAACAGTGACCGAACATTTCTGTCCATTATATTTAATTAAATGGAGGTCAACAGCACTCAGCATCAAAAATAAGATCCGGATTTTCAACTCCAATGTGAAGTCAGTGCTACTCACTCTACGGATCAGAGACTTGGCGCGTCATAAAGAGCACCTCAAACAAACTACAGACCTTCATTAACAGCTGTCTTCGCTCAATACTACTCAAGATCAGATGGCCGGCCAGAAAAGATCAGCAACAGAGATCTCTGGGAGCGAACCAACCAGGAACCGATGGTGAAACAAATAGGCAAGAAGAAATGCAGATAGATTGGCCATACTCTGAGGAAACCATCAAGTGACATCACTAGACAAGCCATTGTTCGAGTGGAACCCGAAAGGGAAGCGGCGAGTCGGTCGTCAGTGCAAGGGTGACTTGGAGGAGGTCATATGAAGAGGAGATGAAAGTATGTAGGCAGACTTGGAGCCAGGTGAAAACGTTGGCAGAGAACCGAACGCAATGGAGACGCACAGCTGAAGCCGTATGTTCCTCTAGGAACTAAAGGAAATAATAATACATTATAATAATGGGAAATATTGAGATGAAATTAAACAGATTGATCTGATTGTCTGCAGGGAATTGACTGGTTACAAGTTTGACCACGAGTTAATGCCGTTTAGAGCACCATCCGAAAATCTGGGACTACTGGACACCTGCTTCGTCCCAGTTTGGGACTCTTCGTCAGTACGTACCCACTATGGCTTGGCCTCGAGACTTTTCGGTTACAAGGCGAGCCCGTAGACGATTTAGCCACTGAGACTCGATCCAATGGCTCATGAATCCCAACTTATGCTAATTCGATATATATATATATATTGAGAGAGAGAGAGCAACCTCCAGTCAATGTCATAGGCGAGTAACTGTTCTCTTATCAGACTAGGTGGACCCCTCTGGTTATGACTTTTCACTAGAGCTTTCATGACGAATGAATAGATCACTCGAGAAAGTGAAGAAATAGTGTCAAATCGAGTGTTGCGCTTGATGACATATTTAGTCAATTTATTCAGGGAGAGAGCATCACTTAATCTAATCCCAATGTGTTAACAAAGTCAGATTCAATAAAATCTTGTTTTCATTATGTAAACACACTGGAATTTTGTTCAACTAGTTAGTAACGATGCAGATGGGACTGTGTGGTGGTGCTTGAATTATTCTAGGACATTCATACTATGTATGCAACTTTAGAAAACCAAGGTATTTGGTAGCAGAATTGTGTATTAATCAATATTACATACAATAATGGGAGAATATAATTTACACACATTATTTATATTCTTCAAGGTATGAAAAACTTGTATATCATGTGAAATAAGAGCATACAAGTCAGCTAACTTACTCGTACTCTACTTCTTTTGTTTGCTATCAATTCTTTCTGTACTGGTTTAAAATTTATTTCCTTTCTGATGTTTGTAACTCTAACGGTCTCTCCGTTATTCAGGAATCCTACAGGCGACGTCACAGCATACTTAACGCCCATAAATCCTTCTCAGTCAGGACCATTATTATTATTATTCCTCTGGGTTCTTAGCAGAGCATAGGGCTTCATCATCAGTCTTTCTTTATCAGCTCCACGATATCTCACAAGTTCTCGTTTCCCTCTCACATGATCTCCTCTATGTCACCTCTGGATGCATGTCCGACCCGTCACTGCCTCCCATATGGGTTCCACTCGATGGTCTACGAGGTGATGTCAAATCCATTTCCAGTCTCCACTGCATATCTCCTAGGTAATAGGTTGTTTGTTGTTTCGTTGCCACAGTTCCCTGTTACTTATCATTTCTGGTTATACGAAGGTATATGTTGATGAAAGTCTGAAGTAGCCTTTATTGGAATGCCTTTCGGGATTCTTAACCATGTATGGTGAAGTTAAACTTTAAGCACCACTAACTACCAATCATCAGCGAATAACCTCGAACGCATCAATCACGTGTACGAGGCATTTTCGTGTATGGACTGCATATATTTATGAAAAAATGCATAAAAACTGTAGAAAAGTGTTACAGAGGATACCTCCTGTCACATGTGATTAAATAGCTCTCAGGGTTAAGTTGGAGTATCAACAGAGTATAATTCCACTTTGGTTAAAGTTTGTTTTGATAGTTTCATAGTGTTGTTATACAGTAATATTTACTGAGCAATAAATTGTGCTCGAAACGCGGTCATCAGTAAATATTACTGTATAACATTGTGAGACTATATCAAAATAAATTTTACCCACAATGGAATTATACTCTTCCACAGTACACAAGTACTACTCTTATATTAACAGAGTAATTTAATGACATTCTATGAATGCAATCATTTAGGACTTCTAATCCTAACAATATCCCTAATCTTTCTTGAACCTAACCCTAACGTGAAAATATCCCTAAACTAACTGTAATCTAACTCGAACCAACCCTGATTTCACCTTTATTAGGTTATTATTATTATTGTTCTCTTGGGTTCCTAGTGGAATATAGGGCTTCAACTGCACGTCTCCACTTGCTTCTGTCTTCTGCTGTACTTTTCACCTGCATCCATGTTAGTCCATACTGTTTCAACTCCTCTTCACACGATCTGCTCCATGTCACCCTTGGACATCCCACTCGCGACTTCCCTTTCGGGTTCCGCTCGAGCGTTGGCCTGACGCACGATGTCACCACGCAGCGGCCTCCTCAGCGAGTGTCCAATCCATCCATCTCCACTTTCTCCTGCATATTTGTTGAGCGATTGGTTCTTGTTTCGTTTGTTTGTTCCCATAGTTTCTTGTTGGTGAATCTTTCCGGCCATCTGATCTTCAGTATAGAGCCAGCGAAGACAGTTGTTGATAAAGGTCTGCAACAGGCTGTTGGAAATGTTCTTTGTGACCCGCCAAGTTTCTCATCCGTATAGAAGAACTGACTGACTTGACGTTTGTATTGAAAATCCGAATTTCGTTGATGTTGAGTGACGAAGATTTCCAGATTGGTTTCAGGTTGATGAATGTGTTTCTCACCTTCCCGATTCTCGATTTGACATCTTCGTCCGTTCCTGCTGTAGTTGAGACAATGCTCCCTAGATAAGTGAAAGAAGTAACCTCTTTCAATCCCTTCCGTTGATGGTGATTGGCGCTGGATGTTGTTGCTGTTGTTGTTGTTGGTTGGTTATTTTCACCTGGAGTCCTGTCTTTGCTGCTTCTTCGACCAGTTTGTCGGTTTTCGCTTGTAATTCTTCGATTTTGTGTGACATCAAACATAAATCATCCACGCGCGAAATCCAGGTCTTCTAGATTCTTCACGTCGGTCCAGGATATCCCTGTCTTCTCGTTTCCCACTGTCTGAAGTATAATCCAGTCCACCACACTTAGGAATATCATTGGTGATAATAAGCAGCCTTGTCTGACTCCTGTGTTTACTCCAAACGCTTCGCCTAGTTTTCCGTTGTGGATCACTTGACATGTGCCGTTGTCGTACAGCTGTTGAATGAGGTTGGTGAATACTTGGGGTATGCCGTAGTACTTGAGTAGTTTCCAAATTACTTCGCGGTCAACGCTGTCGAAGGCCTTCTCAAAGTCTATAAAGTTGAGGTAGAGATTTGTTTGCCATTCCATGCTTTGTTCGATGATAATGCGTAGAGTTGCAATTTGGTCAGAACATGATTTGCCCTTCCTGAATCCAGCTTGTTCTAGTCGGAGTTCTGTATCCAGTGCGTCCTTTATCCTCTCCAGGATGATGCGACTCAGAGTTTTTCTTGGCGTCGACAGGAGCATGATTTCTCGCCAGTTCTTGCAGAGTCCTAAATCGCCTTTCTTTGGTAGGTTAACCTAACCCTAACTTGTCCTTGGCTTAAACCGTAACTTAATCTTTCTCAAACCTAAGCTGAAACTTGCCAGATATCCTATTTAAAAACATAACATTTCGATGAGCATATTTTACTGATGATGACAACATTATTTGCCAGGTTTCACTAGCTTGCTCAGTGGGCGTTTCAAGGTCATTGGTGTGGTCACACTCCATTGGTAGTTAGTGGTGCTTAAAGTTTAACTTGGCCCCATATGTTACCGAAGATCTTGATATTAGTGTTGAAAATTTGAATCGCGTTCCTTATATCTCCACATTGATTTCGTTGTGATAAAGGTGTGTGTAACGACCAAATTTCTTCGACTTTGGTGTGAACGCAAAAAAAATGGACTCTATGTTCTACTGTATAGTCGACAAAATTTCGTTGAGACATGGTCTATCACGAAACGTTCCGAACGCAGGAAAAAGACGAGTATTCTCCAATATTTTAGTGGTTCTATTAAATAAGAATAATAATAATATCAAGCCTAAATTTACCTCAACAGTCCCACGAGGCAGCTGCTATACAGGCAATGTTTGTGTCTAAACAGAAAACAAGTACTCTAAGAAAAAATAAGTTAACCAAAGTTCAACTGTAGGAGGTACCTTAGAATCGAGGCGAATACTCCTAACGAGGTGGGATCAAAAGCTCTCTCCACAAGAATCACACACCAAGACTTCCTGCAGGCAGTCCTGGGTAAGAATGACATTCATTCACTCAAACAAACTCATTTCATTAAACAACACATTGTCAATATATACACAACTACAAAGACAGTAATATAGTTAGGGATTAAACAAGGACATGAAAATAATAAAGGTCAAAAGTCAACATATGGCAAGCAAATGTTAAATTGGTTGCAGGATTTCATAATGAGCTAACATTGGTTAGAGAACTATTGGAAAACCTGGGAGTACTGGACAGTTGTTTCGTTCTAGTTTGAGACTCTTCATCAGTACGCACCCACCGCCAAGGTTCGAACCCAGGACCTTCTGGTTACAAGGCTAGCCAGCTTGTAGACCATTAAGCCACTCACTTGGACCCGATCCAATGGCCAGTCCATGAATTCTAACTTCTGCCAATTCACGACATAGGGCGACCCCTAGCCAATGTCTTCGGCGATTATTTGTCTTCACACCCGACCTACTGAACCCTACTGGTCACGACTTCCCAGGTAACTACTTACCTGGGTTCGAACCCCGGTGGGTGCGTACTGATGAAGAGTCCCAAACTAGGACAAAACAGCTGTCCAGTACTCCCAGGTTTTCCAATGGTTCTTTAACTGATGTCAGCTCATGATGAAATCCTGTAACCAATCAACCAAATCCCTACAAACCAATAATTGAATATAAGTGTTAAATTAATGATACACAATCTAAGTGGGAAATACGCATAATTATTATTACATGGTTAATTGAAATATCTAAATAAGTTTAAATATTGTAAGTAGATCATCGAGGAGGTGTTTTCCAAACAACTTTTCCATTACAATGTAATCAAAAGGTGCTTTAATCTTACGGAGGGACTTAAAGGCTAACACACTCTGTTGTACAGGTTTGACTTGATAGCGAGTCAGTTTCTGAAACAACAATACACCTTTCACTCTCACTGTTTCCATTAAACAAATCAATAAAAGAAATCAATGTTCATCAGTAGACTTACATCACTCTTTGGAAAATAATAATAATAATAATTTTCAACTCGATATGAAAACCACCCTTCAGTCAAATTCACAATGAAAGTAGGAAGTGAATCAAAGCTTACGTTTCTGGATGTTGAATGGACAAGAAGAGATAATGGGACTCTAAAAAAAGATCGATCCACAGAAGACCATCATGGAATGGTCAATTGACAAACTTCTGTAGTTGGATACCTGTGAGTCGTCAAAGAGCTCTCATTGTCTTACTGGCCTACTGTATCAGAAGGATTCGCCGTATTGATTGCTTAGACGAAGAGTTCTTATTTTTTGGAAATATCCTGGTTCAAAATTGATAACCGGCACGTTTTGTGAAGAAGAGCATCAAACCAAAGCCAAGAAGAGAAGAATGCAACCAGTTTTCCCTCTATTTCCTCTGAGATTCAGTAATCACTTTATCCCTACAACTATTTGAATTCTGTTTTGAAAGTATAGTGGAGTTTTTTACGTGAGAGTGATGTAAGAAACTGTTACATAATATGAAAATTAAGTAGATTATTGTGCTTCTGTTAAAGAAACGTTTTATGAATTAATATCTGCCCAACAGATATGGCGAAGCTAATCGAGACGAACTAGACATACACTGATGAAACCGCTGAATGACATTACATCCTTTGAGCGGAACACGAATGGGAAACGGTGAATTGCCAGTCTGAAGGTGATATTGGGGAGATCATGTGAAGAGGAAGCCCAAGACTATGGGTTATCTTCGAGCTAACTCAAGAACACTTCAGTGAAGAGACTGAAATGGAGACGTACTGCTGAAGACCTATGTTCGACTGAGAATCCAAAGGAATATTAATAATCTTATGGGTGTAAGAGTTCTAGTACATCCTGTGTAATTCTGTATTATAAATAGATCGTCGAGGAGATATTTACCAAACAATCTGCCCGAACATGGCTTTGATATCCTCGTTTGTGTCACCTGTATCTCAAGTGTTTCTTACCTCATTTAGACTTCCCCCATTGACAGTGATTGGTGCTTGTTTTTATTAGTGACTGAGTGTCTTCATCACCTCTGTTCTCTTTGTTGCTTACTTGAATTGTCGTCTTCCATGTCTCTTCTTTGAACTTGTTGGTTTCCATCTATAGTTCTTCAAGTTCGTTCAACAATAGACATAAATCAATTGCAAACTACAAATCTAGCGTCTTCTTGTCGATTCAACATCCAACGTTTGCCTGTGTTTTTACACCCCACTGTCTGTCGTGTGTTTCTGTCCACCATAATGAGTAATGTATTGGGCGTTACCAGGCAACCTTGTCTCATAATTAGAAGTGTTTAAAAACTTTATGTTTTTACATATGAATTGAATAAATCAATATTCCTTGTGTAATAATCATATTAATTTTATCCTTGAATTTTCACTAGACCGATCCTCCACAACTATCAGTGAAGATATTGACATTGATAATGATGATATTGAGGATAATATTGATTCTCAGTGTGCTTGCTCATCGTCTACTCAACCTCATCGTCAACATCATCATCACTGCAGCGAATATTATTCTAATTCTTCAGAGTTATCGAATCAACCAACTATGTGGTTAGGTTGTCAAAATGGTGATTTATACGTTCATTCCTGCGTATCTGATTGGCGTAAATGTTTGCATGCAATCCGCTTGCCTGATTCAGTAACACAGATATGGTATGTACTTGAGACTATTGTTTTGTGTAACTCTCTTTTTTTTATTCCTTTACGTTCCCAGTGGAACATAGGGCTTCAAGCGAAAGGCTTGAAGTTTAGGTAGCAGTGATGTTTATTTTTACCGGATGAGGTTACTAGCCTTATGCCCAACCTTGCCTCTTTACCAGTCTCATTACTGGTTTAGCGACGTAAAGGAGTGCGTTGGTGGCCAGGGATCGAACCTCGGACCACCTGTGTGGTTGGCGAGCGTTCTACCGCTGTTCCACCGACACGTTTTGTGTATCTACTATTCCTTAATTGTTTTCTCTTTATCTAGTGGGAAACTGTAGTGCAATGCTCTTGTGGAATATATATGTCATGTAAATGTGTGTTCTCACTTTGCTCCTTATGGTTTTTTCTATTGTGCTGTGACCAGAAAAGCTACTCATGAGTATATAGAACTTGGGTATTGAGGTAGAGAGCACAACTCCATCATAGGTTAAATGCATTCAATGAAAACACACCGTTATTGTTATTATTACTATTGTTCCCTTGGGTTCTGAGTGACACATACGGCTTCAATTGCAGATCTCTACTTTGTCCTATTCTCTGTGCTATCCTCTTTAGTTGGCCTCACAATTACCCACAGTCTCTCATCTCCTCCTCTCACGATCTCCTCCAAATTACCCTCGGACTCTTAACCGGTAGTTTACTTTTCGTATCCCACTTGAGTGATGTCCTGGCGCGCACAGTATCATTCGACAGTCTCCTCAGTGTATGTCCGATCCGTCTCCATTTTATTCTGCATTTTGATTGCAGGCACACGCTGAGGTACATTATTTAATAATGACTTTTCGAGAGCCATTTATTGTCGCTCATAATCATATCAAGGTACTACTCACACAACTTTCTAACTTCATTTATATAATTCCATTATTTTGCATCGCTTGACTTGATTGGTAGTAGTATTTTCCATATTTCGGGTATAAGTGATGAATCATTCCTGTTGCACGTGTTGGGTGTAGACTCGATGAACCAAGATTCAGTAATCAACCTCTCTCTGTCTCCACCTACTTATATTACTTCTTAGAATTTTAACCCTCTCCCTCCTTATTGTGTGGTTGTGTGTTGATGCATGCAGTGCAATCTCTGAGTTTTTTTCTAAATTTCTTATTTTCTGATAAACTAACTACCCGCGATCTATTAGTTTGACCTATGTAGTTGGCTTAACTCACAGTCATTGCAAGGTATTTTGCAAATTATATTATTTTGTCTAATTGGGTCAACTAGGTGCTTCAGTCTACAGAGCTTGTCCCTGAGTGAGTTTGTGGGTTTCTATGCCAACCTGATCCCTCCTTTATTAAGAATCCTACACAGGGTTTCAGATGTCTCTTCCTTATATCGCAAAACTATAGATGTCTCAAATTGGCTTTCTTATTTCTATAATGGTCAGCAGTTCCACTACTATTTTTCCGTTTTCTTGTGAGCTTGCTTTCTTGACCTTCTAAATGAATTTTTTATGAATAATTTAGAGAAAATCTCAGCAACTGTAATTCATGCGTTAACACCCAATCCACAATAGGGTGGGACTGAATTACAATTCTAAAGGGCAATATAGATTGTGGTAGAGGTAGAGGTAGGTTGGTCACTGCATCCTTATTCATCGAATATACGCCTAACACGTGCAATGGAAATGACTCAACGTCAATACTCGAGAGATATGGAGAATATTACTACCAATAAAATGAAAGAATAAGAAATAATGGAATTAAATAAGTGAAGTTTGAAAGCTATGCTAAGCGACTTGATATAATTATGAGCGGTAATAAATTGTTGTCGAAACATCATTATTGAACAGTAATACTGTATCTCTGTGTGCTTTTATCTGACTGACTGCCTGCCTGACTAACTGAGTTTCAACATAGAACTTAGCACAGAAGTCTAGCCGTTCATGCTGTGCTTTTACTGAATAAGCTTATTCTATATTAGATTTTTATTGTTCCCTTGGGTTCCTAGTGCAAACATAGGGCTTCAACTGCACGTCTCCACTTGCCTCTGTCTTCTGCTGCACTTTTCACCTGCATCCATGTTAGTCAATACTGTTTCAACTCCTCTTCACACGATATCCTCCGTGTCACTCTTGGACGTCCCAATCCCTTTCAGGTTCCAGTTGAGGGCCTGACGCGCGATGTCACCCAACGGCCTCCTCAGCGAGTGTCCAATCCATCTCCACTTTCTCCTGCATATTTGTTGAGCGATTGGTTCTTGTTTCGTTTGTTTGTTCCCATAGTTTCTTGTTAGTGATTCTTTCCGACCATCTGATCTTGAGTATCGAGCGATGACAGTTGTTGATAAAGGTCTGCAACCTTTCGGAAATATTCTTTGTGACCGCCAAGTTTCTGATCCGTATAGAAGAACTGACTCACTTGACATTTGTATGGAAAATCCGAATTTTGTTGTTGATGCAAGCTGAGTGACGAAGATTTCCAGATTGGTTTCAGGTTGATGAATGTGTTTCTCGCCTTTCCGATTCTCGATTTGACATCCTCGTCCGTTCCTCCTGTAGTTGAGACAATGCTCCCTAGATAAGTGAATGAAGTAACCTCTTTCAAATCCCTTCCGTTGATGGTGATTGGCGCTGGATATTGCTGCTGTTGTTGTTGTTGGTCGGTTATTTTCATAACCTCCGTCTTGTCTGTGTTCACCTGGAATACTGTCTTTGCTGATTCTTCGACCAGTTTGTCGGTTTTCGCTTGTAAGTCTTCGATTTTGTGTGACATCAAACATAAGTCATCCGCGAAATTCAGGTCTTCTAGATTCTTCACGTCGGTCCATTATATCTCTGTCTTCTCGTTTCCCACTGTCTGACGCATAATCCAGTTCACCACAATTAGGAATATCATTGGTGATAATAAGCATCCTTGTCTGACTCCTGTGTTTACTCCAAACGCCTCGCTGGAGTAAACTATCTAATTATATATTAAATGGTTGGAAGCAATCGGCCACAGGAAGCCGTGGACATTGGTTTCGTGCTAGTTGGCACTCATCAGCGAGGCGTATCTGCAACCAGCTTGAAGGAACTCATGTCCCTCCTGAGATTCTAACCCACGTCACCCAGTGGGTGCTGCAGTCAGAGACTTTACCACCACTTATTCTATGATGGCATTGCTATGCTTAGTTTTTAAACCTTTCCTAGTCCTCTGCTTCTATCTATAGATAACCGATGTTTCGATAAACCAGGTGTTTCAAATGCACTCACTCATTAAGCCTCACTATTATTTGTAGCAATTGACTGAATCTCTTAAACTGCTCAGATTTATTAATAACTGTAGGTCCAACCGCCTAAGTATGCTAAAACCAACGTGATATTAATTCTAGTTCAGTCAGTGATCGATTGAACAGTAATAAGTAATTGTGAGTGTCACAGGTTTAAACATGTTTAACCGAGCAGAATGGCATATACCAGCCGGATTGTGAATTGCTCTCATGTTTCAATAAACATCTCTTCTTTTATAATATTACGATTATTCTGTTTCTGTTGATCGATAATCTTAGTTTTTTTTTTCAAATATTCCTTTTTGCTCATTCTTTCATTGTTTATTTTTAAAATGTATTATGTGACCAACTTTTTTGAAGTGCTGACTGACGCGGTAAAACTCGAAATCTCTCTCTCTGTCTAAGCGCGTGTTTCGACAACGTGCAAACTGATAAGTTGTGGTCAAAGTGTAATAGAATAAAAATAATAAATAAACTTTGTCTTTGTAAACTAAACACTTGATTAAATTGCTTTTAAATTTCACGAATCTCAAAAAAAATGATTAGACTGAACGAACAGTCAGTATTAGTTTTCTGTATGTACTCCTTTTTTGTTGTTGTACCTTCCTCCCTTTTCCTAGACACAAAGACGCTTAGGAACGAAACACCATGATTTCTTTCCCATTTCGATAGTAAAATTTATTTCAGCGCGAGTGGGGTAGGGGGTGGGGTGCACATCATAAAATTTGTCAAGGATATTCTTTGCTTAATTCTCGTTTTTTCACTTCGTAATCAAAAAAGCATCATCATCTAGTCCCACAAACTGGTAGATATGCAAGCGAAAAGCAACAAGTTGACAGAAGAAGCATCAAAGCTAGGAAGGACTTCAGGTGAACATAGAGAAAACAGAGGTGATGAAGATTCCTGGTCAACACCACCAACAGCAATAACAACAACAGACAACAATCAGCATAAATGGAAGGAACCTCCTTTACCTACCCACCTGGGAAGCATCGTTTCAACTACAGGCGGAACTGACGAGGATATCAAAGCAAGAATCGGAAAAGCAAGACAAGCTTTCACTACTCTCAAGTCTGTGTGCAGGTCAACAGCACTCAGCATGAAAGTAAGATCCGGATTTTCAATTCCAGTGTGAAGTTAGTGCTACCATACGAATCAGAGACTTGGCCAGCGCGTCATAAAGAGCATCTCAAACAAACTACAGACCTTCATTAACAGCTGTCTTCGCTCAATACTCAAGATCAGATGGCCAGCGAGAAAACATCAGCAACAGAGATCTCTGGGAGCGAACCAACCAGGAACCAATTGTGCAAAAAATAGGCAGGAAGAAATGGAGATGGATTGGTCATACTCTGATGAAACCATCAAGTGTCATCACAAGACAGGCCCTCGAGTGGAACCCGAAAGGGAAGCGGCGAGTTGGTCGTCAGTGCAAGGGTGACTTGGAGGAGGTCATGTGAAGAGGAGATGAAGACGTGTGGGCAGACTTGGAGTCAGGTGAAGACTCTAGCAGAGAACCGAACGCAGTGGAGACGCGTGGCTGAAGCCCTATGTTCCTCTAGGAATTAAAGGAAACAAATCTAGTTCACCAGTTACATCATTTAAAGGTTCATTCTCTGATTTTACGGGGAGGGGGGAGGGAATGTCAGCTAGTGGTGAACTCACAGCCACACCATTAATTTTTCTTTATTAAATAAAAAGGGAACATTCATTGTGCATCTCATAAGAAATTTGTTTTTGTTTTTTTAATTTTTGCTTCATAGAAGATAAAAGAAACTCTTCGTATGTGAAATCAGTCAGTGGGAAGTATACACCATCGCGTATTTATGATCTGGTTCTTGACTTACCATCCGTGGTTTCAAGTAGATTAAATGGTGTGGCCTAATTGGCTGTTTGTCTGACCGGATAGGCCTGCAGTCAATATTGATGGAATTTGACTTCTGATTGGCCAATGATGTTCGGTACTAGTCTAACACTTAAAATATTCAAGTGTTGGTTTTGCAGGGATTTGATTTGACTCTGGTTACAGGAAATTAGCATAAACTGACATCGATTAAAGAAGAACTTTTGGAAAACCCAGGAGTACTGGACAGCTGTTTCGTCCTAGTTTGGGTCTCTTCAATAGGCCGCACCAACCGGGGTTCCAACGCACAGGGTCTTCCGGTTAAAAGGCGAGCCTCTTAGACTATTCAGCCACTGGGACCCGATCCAATAACCCATGAATTCCAGATTCTACCAATTCACTATATCACGCGACCACTAGCCAGTGTTGTCGGCGAGTATCTGTGTTCACACACCCAACCTACCGTACCCCACAAGTCACTGGCTAGCAGTTGAAGTTCATGGAATGGCCATTGGATTGGGTCCCAATGGCGTAATGGTTTTTCAGTGGGTTCTCTATCAGATATCAGCTCATGATGAAATCCTGTAACGGAGTGCACATAAATCGCATATAATAAAATCACTTTAAGATCTTTTTCTTCATTATAAGTGACTTAATTAATTAAATAATAAATAAATTAACTTTCACTACATTTCATTATATACTTTTAAAATATTTATATTTATTCTACAGTCATTTTGCTGGACGTGTATTTGTCAGTCTGGCCAATGGTCAAATAGTCGTGTTTAGACGACAACTTTTCAGTCAAGTGAATCAAGTCAAGAGTAATCTATGTCCAAGTCATTCAACATCTATTCAATCATTGAAGACTGTAGCAGCAGCAGCAGTAACCACAACAGCAACTGTTACGTCATCTTCATCATCTAACCTACCTGATAATATTTCGTCTTCTGCACAAATTCATGACCTTATTAACAATTCTGCTGACACGATGATGATAGTAATAATAATAACAATAATGATGTGGTTATGGGTTCATGGGATTTTACTGAAGCCTGTGTTATCACATGTGGTCGACCTCAATGTTCCGTTAAGTGTACAATAACTATACCACCGACAAATTCTGTTTGGGCTGCTTATCGTAATCGTATATTAGTGATTAATGCATTTACACTACAATTAGTTGATTGGTTAGTTGTTGTTTTTTTGAAACTGTTTTTTCTCCGGTTTTTCTTTTTTTGAGTTCATACTTTTTTTTTGTATATATATTTGTTGCCTCACCTTGTTACCTGTAGATTTCACTTGCTGCAAGACCTTGTCAACTAACATCGCCTGTCGAGGAAGTCGATGGCTAGGGATGCGTAATAATGCATATCCTAGCCACCTAAATCTCTTCATCTGTACAAATTATTTGGTTGACCTATCCTTCTTACCTAACACCTAACCTCTATATTCCTCACAGTATTCTCCCGCGTAACACGGGCGGTAGAACGCAGGCATCTGTGATCAAAGACAGCTAGCCTTTTTATGTCTTCCATTTTTAATGACCGTATGAAGCAGTCATAAAAAAGGATAGAGATAACTCCTGTGCAGTACACTGGTCCTTTGACCGATAACCGGATATCACGCCTCCTCTAGAGTTGGCGTAAGCTGGGAAATGTCACACGAGTCTTTTGTATCTACGCTTAGACTTAGTCAGCATTCAGCTCGTTGGGGTGCTGATGCAATTTCCCAAATAAGTAAAGTGGTCAACATGCTTGATGTACTAGAGTCCTGTAGCATCATCCTAAATTTAACAAGGGCAAATTGTCTGCTACTTAGGGTGATATAGACCGTTTCGTTGAGGTCTTCGAGATGGTAACATCCAATCGCTTGAGACTACTGGTGATATGGCTTAAAATCGTTGTCAATGTCGTAGATGCATTCACTCTCTAAGGTCTCTTACATTCACTAAATCCCCTTGTTTTCCCGGATATTTCTGCTCTTTATATTTCTTTTGTATCTCTTTTCTTTTATTCACTTCATTGAATGTGGCAACTTGAACTTTTTCACTTCTATGCAAAGTTCTGTGTTGAAACTGAGTCAAATCATATTAACGGGTTGTATAATTGCAAAAGTTTGCTTAATAATATAACATTTAGCAAAAATATTTTCATGTATTGCTTCTGTAGTGATTGTGTTTGATTAATTGGAAGGTTTCATCATCATGGTTCTCTAACTGATGTCAGCTTATGATGAGATCTTCCAACCAATGAAACAAAATCCCTATAAAACCAATACTTGAAAATTATTCTGATGCTCACTAGCGACTGGCCCTATTTAGGCAGTTAACCTGAGGTTCTAGGAGGAAGCCGTGACCAGTAGAGTACAGCAGGTTGAACGTGAGGCAGTAACTCATCGAAGAAGAAGACATTGCGAAATGGTCGCGCTTTGTCATGAATTGGTGGAGTAGAATTCATGGGCTGGCCATTGGATCGGGTCCCAGTGGCTTAATGGTCTACGAGCTAGCTCGCCTTGTAACCAGAGGGTCCTGGGTTCGAACCCTGTTGGTGGGTGCGTACTGATGAAGAGTCCTAAACTAGGACGGAACAGCTGGCTAGTACTCCCAAGTTTTATATTTCTTCTCTAACTGATGTAAGCTCATGATGAAACCTTCCAACCAAATATAAATATGTCATTAATTATCAGTGACACTTGTAATATTCTCTATGCGATAGGCAATGTAACTTAATAGACTAGAAGCCATACAAACCCTTGTCGCTAATCACAGTAATTCACTGCTGGTATTTGGAAACCATGGAGAAGGCTGACTGACTGTAGACAACATAACTCCCATTGTTTTAATCAATAATGGAATGTTCTATGGATTTTAATGTGTTAGCAACCAAAGCGCGACTTTGGCCTTCATAAAGAGTGGAAAATACACAAAGTGCACTTTAAGTGCACAATAACTGCTAAAAATAGTTATTTTAAAATTCTAAGAAAAACTAAGGGTGCATAAACATTCCCCCCATCCAATAAATGTTTAAAAAATAAAATAGATAGAATAGGGCCTTTCGAATAAACTTATTCAATACATATGAATTTTTGAATCATTGGTTTGCATGGACATAATTGGTTGGTTTCAAGTCTGATCACAGATTGATTGATCAGTTAGGGAAACTATCATCACAAACTGTGATCAAACCACTTGGAATCAATCAGATCTCTACAAATTAATACTTGGAAATTAATCGGATACTCACTGGTGCTCTTAATTCTATCCAAAATTCTTAATCTGTGTGGTCCTCCAGGCGTTAGAAACCCGTGAATTGACTAAGGTTAGAATACATAGCCTATTGGATTCCGTCCCGGCGGCTGAATAGTCAAAGGGATCTTCTGGCAACCTCAAAGTCCTGGATTCGATCCCTAGTGGAGTCATGAGTACGTACTGATGAGGAGTCCCAAGTAGGGACGAAATAGTTATCCAGTACTTCGTGGTTTCCAATGGCTTGCTAACTGAAGTCAGTTCATCATCAAGCTTGAAACATGCTGTTTTTAGATTAATGAAATCCCTACTAAGCAACAAGTTTATAGACACTGTAGATCTCTGCTGTTGATGATGGAATAAAGCTTTTTCTAGAGATGGTGAGAAAATACATTATTTTATATTATATTATTATTGTTTCCTTTAATTCCTAGAGGAACATAGAGATTCAGCCGCGCGTCTCCATTGCGTTCGGTTCTCTGCTAGAGTCTTCACCTGGCTCCAAGTCTACCCACATGCTTTCATCTCCTCTTCACATGACCTCCTCCAAGTCACCCTTGTACTGATGACCAACTCGCCGCTTCCCTTTCGGGTTCCACTCGAGCAATGGCTTGTCTAGTGATGTCACTTGATGGTTTCCTCAGAGTATGGCCAATCCATCTCCATTTCCTTCTGCCTATTTCTTTCACAATGGGTTCCTGGTTGGTCTGCTCATTGCCAGAGATATCTGTTGCTGATCTTTTCTGGCCATCTGATCTTGAGTATTGAGCGAAGACAACTGTTAATGAAGGTCTGTAGTTTGTTTGAGATGCTCTTTATGACGCACTGGCCAAGTCTCTGATCCGTATAGTAGCACTAACTTCACATTGGAGTTGGAGAAAATACATCCTCCCTCTATTACTTTGTCATATCCTATACCGTCTATAAGCGTATCTTAACTGTAAACTAGGAAGAAAATGGGCTGCTGCCTTATCATACTTTTTCTTTATTCCTTTACGTTCCCAGTGGAACATAGGGCTTCAAGCTAGAGGCTTGAAGTTTCGGTAACAGTGGTGTTTATTTTTATGGGATTGGGTTGCTAGCCTCATGCTCAACGTCCCCTCTTTATCAGTCTTACCACACTGGTTTAGCGAGGTAAAGGAGTGCATCGATAGCCGGGAATGGAACCCTGGAGCACATATGTGGTCAGCAAGCATTCTACCGCTGTGCCACCTACGCCTTGTCATACACCATTTTTTAAATTCACTATTGAGATATATCTCTGAGGGATAATATGAGCACGGGCTGAACTGTATTCTTCTTTCAATCCTCCAGTTACAATCAATACCATAAACTAAGTGATTTTTTGTGTAGAATGTCATTTTTCGTTTGATAAACTGCAATCTCTCTTTTTTTGAAGTATAACTATGAACTCATTTTATCATTCATGTACAACTTTCAGTCAAAAGTCTAAAGGTGTCAATACAAATTTTGTGTCCACATAAAATGTTAATCTTGGATGGGCGTGTATGACTTATACAGTGCAGTCATCTCAATCACAATAGTCAAGTCGTACTCATCAATAAATTTTAATATAATTCATTATTGTATTTACATGTGAATAATAAATAGGACTACAATGTTACGTCTTAACTACCAAATGACTCATCAAGTCGGTTAGGTGTGTATGTGTTTAGCGGTTGTCTATATAGTTACAAATCATTGTACTTACTTGGGAAAATACTCCTTTTTCCATTGATTCATTGATTAATTGACTGAGTAGTATCCAAATTGCGAATAAGATTCAGTTCTTCTTTTTCTTTAAATTGGTAAGTATTCAGAGACGTTGTAAAGTCACTCCGCCCGTCTGTATATTCCTCTGTCATGGTTTGTGATGACAAATACATTAATAAAACACAGTATGCTTATCTTTCACGACTTTTAAAGTCTGATAATGTTAAGCGTTAACTTCATGGTTGATAGATGTAAGAATTATCTTCAAATTAAATCCCTGATACTGATTATGCTGGTGTATGCCAGAATCTGTTGATGATTTTTACTTATATGTGAAGTTAGCTGCCATAAACACGTTTCTGTAAATGGGACTACGTCTCTTGGTGACAGTGTACAGTCTGTTGCATTCCGGAAGGACTTTTCATTAACCTGACGGGCTATCAACAATAAACTTTCTCTATGTATACTTCACTTGGTGTCCGACTTTAAACATAACCTATTTTTTCTTATCTTTCTTCTCGAATTTCACACCATCTATCTTCTGTTTATGCATGAAATTTCTGATTGCTTCTTTCCGTGCAGTTTTCCGTTTCTTCATACTCCGCTATTGATGATGCGGTCAGGTATTATTGTTTACTGGTAGTTCTGGTTTCTTGCCATACGTTAAGTGAAACGGTAACTACTTTTTTGTTGCCTGTAAGGAAACCTGATAGGACAGTCTAATAAATGCAGGTCCTGTCCCCCAGTTAACTTACCTCTGAGGTTAACCACTCTTTTATCAAAACATTAGTTTGTGGATTATATGATGTTATTATAACTCTTCAAATACCTAAATGATGCAATTGGGATGCAAGTTCTTTACTTTCAAAAAAGGATATTGATCTGTTGATGTTGTCTGTACCGAATCACTGTATCAACCAGAGTCTGTGTGCATTGATCCGGGATCGTAACGGAGGCTACTCGTCTTGTAGCATGTTCTGCTATCACCAGCAGGTACTGAGATGTCTGCGGAGAAGGCCATGAATCTCCTACTACTGTAACTAGGGTCATCTGCTGAGATGGTTGGACAACTCTTTTGCTCTATCTTAGTGCCTCACCTTTTCCATAAACACTCTCAACCGTAGATACTGTGAACTGTTTTGCAGACACAGGTATTCTCAACGTCATTCACTGATATTTTAAAGGATGTTTAGTATGGTTGAATAATTTTTGCAAGTCTTCTGATCAGAAAATGATGACTCACCTGGTAGTCTTTACAGTGAAGCTGCTATCTTATAGAAATTTTTCAGAAAGCAACCATTCACTGCTGCTCTCCCAAAAACTATCGCAGATTTCTTCTCAAATTCGAAGTTGCAGTGATCTTTGTCGTCAAAAATTTCTCAGGTTAATGGTTTCTTTGACGTTGTCATACAACACCTGGAATATGGTAGTCTCCAGAGATCAATTTTCCAATGGCCTACATGTAATGGGCACTACTTACATTTGAGTAGTTTTTGTCCAAACAGCTATAAACGAACACCAGTCAAGAGAATATGTTCTACAGAGAAATTAGATGAAGGATTTATGATTCCCAAAAAGATGTTGAAAAACAACGGTTACACTCTCACCTCCCCTAGGGATTCATTAACAAGTACAGAAGATACGAAGGCTAAAATACCTAAGAAATCACAGTGGGAAAGTAGTCTATCTTCATTCAACTCGATTTTAAAGGTGATAATATGGCAGGAAAAGTCAACAGAGGATTGAATATCTCACTAGTCAGCAGCCAAGTTGGTTCCCGTCTATAAAACAATATGCTCTTTGGTTCAATCAAAAGTCGAGAGATACCCTTTTCATGTTAATCCTAACTAGGTATACAAATTTACATGTATCTACAGGGACAGTTACACTGGGAGAACAAAAAGAACGGCACACTTTCGGTTTTCTGAACATTTACCAAAAATCCGACATCTCGATGGAGCAAACGTTTACAATAGTGCCATTGTCACACATTTCATCAGTATGGGTCCTTGAAAATTATCAGAATAGACAAAATACTTCAATTTCACTCAAATTTGCCTGAAACCCAATTTATGTGTTCAGAAAAGAGCAGTTATCAGCAATATTTCCTTGCCATAGTAACTGGATGTCTTTATTCTTTCTTTCATTTGATTACGTAATCTTTGGCTTTAACCTCTCCCCTTTGATATAGTGTAACTTCGCTTGTTTCTTGTTCCTATGCTTTGACTTGGATTCACCACATTGTTTTATTCAATGTATAAGTTACTCATCATCTTACTTACATCTTGTCTTTATTACGTAACTCCTTTACTATTGTATGCAAACATTTATTTTTGTTTAAACTTGGACTCTTTGAGTGTAAACTATATAAGCGTAATTTTCTGAGCATTGTTTATTAGAATTAGGCAAGAACAACAGTGGTTTGTGCAGAATAATATGGTACCATCATTTGTCTCGTGGGCTTCTCATCAGCTTCTGCTTACAGCCTAAATAAATTATGAGGTTTATGTACAGAAAATTTTTAACATACTCGCAATTTTTTTCATGATGTCAGTTGACAGAAAGTTCTGCAATTAGTGAATAGTGCTCAGAAAATTGCGCTTATATGGTTGTTACCCAGGCAGTTCAAGTTCAAACAAAATAAATGTATGCATACAATGGTAATGGAGTTACGTAATAAAGACGAGAGATGCGTAAGATGCAGAGTGACTAATAAATTAGGTAACAATGTACTGAGTTCAACTCAAATCATAGAAACAAGAGACAAGCAAAATTACACTATATCAGTGGGGTGAGTTTAAAGCCAAAGATTACGTAATCAAATGAAAGAGAGAATAAAGACAATCAGTTGCCAGAATGGACAACGAAAGACTGATGCTAACTGCTTCTTTCTGAACACATAAATCTGGTTTCAAGCGTTTGATAGAAATTGCTTCGGCAAATTTGAGGAGAATCAAGCTCCTTTGTCTATTGATAATTTTAAAGAATTTCGCGATTTCCACCTCCTGACCCTTATCAAGGAGATGCCTGGTAATAGCACTATGATAAGAGTTTGTTCCCTTGAGACGTAGGCTTTTCCGTACATGTTGAGAAAATCGGAGGTGTGCCCTTCTTTCTGTCCTCTCCCAATGTAACTGCTCCCGCAGATACACGTAAATTTGTATACACAGTTGGAGTTGTTAACATGAGAAGGGTATCTGTCGACTTTTGACTGCTTATTAAGTTTGGAGTCTCTTGTCATTAACTTAAACTATGTAACATTTACAAATATACTAGAATTGCTCTCTCTGTATATAAACCTAATAATTCCCCTAGGCTGTACGCATCTGATGAGATACCATCTTATTCTACACAAACTATTATGTTCCTTGCTTTATTCAAATATCACATTTGCTGAGTATGAAATTCTGTCTACCGAATAGTCTCTGTCAGATTGTGTGTGTGTGTGCATCGCATACGTTTATCAAGTCTATTTGTCTGGTCTGTAAAGCACCAAATATGCTCTCAGTTTAGTGCACAACTTAGACCAGCTGTGGATTATTATTATTATTCATATTTCTATCTTACTGTATGAATAACAGGTTGAAAATTGGTGATGAATAATAGATGACAGTAGTTTGCTCTAGATTTCTACTTAAAAATACCAGGACACCTGTGGGTTTTCTTTGTTCCTGTGGGTTGGTTAAATGACAGATAGCTAAGTCTAGTTCATAAAAAAATACATTTCCACAACACATAAACAAAATTCAGACTACTTCAATAATTAAATGAGTGCAAATTAATGAATAATCCTGATTTGTGTGTGTGTATGGGTGTGTGTGTGAGTTGGTGTGGTTGTAATTCTCATCTTATCTACAGATCATTGAGATAAGAGTGATAGATAACCTCATTAAGTGTAAAATGGAGTATATGTGAGAGACAGAATACGTTTTACTAAATAAATTATTATTTTTCAAGAGTTGTTGTGTGTAAGGATTAGATTTAGTGTTTTGGAGTTTAACTACGGATTGGTATCAGTTAGAGAAACATTGGAAACCAGCCACAGGGAGTACTGGACAGCTGCTTCGTTGGCCTAGTTTGGGAATCACCGACAGTACGCACCCACTTCCGGTTACAAGGCAAGCTCGCATACCATTCAGCCGCTGGGACCTGAATCAGTATCCAGGCCATGAATTCTAACCTCTACCAATACGTTTTTAGCGCGACTACCAACTAATGTCATCCATCCATCCTCGCTCCGGAATCAGAAGAAGTCCCATCAGGCGGGTGTAAGTCATCGATTATCCCGATATACAAGAATGGGGCCAAGTCTTCCTGTGATAATCACAGGGGGGTTAGCTTGACCAATGTGGTATCTGAAGTTCTAGGCTCATACGTAAACTAAGTGGTGCTCTGAAGGAAAAAACACACGAGAGAACCAAGCAGGCTTTAGACAGGGAAGAGGGGGTAGAATTCAGTTTGCACTAAAGAAAGGACTAGATACATTACACTAGTTACTATTTTCCAATCAAATTATCCAGTACAGTCCTACAGGAGGTCAATCACAAGCCCGAATAGCTCATTGGTATCGTTTCTGACTGCATCATTGTGTGACATGGGTTCGGATCTCAGAAGGGACATAAGTTCCTTCGGGGTTGCAAATACTCCTTGCTGACTGGTGAGTACCAACTAGCACGAAACCTAGGTCCAAGGTTTCCTGCTGATTGCCATTATTAGAGGTCAGATTTACTAACTAATAGAGAAAAAATCACGTGATAAGAAAGTTTAAATCCCAAGTCAATAAAAATAATCAATAGAGATGTAAATTCACAGGTGATCACGACAATGGTTGTCAGGAGAGACAATTGTATCACCATTCATGAAGAATTCAGATAAACTCACTTCATATGAAAGCTTTCACTTAGGATATTGTCTAGAAGGTGGACAACGAAGGCTTCGCAATTAAATCGTCAACCATCTCAGAGAGGACAACTAAATCAAAGTCATCCACCTGAGGTAAAAATCTCTTCCACTATTTTAAGAATATTCTATGATTAATCTTTGTATTTGTTTTCTTAACCTTTAGATGTAAATAGAAGATACTCATTTCATTCGCTTTGGTTTTTTTCCTTTGACAGTTTCAAAGTTCATGCAATACAAGATTCACAAGTACAAACAATGACATGGTATAAAGATGGTGTTTGGATGTCAATACGACGTGAATCAATTCTCCGGCTATATCATGTTATTAGTCATGAATTAATACAAACTGTTGACTTAAATCAAACAATTCTAAGTTTAGTATTATGTAAGTCCTGTTTGCCTTCTTCTTTTTTTTTGATTTTTCTAAAAATATTTTCCACTATTGATTTGTATAGATCTCAATTGTTTGTCAAGTTTAATGTTAGAGAATCAATAATAAAAAACAATAAGGAGAATAATGGACAGCTGTTATGTAGTAGTCTGAGACTCTTTAACACGATGAGGATTCACAATCTGGAGAATTTCAGATTAAGATGTCTGTTGTACAGTTCCAAACTGTGGTGAAAAAACACAGTACTGGACAGTACTCCATAATTTTCGATGACTCTTTACTTATATGTGTTCCCTGCCACCCAACCCCCGCATTCTTCAATTTTTGAATATCATCCCTAGTCATCTTCATATCATTTTGGGGATTTCTATCAGCCTATATCCGAAGGTGCATTGTGTTGTCTTCCAACGAGAATACTCATACTTTTTACGAGTTGATCACAGATTGACATCTGCTAGAGAAACATTGAAAACCAGGGAGTGCTGGATAGCTGTTTCATCAGCCTAGTTTGGGAATCGTCGGCAGTACGCACCCACAGCCATGGTTCAAACACAGGACCTTGTGGTTACAAGGCAAGCTCGTATACCATTCAGCCACTGGGACCCAATTTAATGGCCAGTGCATGAATTCTAACTTCTACCGATTCGTGATTTATCATGACACCAGTGGCTGAATGGTATACGAGCTTGCCTTGTAACCAAAAGGTCCTGGGTTCGAACCATGGCTGTGGGTGCCTACTGCCGATGATTCCCAAACTAGGATGAACAAGCAGCTGTCCAGTACTTCGGTGTTGGTTTTCAATGGTTCTCTAGCTTATATCAATCCATGATCAACTCGTAAAAACAAAACTAACCCTTACAAAGGAAACTATTGCAAATACTCATACTATTAATAATAATAATAATAATAATAGCTTTATTCCAAACAGTATTTGTGGTACAGGTATGGAATTTTCAGCGTTCATTACAATATTGCATCTAATTACCTCATAGATTTTATAAGAATTTAAAAATAAAAGCAACAACAATAAAAGAAAAAAAGAGAAATAGAAGAAATAAAAAAGAACAGTATTGTGTTCACATATTTAAACAATACAGCACAGGATATGATATATAAAATCAGTCTGTAATAGAATATATGAGCAACAATATAATAGTAACAAAGAAAGGAGAATAAAAGCTAATGGGAACTATTTGTTAGAGTGCCGCAGTAAGGTGATCGTGTCATGCCTAACAGTTTTCTCATCACATAACAGCTGTGCCAGATAGGGTATTGTGGAGTTTTTATACTTGGTAGTCCTGGCATATAGCTTCCTATAGTTACTTCTAGTTCTACCAGATGAAATGCAAGGAGAGAGCTGTGTATAGAGAGGATGCTCAGGGTCTGACAATATAGTATTCGCTAGTTTCTTACATGACATGTAAATTCACAAAAAGTCTCTTGATTCTGCATTACAGTTTTGATTGTACTATATTTTTGATAAGGGTTTTAACCTTTTCGTTCCTTTTCTCATCACATATTAATAGTGGAGATGTGATTGATTGATGATTGGCTTAAACTTTCTACTATTGGTCTTGAGGTCGAGTCCTGCTCCACGGCTTGCCTTAATCACTAGGCTACCTAAATTTTCTATCCACCCAAATGCATCGTGTTTACTCCATTCATCATATTGTTTTATTCATATATTCATGTTTAATGAATCGCAATGTATACTCAGGCACATTTTCAAATTATGGTTTCTAAACGGATTCCTACGGATTTTCTGACAAAAATGGAGGAAAAACAAACATTGTGGGTTATTGTAAACACGTCTAGGATAAAATAATAAAAATATTGGTGAAACTAATATTAATGATTATATAAATAAGAAAGTATATAAGGCATCTACAGTTATACCATATAAGGAGGGGATATCTGAGACCCTATGTAGGATTCTCAATAAAGCAGGAATTAGGGTGGCATTCAAACCTACAAACTCACTTAGAGACAAGCTCTGTAGGCTAAAGGACCCTGTTGATCCAATTAAACAAAATAATATAATTTACAAAATACCCTGCAATGACTGTGAGTTAAGTCAACTACATAGGTCAAACTAGTAGATCAGGAGTAGTGAAATTATCAGAACATAAGAATTTAGCTAAGGTTAGAATGATTGATCCCAGGAAGATAAGTAATTTAGAAAAAAGCTCAGCAATGGCCCTGCATGCATTAATACACAACCACACAATAGGATGGGAGAGGGTAAAAATTCTAATAAGTAATATAGGTAGGTGGAAAGAGAGAAAGAGATATTGATTGCTGAATCCTGGTTCATTGAGTCTACACCCAACACATGCAATAGAAATGACTCAATGCAAATACCAGAGATATAGAAGATATTATTACCACCAGTCAGATCAGAGGAGGATAATAAATAATCTTAAAATTCTATTTCAATTCACGTACATCATAACATTCTAACAAGTTACTCATTATTTTGACTATAAAAACACTCGTCTTATTTCCCATCTGATTGTATGTGATCGATAACACTGATTTATTATTTCTCTATGTACATTATCCTATATATTGATTTTTATTCAAATGTCTAATCATCAATTTTTACTCATGTGTATATGTGAAGCAAGAAAGTTGTGTGAGTGACTTGATATGATTATGAGCAATAATTTATTTTCCGAACGTCATCAGTAAATATTACTGTACAACACTGTGTGACAATTTATCAAAATAAAATTTTATCCATAATGGAGTTATACTCACTCTACCACAATGCCCTTATATCAATAAAACAATATCGCTTCAAGTTGATATATGATTATCGTTTATTATAATATCAATTGGAGATTCTGTACAAGGAGTAAATACCTTGCAATAAGAAACACTTGCTGAAAGTTCTGTTACCGATAAGTGCCCAATCAAAAAGAAATGAAATCTTGTAGGCCATCATGGGGTCGATTAAAGATGACTGCAGAGAAAAGGGTGAAACAGAGATGTGCTCTTCCACTAGGAGCATAAAGAAATGATGGTAAGTGACGATATTTTGATACCACCACCCAGTTGAATCGTATATCCCCCAATCTCGTTTATTTTGATTTGTAACTAAAATGCCCCCATTTTGACCCCTGGTGGTATTAGGAGTGCTCACTGCTAAAAAATCCCAAGTTAGAACAAAAAACTAACCATTTCTACTATTAATAAGCTCTCAAATTCTTAATGAAAAGATCGAATGCTTTCTCTTATTTTCCTCCAAAGGAAATATTTTATGTAAGTTTAATGTATACTACTTTATAAAAATAAGTAGCACGGTTTGGCCTAATTTTTTAAATCTTTTTTAGCCAACTCCAATAAACCAGAATACAGTGACATTTCTTCTAAGGTCAAATCACCTTCCTTTGCTGTCAGTACACTTAAAGCAATGAATGATCGCTTATGGATTGGTACTAGTGTTGGATTAATTGTCACAATTCATTTCCAAGATGGTCTGTTCAACAGGACATTCCAGCGATCATCATCAGGACGTCAGAAGGGTAAGTAACTGTATCAATAGTGTATATATATATATATGGTGCCGAAGTAGCTTAAATTTCAGAATACTGTTCATTACACTATAATCGTGTTAATGCTGCAAGAATTTGATAACCGATTTGAGAAAATTTCTGCCTCAGTACAAATTAAATTGTAGACTCAGCAGTAGAGTCATTTTCGGGGTAACCGGAACCACCTGTTCGGTAGCTTTCGGAGGTTTTGCAGCTCTTTGCCAACATACTCCTCCTCAGTGCATATTTTTCTGATCCTTGAGGAAAGGGAACGATTGACATTTCTCTTTCTGCTTAGGAGGGACAGAACTCTGAAAATTAATAAATTGTCCATCCCATGTAGGCCTTTTGTAGATAAATCTCCTCATTGAGTTATCGAAATTTCTTTGCATTTAACCATTGAGGAGTCTGATTCAATGTTATACTTCCTGTCACTGGATCGAAGTCTAAATGCTCATGATTTGCGAGTTTCCATCAATTTGCTTAACTGCACAGTAGCTGAATGGTAACGTACCAGCCTCATAATCTGAAAGTCATGGATGTGTAAACCCTGTTGAAGTTATGGGTTCTCAATTCTGTAGAATCTCAAACTTGATCGAAACAGCTATCCAGTCTTCAGTGGTTTTATAAATGCTGTTAATTTTTGACGAAATCTAGCGTAACTTTTAATTATTTGGAAGACTGTAGAAATGTCTCTGGATATACTGCCTAGGGTAACTAGTAGGTGTTCTGGTCACCTATGCATATATATATATATTCATTTAAAGCAGAACTGAATGAAATGTGATTGAAAGAGATAGTAGGCCTTCGAGTTTTTAACCATGGGTGACTGATTCAAATCTTGTAGGTAGTTCATGGTATCATTTATATTATTATTATTATTGTTTCCTTTAGTCCCTAGAGGAACATAAGGCTTCAGCCGCACGTCTCCATTGCATTTGGTTCTCTGCCAACTTTTTCACCTGACCCTACATCCGCCTACATGCTTTCGTCTCCTATTCGCACGACTTCCTCCATGTCGTCGTCGCATTGACGACCAACTCGCCTCTTCCTATTCGGGTTCCACTCGAGCGATGGCCTGGCGTGTGACAGATGTCACTTGATGATGGTTTGTTTTCTCAGAGTATGGCCAGCTAATCCACCTGCATTTCTTCCTACATATTTGTTGCACAATTGGTTCCTGCTGGTTTGTTTCTCACTATTGCTGATCTTTTCTGGTCGGCCATCTGATGTTGAGTAGTATTGAGCGAAGACGTGTGTAGTTTGTTCGAAGTGCCCTTCATGGTATCATTTATTGAGTGTTAATTCCTAGTGTATTACTGGATTTGTTATCTACATTTACGATAGCTGATTGACTGACTGTCTGACTGAGTTTCAACATAGAAGGCCAGTAGTTCAAGTTGCCGCACTCCGTACAGCACACAACGATAGAGAGAAGAAAATGTAATCCAAAAGAACTATGATGAGCAGAAATGTACGGGAGAAAATATAACATGGAGAAACAATAAAGTTTAATCGATATGATAGATAGATCACAAAGAGTGAACGCTTCTGCACCACTGTAAACGATTTTGAGCCATATTGCAGCGTGTGCTACTGATAAGATTTATCAGTAGTATATGTAAATAAAGAGATGTTCTTCGGTATAAAAACATTTAATAGTAGGGAGACAGATTTGATATCAGTGAAAACAAATGATACATCGTTGCTGAAATACATGGGAGACATGAAAGGAACACATAAAAACACAATATGAAGGAAGACCAGAAGTTGCACAACATGGAAGATCTGTGCAAATGGTGCAGCGTTGAAGATAAGGTGTACATAATTCGGCTATATATATAGAGATACCTATAGCAAATCTTCGTCTTCTACCGTTGCTATATCATCACTAACATTCTCCAACCATTGGTTCTTAGCTACCTGAGGACCCCGACCAAGCTGTCTATATTTTTGCCTAGGTGGCTAGTTCAAACCGGCTGTCAAAGGCCTCCGGATTTTGATTCGATCACCCCTAACCCTCTTACGACCTGATCCTATGTTAACCAACATATCTCGAGGAGAGGAAGGTTATGACTTGGCATGTATGACTCATGTCTAAGCTGTCTCAATCAGTGTATCTTCATAACCTCATCGATTCACTGAGCCTGGTCCCAATATTTTTGATTTAACACTAGTAACTAGTGTGATGTGTCTAGTCCTCTCTTCGGTGCAACCTGAATTCTATCAGTCAGGTTGTAATGTGGCCACCATTCTAGGTAGCTCGCCATCACGGTGCATATTGATTTGACGATATTAGATGATAGAATTCAGTCTGCACCGAAGATACGACTAGACACATTACACTAGTTACTAGTGTCAAATCAAAAATATCCACTACAGTCCTACAGGAGGTCAGTGGCGAGCCCGAATAGCTCAGTGGTAACATCTCTGACTGCAGCACTGGGTGAGGTGGGTTCGAATCTCAGAAGGGACATGAGTTCCTTCAAGGTTGCAGATACTCCTTGCTGACTAGTGAGTGGCAACTAGCACGAGACCTTTGTCACGCAAGGCTTCCTGCCGATTGCCTCCAATCATCTGGTCTCAATATTCCTCACCTTATCATGCCACCTAACACAGGAGATAGAACGCAAGCATCTTTGGTCAAAGACATTTAGCCTTTTCATATACCTCATTTTCAGTGGCAATGTCACACAGCCATAGAGAAATGTGGAGCGAACTGGTGCGTAGTACATATGCGTCCTTTGACCGATAGCCGGATATCATGTTTACACCAGAGACTATGGTTACTTTTACGATTCAGCGTATCCATTTCTTCTATTCTTTACGAGCTTTTTAATTTAGTTGCACACATTTTCATCAATATGTATCTTCTATTATGCGTGAATGAGTAGCAGTTTGATTCAATTTACCATTCATCATCGTATACTAATTTTTTTTCCCTATTAAACCATTTCCCTGTTTTCATTTTTTCCTCCTGCAAAAACGTCATCAAATTAAAAAAAATACAAAATGGATAGATTCAATCCATTTGTCAAAACGTATTTGTAAAGCTATTCTGGATTGTTCATCAGTACAGGTAAGATGTAGTGTCTTCCTTTTGTTTTTTCCTACCTCATATTCTGTGAAGATTAAAAAAAGTTTTATTTTAAAATGAACACACAGGTTTATATTTATTCATCTCATTGAATGAATTTAGGACAGGAATTCATATCAATTGATGGAATATAGAGTAGTAGGTGTTATATGTAACTTATAGACTAGATAGACAGTCTTGTCAATCAGAATTTAAATTTATACGAATATTGATCTCATTGTACGTTAATCAGATAACCAACCAATCAGCTTTAAGCATGCCTATAGACGCTTAAACATAAACCAGATAACAACCAATCAGATTCACCACGTTAATTGTCACTCAGTAATCGGTCGAATATTGCATCATATAAGTAGTCCATGATACTTTTTTTTCGGTATGACGACTGTAATTATATATTTGTAATTACAGTACCTCTGAGTCGCATCTCATCAGTATTAGTGTTGAAGTCTTTTTGAGTACTGCCAGTTCAGGTCAGGGAAAGTTCATCGCTGTTAGCCTCATTCGTTTGAAGGTTCAGTAAACTTGGCAATAGTTTAGTGGCAAGACTCCACATTTCAGGCGACTGAACAATAAAACAGAACATCCTATGCATCTATGTGATCAACTGTTCCTATATCAATGCTTCTGATGAGGTTTCACGTGTACGTTGACCTCAAAAGTGATGGGTCACTGGATTAAACTATCCTACGCATTTGATTGATCGCCACTTTTCGAAGAAGCTTAACATAGGAGGACAGAATACTAGTAGTGATTCGTAGTTTGCCAAACACCTCAGCAAAGTAACCTTCATCAGTATAAATAGCTCAGATAAACTGTCAATAACCTCATGAATTATTGTTATGTTTTAATCTAATCACTTGTGACTCAGACAGTATTATGCACTGATGAAATCAATAGCTCTGCAGAACAGTAAGGATCTGTAGGTGGAAACTGAGCATTAGCGTATTAGCATATATTCCATTCCTTTCTGTTCTTTAGATGAATTTGTTCTCCTTCATATTTTTTTTTGTTTCTTCACTACTACATGCTGTTTTCACTAAATTTGTCTTCTAAAATTGTCTTCTTTCTATGAGACTTAGATTGAACTGATAAACCGATGGTATTTGTTCATTTCCTCACATAGACTATAATAGCAGTGTTCAGCCTTCAGGGTTCCAGGTTAAACATCGGGCTTCAGTAGTACATCTTCATCGTATTCTGTCCTCTCAGCTGACTCTACAATTGCATACAAGCTTTCATTGCGTCTTCACATGATCCACTCCATGTGTTACTCTTGGATACATGCCTAACTTAATGCTTCTCATTTGGGTTCCCACAAACTGGAAGATATGCAAGCGAAAAGCAACAAGTTGGCAGTTAAAGAAGCATCAAAGATAGGACTTGAGGTGAACATAGAGAAAACAGAGGTGATGATGATTCCTGGGCAACACCACCACCAACAACAACCATCAGCATAAATGGAAGGAACCTGAGAGAAACAACCTCTTTTACCTACCTGTGAAGCATCGTTTCAACTACAGGCGGAACTGACGAGGATATCAAAGCAAGACAAGCCTTCACTACTCTCAAGTCTGTGTGGAGGTCAACAGCACTCAGCATCAAAAATAAGATCCGGATTTTCAACTCCAATGTGAAGTCAGTGCTACTTGCTATACGGATCAGAGACTTGCACTGCGCGTCATAAAGGGCATCTCAAACAAACTACAGACCTTCATTAACAGTTGTCTTCGCTCAATACTCAAGATCAGATGGCCAGCGAGAAAACATCAGCAACAGAGATCTCTGGCAATGAGCGAATCAACCAGGAAGGAGCCGATTGTAAAGGAAATAGGCAGGAAGAAATGGAGATGGATTGGCCATACTCTGAGGAATCAAACCATCACTAGACAAGCCATTGCTCGAGTGGAACCCGATAGGGAAGCGGCGAGTTGGTTGTTCAAAGGACCGTACGTGTAACTTGAAAATCATCTCAGAGTGTGCCCGATCCTTCTGCATATTTGCCGGGTGGTAAATTGACAGTTTACCAGAAAGTACTGAATCAGAAAAGAAGATGGAAGTTTGGGCGTGGAATTAGCAACCCCACCCCCAGAAAATCAGTTTAGTCGTAGCTACGGAAACTTCAAGTCACAGAAAAAATACAGATAAAAAAATAAACTTATTGGTCTTAATGCACTCGTCGTCAGGGTAGTTAAAGATATTTAAGTGCTGGTTTGCAATATGAAGTCGTGACTGCAGGTCGGTTGTGAGGACATGTGCTCGCCAGCGATGACATTGGCTAGTGCCAGTCGTGCTATATCGTGAATTGGTAGAAGTTGGAATTCATAGACTGGTCTACGAGCTCACCTTGTAACTGGAAGACCCGGTGGGTGAGTACTACTGAAGAGTCTCGAAGTCGGATGGACGAAACAGCTGTCCAGTACTCCCTGCTGGTTTTTCCAATGGTTCTCTAACCGATGTCAGCTCATGACTGAAATCCTCTAACCAGTTAAAGATATATTATCGTTTTTCTTCTTTTCAGATAAGTGTACATCAGCATACAACACCGGTAAGATTTTTCGTTTCACCAACCGTGGTACAACAACACAGTGAAGATAGCGCAAATATACAATCCAATTGTAAATCCCTTACGCCGTATGAAAAATCATCCGCTTCTCAGAAATCATCTGACCCGCTTACATCTAATAAGCATAAAAAGAGAATGGAAAAATCAAGCGTGTTTATCGTTTCCGGTGCTGAAGGCCATGTGATTAGTAATCAAAAAGATGGTAAGTTTTGCTGATTTAAGATTTGTTTTGAATATTCTTATTATTGTATATTTGCATTTTGTCAAGTAACTGATCTAGAATAACACATGTAAACGTGAACTATATTGTGTTGTTCAACTACATCTCATCAGGCTCAACACCTATATAACTTTACAAATAAATCTAGTTAAAGAACCATTGGAAAACCAGCACTACAGTACTGGACAGCTTTTCCGTCCTAGTTTGGGGTTCTTCATCAGCACGCACCCATCCCAGAGGGTTCGAACCCAGGACCTTCTGGTTACAAGGCCAGTGAGCTCGTGGACCATTAAGCCACTGGGACCCGATCCAATAGCCACTCCATGAATTATAACTTCTGTCAATTCGCAACATAGCACGACCACTTCGCAATGTCTTCTTCGGTGATTAACTGTCCTCATCTTCAACCTGCTGTACCCTACTGGTCACGGCTTCCCACTAGAACCCCAGGTTAACTGCCTAAATAGGACCAGTCACTAGTGAGCATCAGATTAATTTGCAAGTATTGGTTTTGTAGGGATTTGGTTTGATTGCATGGAGGATTTCATCATGAGCTGACATCAGTTAGAGAACCACTGGAAAACCAGCTGGGAGTACCGGACAGCTGTTCCGTCAGCCTAGTTTGGGAATCTTCAGCAGTACGCACCCACCGACAGGATTCGGATCCAGGACTTTCTGGTTACAAGGTCAGAGAGCTCGTAGACCATTAAGCCACTGGTTTTCCAGTGGTTCTCTGACTGATTTCAGCTCATGATGAAATCCTCCATGCAATCATATTTTATAGGCTCAACACTTTCATCATTCCTACTCTTAAAGAACTGAATGATTTCTGTTATTCATTTTTTTATTTTTTTTATTATTTTTGCAATTCTTCTGTTTTTTTTCATAGATTCAAAAAACAAATCGAATAAAGGATCCACTACTGATCATAATAGTTTAGATCAAAGCCATTTAATTTTATGGAAATTGTAAATCATCATAGCAGCTTTATCATTACTGTCACCATTGTTATTATCATTATTATCAGTAACACACCTTCTATGTGTAATATGTACAAATTTCGCTTTGTAGTAATAGTATTAGTAGTAGTACTAGCCTCTTCTTCTCCTTCTTTGTCTTTACTTCACTATATTTAAAGTGTAAGAATGTACAACAATTAAGTCATCTCTTTAAAACATAATATCCTTTCTTATATTTTCCACTCATTCTTTCGTTCATTCACGTTCATTGATTGGATTGGATTGTATAAATCTAGCCGTTGAGGAGATACTACTGACAAAAAACTAATAACACGTTGGGACAACCTGTCTTTAATTCAATTACTGTCTTGATTCTTTCCTCTTCAACTGTGTGTGTGTGTGTGTTATTTCAACTGAAGATGATCACTGTGTATAAAGTATTCTTCTTGTTGAATGTTGTTCACCTGGCCATAAAGGCCTACACACAAATGATCATGTTTGCCGCATTTGTAAATAATAATGATAATAGTAATAATAATAGTACTAATGGTAATGAATAATTACGCTTAACTAACTTACCTTCATTGTATTTTCTAGCCTACTCATTGTTTTCTTTAAAAAATGTTAATATCACACATTTTTTTTTAAATTTATAGTAATCATTTTTAAAACAAATATAAGCTGAATTCCTTATTTCTTTGTCTTTCTTATTCATGAATGTGGATGTATTATGTAATTGGGGTTTATTCCTGTTTATAACCAATAGGAGATGATAGCTACGCTGAGCCCACCGCCGCCCAACCATAGGTCAGTTTGTATGGATTCGATTGTTCCAGTTGTGATTTACTGTCACTGACTATTTATACTGCGTCGGTGGTACAGCGGTTAGGACGATCGCCGACCGTGCACACGGTCCCGGGTTCAATCCCCGGCTGAGGCACCCCTGCTTTACCTCGCTAAGCCAGTAATAAGACTGGTAAAGAGGGAATGTTGCTGATTAGGCTGGCTAGCAGCCCCATCCCGTAAAAAATAAACACAGCTACTACTGAAACTTCAAGCCTCTAGCTTCAAACACTATGTCCCACTGAGAACGTAAAGGAATAAAAAAAACAATCAATATCACATTTTTATGTGTCGTTATTTTCCTTGATCAACGTGAATAATTGATGGGGAAATTCTCATTGGGACATATATAGAAAATCAAAATAAGTGATTCAGTGAAGAGTCTGTTTAATCAACGAATTTTTCTTCAAGTTGTGTGAGTTGTATTTTATAAAATAGGTAATTAAAACATTACACAATAAGGTGATAATTACTGTTACTATTATTGTTGTTCTTTTGGGTTTCAAGTGGAACACAGGGCTTCAGCAACACATCTCCACTTTCTTCTATTTTCTGTCATCCTCTTCAATTGGTCCCACGATTGCTTATAATTTCATATCTCCTGTTCGCCATATGATCTCTTCCATGTTATCGTCGGACGCCCCACTGGTCGTTCGGCATTCACCTTCCACTGGAGGTTATGCCTTGGGTACGATGTCATTCGACGGTGTTCTCAGTGCATATTTGTTGAGCAAAGTACTTTCTTGTTAATTATTTTTGGCTGGCCATTTAGTCTTCAGCATAGAGCCAGCGAGAGGAGTAGCTGTTGATAAAAGTCTGCAACCTGTTGGAAGTGTTTTTCGTGATGTGAGGGCAACGTTTTTCATCCCTATAGAAGAACTGACTGACTTCACATTTGTGTTGAAAATCGGAATTTTGTTCTTCATGCTGCGCAGAGTGCAGAAGATTTCCATACTGATTTCAAATTGGTGAAGGCTTTCTTTGCCTTTCCAACTTTGGCTTTAACATTCTCATCTGTGCCACCCTCCTGTAATTGAAACGATGCTTCCTAGGTAAGTGAAGGAATTAACCTCGTTCAAATTTCTTGATTGATGTTAGTTGGTTGGCTGTCTTGATAACCTTCGTCTTCTCTATATTCACTCGAAGTCCTGTATTTGTTGTCAGCCTTTTCTACCAGTCTTTTGGTTTTCGTCAGTAGGTTTTCGAGTTTGTTTGACATCAGAAATAAGTAATCCGCGAGACACACAAATGATCATGTTCGCCACATTTGTAAATAATAATGATAATAGTAATAATAATAGTAGTAATGATAATGAATATTACGCTTAACTAACTTATCTTCATTGTATTTTCTAGCCTACTCATTGTTGTTTTTTCAAAAAATAATTAACATCACACAATTTTTAAAAAATTTATAGTAATCATTTCTAAAAGAAATACAAGCTGAATTCTTTATTTCTCTGTCTTTCTTATTGATGAATATGGATGTATTATGTAATTGGGATTTATTCCTGTTTATAACCAATAGGAGATGATAGCTACTCTGAGCCCACCGTCGCCCATAAGTCAGTTTGTATGGATTCGATTGTTTCAGTTGTGATTTACTATCACTGTTTATTCATAGTACGTCGGTGGCACAGCGGTCCGGGATTCGATCCCTGGCCGACGCACCCCCCTGCTTTACCTCGCTAAGTCAGTAATAAGACTGGTAAAGAGGGAAGGTTGGGCATTAGGCTGGCTAGCAACCCCATCCCGTAAAAATAAACACCGCTACTACTACTGAAACTTCAAGCCTCTAGCTTGAAGCCCCCTATGTTCCACTGAGAACGTAAAGGAATAAAAAACAATCAGTATCACATTTTTTAATGTGTCATTATTTCCCTTGATCAACGTGAATAATTGATGGGGAAATTGTCATTGGGACATATATAGAAAATCAAAATAAGTGATTCAATGAAGAGTCTGTTTTATCAAAGAATTTTTCTTCAAGTTGTGTGAGTTGTATTTTATAAAATAGGTAATGAAGACATTACACAATAAGGTGATATTTACTGTTATTATCACTATCATTGACAAGAAATCATATTAAGCTTCAAGACCTAGAGTTCAGAAATATCTAAGATTGGATGGTGACTGTCAGTGGAATGCAGGATGCGCATTTCGTCCTATTCGGGACTCATCATCCGGGTGAACCTGTATCGCTTAGTAATTGAGTGATAGTGTTCCCACTGAGGCTGCAATCCAATACCACTAGTTTGAAACGCCAAACCGTTATCCACTAGATCACTTGGACCACAAGAGCTAGTATGGACTTTCCCATCAACTGATGACTAGACCGAAGTGTTCAGTCTCTACCAGTCACCACCCACCAAATTACTACAAGTTAAATCGCCAGACACTGTCGAAGCATCCGCACAGAGAGCCGATATGTGAACAGAACCCGGACATTTCAGTCCACTCAATCAACAGGAAAGTTCAAATTCAATTAAATAGTTGAAAATGTTCAATAATCATCTTCTACTTGTTTTATTAATTAAAAATTTAAGTACATAAAATGAATTTTATTTTGAAAAAGTATTGTATGATAAACCTTATTGTTTCACTCTGTTTGCCTAAATGTTCTTTTCTCACTATGGTTACCATACATACACAGAAAATAAAACAATACGCAGTGACTTCAATTGTTCTTTTCATTGTTCTACTGCATCAGAATAACTTTCATTTGAATAAGAAAAAAATTTATGATACATGTATAGATAGGTATTTAAACATGATCGCATACTAACTAAGTTTTATGGTGATAACATGTATTGTAATTTCTATACAAATAAACCCAATGGACATGTACATTGTAAGGAGGAATTTCCTGAATTCCTATTGGTTTAAATAAAGGATAAAATAAAATGTTTTCTGTGTACATGAAAACCCAGAACACATCTGTAATATCTGTTCTCTCAGCTTGATAACAGGAGCAGCCCTTGTTTTATAAATTTCATTCTGTAAGTCGATGACTAGTGTTTATTTAATTGTAATAACAATCATTTTGTGTAATGCGTGATAATTCAAGGTGAAATGTAAGTCGAAGCCATGGCGCCATTTGCAGTATCACTTTGTCAGCTGGGCTATAAGATCCCACTGCTAACCAGGTCGTCATCACGCGTAATACTCAGCTGATATGTGAATGAATGACATGTTATGCTACCTTTCGGATGTCATGACACTAGTTGTCACAGCCAGGTCATGCTGAAACAGAAGCAGTGGAGCAGCAAGTTGTTAACAAAAGAGTGAAACAGTCCGTCAAACCAAGACTGTTAGGTTTAATGGCTCAGCTGATACGGTGCTGGACTGGTAATTCAGAGGTTACTGGTTTAAAATCCTGTAGCGATCGGGGTTTCTACTTCCCAACCTTCAACAATCACCCAGAGCATAAATAAGAATCTGCTTAAACAAGACTATGTAAGATGGTTTCGCCGTTAGTTATAGTTCCCTGCATTATTTACAGGATTGTTATTACTTATATTGTTATTCCCCTGGGTGGCGAGTGCACCATAGGGCTTCAACAGCATTCCTCTTTAACTGACCCCACAATTTCCTACATGCTTTCATCTCCTCCTCATACCATCTCCCTCGTGTCACCCTCAGACCTACGTCCAACTCGTCGCTTCACATTCGAGGTCCATTTGAGGGCCTAGTCCTATTCATCTCCATTCCATTCCACATATTTGTTGAGTAATAGGTTCTTGATTGATTCGTCAACAGAGTCTCTTGTTTAAGTCAGCGTTTTTTTGTGGCTTTACCTTCAGTGAAGACTAAGAATTTCCGATTTAAAGGAGTAATTTTTATTTATTTTAAACTTTCATTAAAGACCGTAATGTTATTTGAACCTCTGCTCGAAAACCATATCAATTTTTAGAATACACTTCCAATTCGATAGTGATGTTTGTCGTCTTTATATGATCTTGATTATTGCCAAACTAAAGCTGATAACCCTGGCAGATTCACCTCACTGAATTAAGTATTATTACCATTATACAGAAATTTGGTGTAATTTGGTGTTATATGTGAGGATAAAAGCCTCCTGAGTGATTTCGTGTCTAACGGTATTCACCAACATTTGTATATCTACAACTCTGAAGACTCATGATATTTTTTTCTGGGTAGAACTTGATGACTTAATTATGATTGTGAATATGCTTTGTTGGAGAGTGGCAATAAGCACGAAACCTAGAGAAGGACTTCCTATCATTTGACTTCTTCTAGTATCAAATGCAGGATAAACTATACGGGAATATTGGTCTTTGTTCGACCAGCGTTACCCAAGCATACAATTCATCATAGTTCTTGAATAAGTGGATTCATTGTTTGATCGAAGCTCATAATTTCGATATGTTGGAGAAGATTTGTAGCTCAGATGGATGATTTTGATGCGGTTGTTTTCTCTGAGCTGGATAGTTCATTTGCAAAGCCTTCATTACCCTACTGGGCTACATCTTCCTTCAGCGCAGATTTTAACTAGAAATGAGCTGTTAGATTTCTCCACGAGTTTATTAGTTATCTCTCCCAGTGGTGACCTTGAACGTGATTGGTTGTATTTGTGTGTCTTCACACCCTCTAGGCTACTTGGGTTGGAACTGATTGTTTCCTTGACTTGAACTTTGACCCTTTGTGTGTGTGAGATTTCCTTCTTATCGATCGGTAAATTTTGTCTATGCCAGTGTATCTATTAATAGGTGATTCATTGGAATACCAGGCTTCTAAATGTCTCAGTCGAATTGATGTCCGTTGTTGTCTATATGTAGTGATATGAGGGAGTAGATGTCATGTCTTTTGACGGCTATTTTATGTTCATGGATGCGAAGACGAAGGGGATGTCCACTTTGCCAATTTACTGTTTTTTGCAGTTGTTACAATTTATTTTGTATATGAGGTTGGTTTTATCTTCTTTCGTTGTTGGGTCTTTTGGTTGACATAGAGCTGAAAGAAGTGATTTTGTTGGTTTGTGTGTGACGTCAATTCCTAAATGGTTTGACGAGTCTTGCAGTGACTTCTGAGATGCCTATTTAGTCGAATTAAAAATCTACTCACACTGTAAAAAAAACTCAGATGAGGAGTGTTATTATCAATCAGTTATATGAATAGAATTTTAATACAGTGTAAAATATTGTTATCTGATACTTACCGCCTTATATAAATTAAACACGTCAGTGGTTCAGTGACAGAATGCTTGTAAACCGCGATTTTCTTCCTGGATTCGACTGCCTGTTGACTCACCCGACGTAGCTAGTAAAAAGCCCATAAAAGTGGGGAAGTCGGGCATAAGGCAGGTAATCCCACCTCTTAAAAAGCAACACAACTGCTACTGAGACACCAAGGCCTCAAGCCTTATTCTTCGGTAGGAACACAAGGGATGAAATAAATACACTAGTGTTTATAAAAACTACTGTAAGTAACTCAAATCGTACTGAACTTTTCATTTATTTATTTATTTGTTTTATTTCTGAAGATGGAAGGCGCTGGATACTCCGTGAGTAAACGTAAACCAGAGATAAAGAAGACAAACAGTGTTAGATTTGATGATGAAGTGAAAGTTGGCACTGAGAAACCGAATAATTCTAATTACATGATAGAAGAAATGCCAAGAAGATCTTCCATAAATGTCTTACGCAATAAATTCTTTCGTAGTAAGTTTCTAATACAATTTATAATGCTTTTGCTTTACACTTTTAAATGTCATACTTATATTCGTCCTAAACAAACACTGTAATTCTTCCTCTGCAACCTCCTGAGAAGAATAAATTATTTAAAAAACGCTGAACACTGATACACTACTAAAAAAATTTACTTTCATGAGGGTAGTCAGTTCATTTAACTATGTTATAACTAATTGAATAAACTTCAAGTCCAACAAGCATGGCATTTTTAATACTTTTGGTCATATTGGACCTTTAGACAAATCTATCTAAAAGAAGGTGTTATTTAAGTGCTGATGTCTAGCAGTGAAGTCAAGGATGAGCGTTTCCTTTTACTTCGGACCCATCAGCTGAATGTACCGTTTCACAAGAGGTAGCCCTCATGGCCGAGTAGCATTGTAGATAATTGTTCATCAGCTTACCTTGTAATCTGAAGGTCCTCGATTCAACCCCACGGGGGATCATGGGTGCGTACTGATGAACAGTCTTCAGCCCTCATGAAGCAGCTGGCCATCATCCCATGGCTTTTGATGTGTTTTTTTAGTTGAAATTGAAAAAACTGATTATTGAACAAAGCATATTCTAGTGTTGGTTTGTAGGGATTTGAGTGGTTAAGGAGTTTCATCATGAGCTGACATCGGTTAGAGAACCACTGGAAAAAGTGGGAGTACTGGACAGTACTGGACAGTTTCGACAGCCTAGTTTGGGATTCTTCGTCAGTACGCACCCACCGCCAGGGTTCGAAACCATGACCTTCTGGTTATAAGGCTAGCGAGCTTGTAGACCATTAAGCCACTGGGACTGGATCCAATGGTCTACCAGCTCACCTTGTAACCAGAAGGTCCTGGGTTCGAACCCTGGCGGAGGGTGCGTACTTCTGAAGAGTCCCAAACTAGGTGGACGAAATAGCTGTTCAGTACTCCAAGGTTTTCCAATGGTTCTCTAACTAATGTCAGCTCATGGTGAAATCCTGTAAAGAATATTTTTGTGGATAAATTCCTCATCAAGTTGGTGGCAAAGAGTTTAGGACGCTCACCGACCATGCACATGGTCAGAGGTTCGATTTCCGGCCGACGCACACCCGATATCAATGGTCGGCCTGCTAAATTTGGGCTACCGACATCACATGCTGAAAATTCCATACATGTACCAAAATACTGTGTGGAATCAAGCTATAATAATAATAAAATAGTTAAAGAGATTTTATTATTGAAAACATTGATTTTGTTTCAAATTACACTGAATCAATAGTTAGTGTCGATAGATTACAGTTCAAAAACATCAGTAAGAAAGAGAGTTAATATGCATTAATATAACACTAAACTGATTGAATATCAGACAAATTAAGTGAAGTAACTCAGGATTTATGGATTTAAGGGCTCGAAAGCAGGCCACGGTATCAATAGTGGCTGGATCTGTTTCTTTAGCACATAAAGCTCTGGTTGTTTTAGGTAAATTGTAATGGCCTCTCCTGTTTGGAGTGTTCAGCATCTAGAGGCCTTTGGTAATTTATTCGACACCTGATAGGTGATAGAGAAAGATCCTAATATCGAACTGTTGACAGTTCGATATTTAACCACACAACACTGGTAAGTGTTGTCGAGCACGGAAAATTAGGTCCCTAGAGCAACTAACGGCCAATAAAACTGGCTTCACAAGAGCAGGTGAACTGGTAGATACAATTAGTGGTAGCTAGACTAGGGACTTTGTCTTTCAGCTTCGGAATCACAAGTGGTTGTGTGGAAAATATAAGGTACAGGTTACCGACATTAAACGTTCTTTGGGTCGGTTTTCTCAACTTGTTGTCGGTTATTATTCCACTTAGAATATCACCTTTGTATCACAGTCGTATATATATATTCTTGTTAACAGATACAGAAAAATTATTTTCTACTTTCATAGCCACATGTTTACTGGTGAACTTTTAAGAGTACCTGCTTTCAATTGAAATCAATGAAATCACTGCCAACCAAGATCTGAAAATGATATCACATTAACACCTGGCATATATTCTTTGTACGAGTTGATCATGGATTGATATCAATTAGAGAACCATTGAAAACCATCAGGGAGTGCTGGACAGTTGTTTCATCCTAGTTCGGGGATCATCGGCAGTACGCACCCACTGCCAAGGTTCGAATCCAGGACCTTCCGATTATAAGGCAAGGTCGTACACCATTTAGCCACTGGTGCTATGATGCTCACTAGTGACTTGCCACAGGACGGAGTTTCCTGCAGTTCTAGTGAGAAGTCGTGACCAGTGAGGTTCATCCAGCCAAGTGTGTGAGGATGGATGTCCCACCGGCGACAATGGTTGGGGTCGCGCTAAATCACGAATTGGTAGAAGTGAGAATTCATGTGCTGGTCATTAAATCGGGTCTCGGTGGCTGAATGGTATACGAACTTTCCTTATAACCGGAAGGTCCTGGATTCGAACCCCACTTGGTGGGTAGTGCCGATGATTTCCAAACTAGGATGGAACAGCCGTCCAGTACTCCCTGGTGGTTTTGAATGGTTCTCTAATTGATATCAATCCGTGATCAACTCGTAAAAACAAAACTAATCCTTACAAATTAACTATAGGAAACCTGGCATATTGCTAGAGCATCTGTTCTAGGAATTGATATGTCAATAGGAAACTAGCATTTCTGATCCAATAACTAAGAATCAACAAAAAGTACGAATTAACTTGAACAAATAACTTTTTTTTCAATAATTTAATAATTCCCATTGTAGCATTAAGAACACAATATTCAGCGAACAGTCTCTTTTCAACAACGAATTTATTATCGAGTTGTACAGTCGTATATATATGTGATTTTCTTAAGAAATTATATCCAGTGAGGGGATCAGATCAAAGGTGTGAATACTAGAAATAATAATAGTATGAAATGCAATTAAAATATTTGTGATTATAATCATAGTTTAATGCCAAGTGGCAAAATAATTAATGTCATATATAGAATAATAAATTAGGTATATAGATTTTGGAAAGGGGTACATAATTATAAGATCAGTAGACGAATATAAAATGTTACATAACATGGTGTGAAATTTGATAAGATATAATTCCCTGTTGTAAAGACATTTTTCTGGATTTAGAATGACAAGTGAGACAAGCGGAAACAATTGAGAGTGAGAATAATAATAATAATAGTCGTAGTAATAAGGGAAAGGTACGTATAATAACTAAATAAACAAGTTATGTTGGCCGTTGCCCTAGAAACTTGATTTTTCGTGCTCGAGAACATATCCCACTATGGCTAAGTAAAGGTGTAGTTAAAACTATTAACAGCTCGATATTAGACCATCTGGTGCAAACCGGTCACAAAGCCAGCGTAGACGAATCCTTCTCCATAATATACCGGGTGCCTAACAAACTACCAAAATCGTCGAAGCACCACTTGCTCCAAACAGCAGAGGCTATTGCAATTCGCCTCAAACAACCAGCGCTCTGTGTTCAAAAGAAACAAGTTCAGCCTCCACTACTGCCCTGGCCCTCAGTAGAGACTATAAACTCATGAATTTGTACCATGACCTTTCCTAATTCTTCTGACATTCAGTTTATTTTATGTTGATGCTGTTCAGCTGTAATTTATCAATATTATTGATTTGATTTTATTTAAACATTAATGTCGTTCATAAGACTAATTCATTCATTCATTATAATGTAAATATAATTGTAGAACCTGATGATGAATTTATCGAAAAGAGTTCTCTTTGTTCCGTGTCTATTCTTTTGAAAATTTTAATGGGCATTTTTAATCAATTAAAATAAATAAATGTCTATCTGTCTGCGGCCAAAGTAGAAGTAGGGATTGTACATACTTCTTTGTACACAAAGGTCTGGCTTAAATTCATGAATGGTCAAGGCCTCCACTATCTTTAGAAGTCTATTACGCGGCAAGTTAGCACGGATTCGATAGATGATCTTAAAATCATGGTCAGGGTTGACAGAGTGACAGAAGTCGATTAGGTGTTCCAAAATATAGCTTCGCACACACTTTCTTTCTCCCTTATAAAACCATACTGCTTGAATATGTTCTCGTATCCGTATGGAAAGCCTTCTCTGGCTAAGCCCAATGTACCTTGCTCCACAAGAGCAGATGAAGTGACAGATGCACATGGATGTGAGCAGACAGAGGAGCTTATCTTTTACAGAGATGGAGAACAACTTGCGGCTGGTGAACGTCATATGTAATTTTACTGCAAAGAACGTCTTACTGACTGCTTTAGAGAGACGGATTTTGAGCATACCTGAAGCTTGATCACCTTTGAATTCCATGTTCATGAATACGGTTTTCTTTGGAACTGAGTTGGTGACCAGTTTAGACTGCTTATCTTTCAACAAATCGATTTTAGTAACCGTTTTCTGCGAGCGTAGCTTTTCGGAAGTCAAGTTCTGAGTCTATGTAATCAGAACTACAAATGTTTATTATCATAAAATAGAACGAATGAATTGGGTTCCTTTTCCTGAAGATAGGCATCCAACTATAAAATTAGTTAGTTCTCCGTTCGATGTACGCTTCCGGTGGATGGATTTTTTGAAAGATCCGTCACTCCGCTACTAAGGCACACATTAAGAAAGGGAAGGCTTGGTTCAAATTCCTTATCTATGGGGAGTTGTAAAGAAGGACGGCAGTTGTTGAATGCAAACAAGACATCATCAAGAATTACGTCATTATCGCAGATAACGCAAATGTCGTCTAGTTATCTTCTATAAATGTCGAAATGACCGATGGTTTGACTAAGTTGAAAGCTGTCAAGCTTTCCCATAAAACAATCAGCCAGCAAAGGACCCAGTGGTGATCCCATCTCAAAGGCACCTCTCTGTGTAAAAATCTCATTACTGAAGGTGAAATGAACATTCAGCGTGCATCTCAATATGAGTTCTTTGAGGTGGACTGTCGGTAACCCTATTTATGAACTATATGCATCAATATAACCACATATACAGCAAACAGTTTCCATGAGAGGTACAGCGGTAAATAGCGAAGTCACATCTAATGAGAACATGACTTTGTCTGAGATATTAAAATCTTTAATACTTTCAATAAATTTAAATGTGTTATCAATGGAAACTTCTAACTGGTTCTAGTATTTCAGCTAGCTACTGAGCAACTCCATGATATGGAGAACCCGCCATCTCAAGAATTGGACAGAAGGGTAATCCTGTCTTGTGAATTTTCAGTAGCCTTACTGGTTAAAGCAAATTTTTGTTTTTATCAATACTTATAGACCCTCTTCCCTTCATTCTACCTTCATTTTGGTAATACTTTTTCAACTCACTATTATTATTATTAACCTAAAATTCTGTTCAGTGTTAATGAAGTTTATTCCACCTGCCCTATTTTCATTTCTATAAGGAAAGAAACTTTATAAATGAGGTCAGCATAAAGTAGTTTTTATTTGTCAACACATATTAGTCAAATATATTTTACACATTTTTTCATCAAAAATCGAAATAAGTTTAAGTGTGTAATCAAAAGTTTATGTGGAAAGAACTTCAGCTAGAGGCGAGACTATTTCTTCTCAAATAAGCTCTTTATAATAACGACACATGAGTGTAATCATTTCCCCTCGAATTTTAAAATAATTCCATTCCGAATAATCATTTTTATCCCTAGAGTAATCAGATTTCTTCGACTCCCACTTTAGGTAGGTAATATCTATCTGTTTCTACTTCACAAGCACAGTTCTTTACAGACTGAAGGAGTACATTGAAAACAATGCATGACGATTTCATATTAATTTGTTTATGAGATATGTCACACATACATACAACCAAACAGTATTATTTGCTTGATAATGAAGTTTCCTTGCTACGTTTTAATTCATGCATAATCCCCATCCAGGTATTAATAAAAACAAAACACGTAGTTCAGAGAAGAGTTGCTTTTCGGCAGCGAATTCATTCACTTAGCTGTACAATCGCAAATATATGTATATGAGTTATTTTGTATGTATGTGTACAAACAAAAATACAATTGATTATGGTTATTTTAACTAAAGCGGGGTGAAAATGATTAAGTTTTGGGTGAAGTTACGTAATACAAAACTGGTCAAGAAAATTCGGTATTAATGAAACTAATGTAGTAACACAGGTGACAAGTTGTCACAAACAATTGTTAAAAAAAGTTACGTAATGATATGAATAGTTTGATGATTGAGTTGTACTCAGTCAGGATGCATATAAGAACAAAGTAGGGAATACGAAAATACATAAAAGTTCTAAATGAATACAAGAATTATAAGCAGTTAAAGAAACAGACGAACAAACCGAATTAAGTCATCAAAAATCATGAAGGTTGTTACCATGATAGTAGAAGTGGTTGAATAATTCTCTTTTATATGCACAGCTTCGCTTTTTCTGTGTGAATGGCCGGAACTTCAGAGATACAAATAAGACGAAACCATATTGCCTTTGGCCGTTTTTATATTACGTAACTCCACCCAAAACTTACTCATTTTCACCCCCTTTAGTTAAAATAACCATAACCGATTGTATTTTTGTTTGACAAACTTAATGTACACACACATACAAAATAACTCATATATATTCGCGATTGTACAGCTAAGTGAATGAATTCGTCGCCGAAAAGAGACTCTTCTGAAATTTCCAACAAAATTAATTGTTCTTAATATCATCAATTGTAACTACACAACTTTAAAATCTCATCTTTTTTAGTTCTCTGCATTACTTCTCACCTGTCATCGGGACAGTGGAATTTTCCAAATGACAGGAATAGGTGTTGAATCATTTCTGTCGTACGTATTCCTAGTTGATGCGATAAATAAAACTGTTACTTTGTCACTTCTTGTTGGATGGTTGTTTGTAATTGCTTGTAATGTTCTAGTTAACGTATCTTCTAGATTTCTTATCTTATAAGGGTCAAATAATCTAGATTTTGGTAAATGTTTATACTCTCCTAGTCTGACATTGATCCCATTCTACTACTATGACCCATGTATTTGATCTGATAGTCATCTCAGGATGTAAGATAGACTAAATTGCTTTGTTTAGTTAACTATACAGCATCGAAGTGAGTTTGTTTATCTGAATGTCACTTTTATTCCTGTTTTGTTAAGGATCCTATTTAAGGTTTCATAGGTTCCTACTTTGTATGGAAGCAATACTGTTTCATAGTCTGCAATACATCCAATAAACACCACCACCGCAGTGCCCAAATCTAAGTTTATAATTAATTAATATATTAATATAAGTTGCATTCTGATGCTTGCAAGTGATTGGCTACATGATGACATCGTCTGGAATCCTAGTGAGGAGTCATCAACAGTGGTGACCATCCGGTCAGGACTGCGGACAAATACTGGCCCCCGATGACAATGGCTGGTTCCGGTAGCGCTAAAAGCCACAAAGTGGTAGAAGTTAGAATTCTTGAACTGGTGACTGATTCGGGTCCCAATGGCTGAATGTTCTACAGGCTTGCCTTGTAAATGGAAGGTTTCGGGTTTGAACCCTAGCGGTGGGTGCGTACTGCCAATGAGTACCAAACTAGAAAGAGATGGCTGTCCAGTACTTCAAGGTTTTCAAAGACTTGTTAAATATTCATCCACTTTTTATTTATTTATTTATTTATTTATTCTCTTCTTACAGCTGTCTGGGCAACAAGAAATACAGTAAATGCTAGTGATCGACGAATTTTCATCAGTACTACATTAAGAGAATTAATACTATATGTAATCTTCTTAACATTACTACTAATAAGTAAGTTTTAGTAATATTTACCTGTATGTATTCTATAAACATGGTGTTATTTCGGTTGATGATGATTACCAGCAATGGAATCAAGTATATGCATTTTTTGTCATCAGCTGGATGTACCTGATTTCCCAATGAACGACAGAGTTCTTATACCTATAGTTTTAAATCCCACTGGGACCACAAGGACTACATTTCATTCATTGAGTATCAGTTACTTTTTGTTTTAGGTGAATTTTCACTTCTCCTTGATTGATTATGCTCATTCGACATGGGGGGGGGGGGGGTCTCTGTTGATATATTGCTGCCCAGTATGGACGCTTCGAAAATGTTTGAAGATTACCGTGATGCTAAACTAGATTGATGGTGACTAGCAGTAGAATTAAGGGTACCAGCGTTCCATCCCGTTTGGTACTCATCACATGGATGTACCTGTATTCCCAGTAAGTAATGGTGTTCCCACCAAGAGTTGAGCCTACCACCAATCATTTAAACTTCGAGGTCTTATTCACCAAGCTAGTAGGCTAAGAAAAACGCCTATAGTAGATTCTTCTGTTAGTCATCACCCCTCATATCAACGGCATGTTAACTAAAAGACATCGTCTAAACGTTCATACTAGTGTGACGACAGAAGACAAGGGTATTCGGAAAATCAAAAGATACGTATAGATTTTTATGTAGATTATTGTGAGCGGAGAAGCAATGTCTTCTGATTGGTTGTTTTCTTTCTGAAAGTTATTCTGTACTGCCTGTGACCGTTTCTTAGAAAGTTGAGTCGTATTTGCACAAGTTAAGTTTACTGTGATTGGTTGGTAAGTTCCTCAAGGTTAAGCTCTGTTATTGTTTTTTCTCATGATCCCTATTCAGGACGTAAACATTGACCTAAATTGTTGTCTACAATTTTGGCTAGCAAACAGCTCTCACTAAACTAGCTGCTAATGTGTTAATAGACAAAGCATTTTCGCCTTATAAAATTAATCAAGAAGAAGTTCAAAATAATAACAGTAATAATATCAATTAGAGAACCATTGGAAAACCACTAGGGAGTACTGATGATGAAATCCTCCAACCGGCCAAGTTAAACTTTAAACACCACTAACTACCAATCAGAAAATGACCTTGAACGCACCAATCACATGAAGGAAGCGTTTTAGGTTTTGGAAAACATATATTTGTGGTGAAAAAATGTATACAAACTGCATAAAAATGTTTCACAGGATACCTTTCTTTGACATATGGCAAAATAGGAGTATCAGTTGGAAAGTTACACCACATTCTATACACATATACTCATCAAAATGACTATAAATGACATCCGTTTGAGGTCTATTAATCCCGCTTTTAACCTTCCCTAAAAGCCTTAGACAGAACTGATGTGTGTCCCTGTAATGGGATCCACAAAATCATTAGAATGGTTCACTCTGTGATGAATATATCCAAGGGATGACAGGTAGTTATAACCTTTCCACTCATCCACATGTACGATGACACCTTCTCCTCGTCCTAATAACGAAGTAATCCTCTCCATTTTCCTTGACGCGATATCTTCCCAGTGCTGGTACCACTGAACCGTTGATAGGAGGCTATTTTTTCTGCTACAGCAGGTACACCTGTCACAGGCTGTCTTCAAATCCAGTAACTACAAGTACTACAAGTGGCACCTGTCAAAAAATGTTCCTACGAAATATTAAAATCATCAGCTTACCTTCCCTGAACATTTAACTCGAATCAAGCGGAACATAACCTTCAACTCACGAGGATGAAATTCATTGGGTCATTCAAGGTCACTCGTTGATTGGTAGTTTGTGGTGCTTAAAGTTTAACTTAGCCCTCCAGCCAATCAAACAAAATCCCTACAAAACCAATACTTGAAAATTGATCTGGTGCTCACCAGTGACTGGCCTTATTCAGGTGGCTAACCTGAGGTTCTAGTGGGAAGTTGTAACCAGTAGAGTAAAGCAGGTTGAAGGTGAGGCAGTAACTCACAGAAGAAGACATTGCAAGATGGTCGCTATATGTCGTCAACTTGCAGAAGTAAGAATTCATGGACTGTCCATTAGATCGGGTCCCAGTGGCTCAATGGTATATGAGCTCGCTAGCCTTGTAACCAGGAGGTCATGGGTTCGAACCGTGTGGATGGAGGCGTACTACTGAAGAGTCCGAAACTAGGCTGACGAAACAGCCATCGAGTAATCCCTGCAGGTTTACCAGTGGTTCTCTAACCTATGTCAGGTGATGATGAAATACTCCAACCAATCAAACAAAATCCCTACAAAACCAATATTTGAAAATAGTAAAAATGTCAAGAAATGCCGTTCCATAAAGTTCCTGTATATAAGCACCTAACCACCTTATTTAGATCGCTTACAAATTTTATGGACACGTTTTATTTTATAATTAGGTGAACGATTTATATCCATGAAATTTGAAAAGTATACCAGTCAGTTTATTATCAATACTCTTTTTTAGCATACTATAATGCCTCTAAGTCGGTCGCTTAAATGTATATATATTTACCCTAGTATATTGATCTAAATCTAATTGAACAAATAAAATGACTTCATACATATGTTTCCATTGGTGAATTTAAACAATGCAAGGTGAAAGACATTTGTAGATCTCTTTTTAACCTTGTTGCAAGATACATTTCTAATCTATCAACGAAATACTCTAAGGATGAAGTGTATTATATAAGGGATTGACTGGATGAGATGATGTTTAAACTACAAGCTGACTTCAGCTTGAGGTGTTTGAGGACTAAGGAGCCTTAATCAGCCAAAACAATATATCACGTGTCAGAACAGGTACTTTTCACTTTCTAATAAGGTGAAGTTTACCTATTCATGCTTTATTCCCCTAGGTTCTGAATGGGACACAGAGCCTCGGCACAACATATCCATGTCATCGTGTTCTTTGAGGTTAGGGTAATGGTCTAAGAGTACCTATAGGCTGTCATTTCTTTCTTACATGATTTTCAGCATGTTGCCCATGGCACCTTGATCAAATCGTCGTTTCATATTCGGGTTCGATTCGAAGGGCTTGTACGCGATGTCACTCAATGGTCTTCAGAGAGTGTGTCCATCCCATCTCCATTTCCTTCCACAGATTCTAAGGGACAATAGGTTCTTCGCTGGTTCGTTGCCTATCAGAGTCCCTAGTCACTTATCTTCTATAGCCATGTGGTTTTAGTACGGAACAAACATAACTGTTTGTGAAAGTCCTAAGCCAGTTTGAAATACTTTTGGTGACACTAGCATCGATTTTCAGAACCACATATGAACTCAGTGATTTGACATTAGTGATAGAACTTCCGAATCATGTTCTTTATGCTGAATGTAGCAGTTCTCCACACCGATTTCAGAGTAATGAATGTCTTCCTTTCTCCTATCAATGGTGATAAGTGCTTGCTGTTGGTGATTAGGTGTCTTCACCAACTCTTTCTTCTCTGTGTTCACTTAAAGTTAAAGTCTTTACTGCTTCTTCTGCTAACTTGTTAGTTTTCCCTTGAACATTTTCGAGTTTATGTGATATTAGAAATCAATTATCCACGAAGTTCATATCTACTAGAATCCCCTTGTTGGCCCAATGTACTCTTATCTTCTTGCTTCCATGCACGGTCTGCTGCTTGATCCAATTTACCACATTCCGGAATATCATCGATGATGGTAGGAAGCCACGTCTAACTCGTGTGTTCACTTCCAAAACCTCGATGAGTTCTCTATTGTGGCCCACTTGACATGTGGCATTGTCATAGAGCCAGCTGTTGAATGAGTCTGATAAAGATTTGGAGAACTCCACTCCATAGTGTTGCTACAGTTTCCAAATTACTTCTGGATCAACGCTTTTTAAGGCTTTTTCAAAGTTGATGAATCTGCAGTAGAGGTTTTGCTATCATTCTATGCTCTGTTCGATGACAGTGTGTTAGGTTGCGATTTTATCATCAAATGATTTGCCTTTCCTGGTTCCAGCTTGTTCTGAGCTAAGTTTAACGTTCAGAACGTCCTTTAGCCTGTAAAGGATGTTGTGACTTATTATTTTGCTTGGCGTCGACAGCAGCATGATTCCATATCGGTTCTTGCGAAGGCCATAGTTGCCTTTCTTTGGTAGTTTGACTAGCACTATAGCCTTTCATCCGATCAGTAGGTACCTATTCTTCCCTCCAAACGGTTTGTAATGGTGATGCTAGCATATCAGCTGCATTGTCTGAATCCGTTTTCAGTGCCTCCGAAGAAATTCCGTCTGGTTTTCCTATCCTCCCATCATTCAGTAACATTATGGCTTTCAAGACAACTGATTTTGTCGGGGGAATGGTGTCCACTGACACTTCTGTGACTGTTGATGTTATTTCTGAATGAGTTTTAAGGTGTTGGTCAGTTCAGTAGTCCTTTGAATTAATCGGCCCATTGTTTCCTTTGTTTCTTCTCTGTGGTAATTAGGTTCTCTCCATTATCTTTCATTGGTTTCACTGGTTATCTGATACAGTCTTCTGAGGTCTCTTTTACCCACAGCCTGTTCTGCTTCAGTTACCGGTTTGTCGTAAATTCACCTTTTGTTTTTCTTGGGACACTTCTTCCATTCTTTATTCAGTACGTTGTGCACTGAACTCAGCTTCTGCTTTCGTTGTTCACCTTTCACTAGCTCATATTCTGTTTCATCATTCCTCTCTCTTCTGTTAGCTTCTGTGTGCTTGTAGAAAGCCATTCCTTGTCATGCGCCATTTTTTCCTCCTTAGACGGCTTCAAACGCTTCATTGAGCGTCAACTTAAGGGAGTTCCAGTGTTCTCCGATACTGGTTTCCTCGGCAATGTCACGTTATGTCTCCAGCTTTGCTGTGATAGCTACTGTGAATGTGTTCTTATCAGTTTTATCCCTCAGTTTCTGAGTTCTGAGCCTGAATCATGATCTGTCTCCTGTTGCTCAGAGGGTTTTCAGCTTGACCTTCAAAGTCACTTGCATTAGATAATGGTCTAAACTCACATCTGTTGTACATCTTTACTTTGTATCCAAAAGACTGCGTCTCCACTAACTTGAGGTTAAGATGAAGTCTATATGGCTTTTGGTATGTCCATCTGTCCATCATTGAACCCTCAAATGTCTGCGAAGAGTTCTCCGTTGTCATTCATTTCGCCAGAAGCCTTCTAACCCACTATGAACACTTCTCCTAAACTGTTGGCTTCTAGTTTATCCTTTATATCACCCATAAGGGTTTTGATATCACCACTTGAGATACGGTCCGTAACTATTTGCTGTTGTCTATGGAAGACCTCCCCGTCTCTTAATATACATTGTTTATGGGAGCGTAGCGTTGGATGATAGTAACTTTCGTCTGGGTAACTGGAGTAGACTAGTTTTTAATACAAAGAACCCACATCCATCCTATCTGTTTTCACAAATTCCTAGAACCTCTACACCTTATCTTCTCATTTCTTTCACAATCTGAGCAACTTTCCCAGCTTCGAAGATTGCTCACAAATCTCATGTCCTCAAGCTTATTTCCACTTTCATCGAAAGAAGACACATCATCCGAATGTCTTACCAACGGCTTTCATCAGCCTAGATCATTTCGTCTCTCCAATGCCAGAGAAAAATTAATTAATTTTGTATGTTTTTGGAGTGTATTGAGGTTTCTATAGCGAGTTGGTTAATTTTCCCCGATAGGGTCACTATCCTAAGGCACATTCTTTCCTACCGATGATCTACAGTTTAAGAGATTAAAAACTGAGCAACGTAGTAAAACTGAGTGAGAATGAGTCCAGTAAATCACCTGATAGTCACTAACTCTATCCTTAATGAAGTCATAGATATATGAAGCTGAGGCATAGTGATTTTCAAAGGTTTCTAAGTTGACCTAAATTGATGACAGGAAGTAACTGTTCCTTTCTGTTGCCTTAAATTTTAGAAAAACAAAAAAAAGTGATTCAGCGAAGAGACTCTTTTCAACGAATTTATTATCAAGCTGTACAATCGTATATGTATATTGTTTTTAAGAAATAATATCCGGTGAGGGGAAGTTAATCATACGTATGAGTACATAACATAAATAACATAGAATTTAACGTTGCAAAAGAGAATTGATTTAGAATGACAAGTGGAACAAGTGAAATAATACTGGGAACAATTCAAAGTGAGAATAGTGGTAGTAACAATTGACGTAATAAAAGAAGAGTATTCAAGCTGAATAAACAAAACAAAAAAATAGGTAGATGCAAAATAGGGATTAGGGATTACCATACTTTAGCATAGAGGGATTAAGACCATGAAGGTTGGAGGGGTTGAACGAACTTTTTCTGTACACAGAGATTTGGCTTTTCTGTTTCGATAGCCAGAGCTTCAGCAATACAAATGAGTCAGGTACGTGGTGATTTGGGCAAATTACTTTTTGCCTTGTAGATGACTTCAAAGGCGGAGGCTATAGAGATAGGGTGATCATTATCGACCGGATGTTCAATGATCGCGCTTCATATTGCTCTACTTCCACCTCTTCGTAACTACCATGCAGGATAGTGTTGTTGCACCCTCTTGGACAAAACTCGAGTCGAATGACGGATATACCTAGCTACACACGAGCGGGTGAATTGATAAATGCACACAGAGTTGGTCAACTGTGAGATCTTGTCCTTCAGATTATTGAATAGTAGTGTAACGACAGAAGACAAGGGTCAGGCAACAGATCGTTTATTGAGAAAATCAACAGATATTTATAGATTTTTATGTACATTATTATAGGATATTGTTAGCTGAGAAACAGCGCCTTCTGATTGGTAGTTTTCTCACTGGAATTTATTCTGCCATCTCTTTGTGGCCGTTTCTTTGAAGGTCAGACCATATATCTGCGAATCGTATCCTCCCACGCTAAGTCTGCTGTGATTGGTTGTTGAGTTAGTCTTTGTTCTTGTTCTTTTCTCATGACCAAGATTTGGGACGTCAACATTGACGTAAATTGCTGTCCACCAATTTTGGCTAGCAGACAGCTCTCACCACAGTAGTAATGGCCGACTGGAAAACGCTATTCTCAAAGATGCACTAGGGAATGTTCTTTTCAGGGACTGTGAAATCTTTTTTTTAACGGTATTCTAAATAAGAGATGTGAACACTTTTTCTAGTGTTGTAGTATCATAGACATTATCTATCATCATTGATTTACTTGTCATGTTTGTTTGAAATTCTAATATATGCTGACCTAAGCTTTTAAAGTTAGTTATTCTGAACTTCTCAACGCCTATGCCAAACCGACTCTTTTGTATCTGATTTCTAGTTGCTCTGATGTCATTGAATTCATTGGCGTATTTTTATTATACAAGTATATACAATCTGTTCATCCTATCGAAGAATCCTGCAGATGATAATACAAGACCATTTCAAAGTATAAAAGATCAAACATCTATGTGGGCAGTAAGTTATTTATATTTTATTTAAACATGAATCGATTTTTTCTGTGTCCTTTCTGCCTTCATAATTTGACTATTCTTCAAATCGACATCTTTTAGGTAAAAAAAAGTGTCATGAACTACCTACTATCAAACAGATATGTTCATAATGGAGAAGCTTTGAAGTACAGATGGATGATTTTAATGTAATTGTGCTCTCTGAGCTGGATGGTTTGTCTACAAAGCTTTGCAGCTGGTAGACCCCAATGGTCACGATTTCTCACTAGAATTCTAGACATTTTCGTCCCGTAGTCAGTCACTAGGGTCCATCAGATTAGGTTTCAAGTGTGATTTTTGTGAGACTGGATTGGTTTGAAGTTTGATCACAAATTTGTATCACTGAAAGAGCCACTAAAAGCCAGTAACCATAACACAGTTGTTACGTCCTAGTTTGGAAATTTGTCAGCAGTATTTTTATTTTATTTTTACATTTCCCTACATATTTCCTGACTAATTTATCAGGGTAATTATTAAGTTTCAAAGCTTCTCTTACCCTGATAAATTAGTCAGAAAATATTTACGGAAATGTAAAAATAAAATTAATAATGATAGTAGTGATAATGATAATAATAATAATAGTAATATATTAATGACGACATGCACGTCAAATGTGTGCAGGATAATGAAAACACCAACAATAAGGAATCTAAACCATCAGTAGTAATTCCATACAAGGAAGGAACCTCGGAAACCTTATGCAGAATTCTTAACAAGTCAGGAATAAAAGTGGCTGGTATTCAAACCCACAAACTCAATTAGAAACAAGCTTTGTCGGTTAAAGGATCCTGCCAGTGGAGCCTTTAAAACAAAACAATTAAGTTTATCTAATACGCTGCCTGCAGTGATTGTCAGGTCAAATACGTAGGTCAAACCAGTAGAACATGGCAGTCAGACTAGCCGAACATAAAAACCTAGCAAAATCTAGATTGGTTGACCCGAATAAGATAAGAAATCTAGAGAATAGTTCAGCTATAGCATTACATGCAGTCACACACAACCATACAATAGGATGGGATAGGATGACAGTTTTAAAATCTAATGTCACAGGGTGTAGGGAGAGATTGATAACAGAAGCTTTGTTTATCGAATCAACTACAAATACATGTAATAGGAATGATTCAACACCTGTCCCAGATATCTGGAAAATTCTACTACCCCAACGACGACAAGTAAGAGAGAACAAAGAAAACTATAAAACTCAAGTCTCAAAGTCGTGTGATTACAATTGATATGATTATGAACAATAAATTTTGTTTGAAACGTCATCCAGTAAATAATACTGTTTCACTGTGTGATACATCTAATAAACAAACTTACCACCACAGTGCCCAAGTTTTACACATATATTAAAAGGTGAATGAAGGTTTTTCCAGTTATCGCAGCCTAGAGATACTCAATGACTTGATGAATAATTTGATGGAGAGAAAGTAGAGGTTTACGGAACAAACAGCTTGTATTTCTTTCTAAGTAAGTAGTTGGAATCAGTTTTAATTAAAATACATCTCTCTCTGTTCGCCCAAAACAATGTTGGGTGTGTGGACAAATACTCGCCGAAGACATTGACCAGTGGTCGCGCTACTTCGTGAAGTGGCAGAAGTTAGAATTCATGGGCTGTCCATTGGATCGGTGGCTTAATGGTCTATGAGCTCGCTAGCCTTGTAACCAGAAGGTCCTGGGTTTGAACCGTGTGGGTGGGTGCGTGCTGATGAAGAGTCCCAAACTAGGCTGACGAAACAGTTGTCCAGTACTCCCTGCTGGTTTTCCAATGGTTCTCTAAACGATGTCAGCTCACGAATAAATCCTGTAACCAATCAGTCAAATCCCTACAAACCAATACTTGAATGTTGAATATGTATTTGCCTTATGAAAAACAAGGGTGTGAAATTGCTGACTATAAATGATTCAAGATATACTTAAACTTAGTAACATATTTTTGTTTCCTCATTTCGTTCTGATTACTGCTTGTGGTGAATCAGAGATGCTTGATTTCTTCGGTGAGATAATTACAATTTCAGTATCTGATGTGGTATCGCTGTATCTGGAGTTTCTGGATACATATTTTTTTATCCCTTCGCGTTCCCAGTGGAACATTGGGCTTCAAGCTAGAGGCTTGAAGTTTCTTTAGCAGTGTTTATTTTTACAGGATGAGGTTGCTAGCCTCATGCCCGAACTTTCCTCTTTACCAGCTTTTTATTATTACTGGCTTAGCGAGGTAAAGGAGTGCGTCTGTGGCCAGGGATCGAACCTTGGACCATGTGCATGGTTGGCGAGCGTCCTAACCGCTGTGCCACCTACGCACCTTCTGGATATCAACACACTTATAACATGGGTTAAACGTTTATTGTGAACCATTGGTCTGATTACTTTACTAAAATGTGGTAACAACTATTTGCAGCCACTTACTTCTCATCTCTAATTCAACTGGATTTGCAATAGAGACAGGGATATATAATTTAAAACGAAGGTAGAACGGTTAACTAGTGTTCATTCACACGATATTTGTGAGGAATACTTACTCGGTGAAGACAATTAAGGCCTGATCACTGATCACTGATTGTGTATATCAATTATTTCACTTCTGGGCAATTTCAGAGACTCATTTTCCTCCTTAATCTCAGTCATTCTCCTTCATCTTTTAAGAGGAGATGAAAGCGTGTGGGCAGACTTGGAGCCAGGAGAAAACTCTAGCAGAGAACCGGACTCAATGGCAACACAAGGCTGAAGCCCTATGTTCTTCTAGGAATTAAAGGAAACAATAATAATAAAAATTCTCCTTCATCTTTTAGCTAGTTAGCTAATAAAGTCTAATTCGTGTATTTGTAGTGAGGATTTAACCGACATTTTTGATGTAGTTGTGTTCTCTCAGCTAGACAGTTTATTTGTAAAGCTTTCATTACCCTGTCAGGCAACATCTTCAGAGCATACACTTCAATTTGAAGTGAGCTTTCAGATTTCTCCATGAGTTTATTAATCATCAAACCCAAAGTGTAGATACGTTACGTGAACGACACATTTGTAATAATCAAAAGAAACGAGTTGGATAAAACTCATAACCTGATAAATAACGTCTTCAACGACATCAAATTCACAAGAGAAGAGGAATCCGAGAACAAAATCCCATTTTCGGACTTCTTAGTCGAGTGAACAACCACAATGGAATTAGAAACCCAAGTTTATAGAAAATCAGCACACACAGATCAAATACTGAATTACAACAGCAACAATCTAAAAAACACAAAAGGAATTGTATACAAACATTATTCAAGAGGGCTAGCCAGGACTCATTGCGGTACTTCCACCTTAAGGAAAATTGAAGAAAGATATCTCATGGACGTCTTCCAAAATAATGGATATCCACGGAATTTCATCAAAAGACATATACCCCCAAGCCAACCTATCAAACCAAAAGCCCCCAAGGAAAGTACAAAGAAAGTCGCCCTGCCATTTATAAAGGATATATCAGAAATCACTGTGAGACACTTCAAACCTTTAGGAATTGACGTCACAAACAAACCAACAGAATCACTTTACTCAACTGGCTCTATGTCGACCAAAACACTCAACAACGAAAGAAGATAAAACCGACATCATCTACAAAATAAGTTGCAACGACTGCGAAAACACTACATTGGCCAAAATGGAAATCCCCTTCGTCTTCGTATCCATGAAATTAAGCTAGCCGTCAAAAGATATGACATTAACTCCCTCACATCGCCTCACTGCATACAGACAACCACGGACATTATTTCGACTGAGACAGCCAGCGTTCAAATAGTAGACAGAGGAAACGCCAAGAATGCTAGGGAATTTTTAGAAACCAGGTATTCCAGTGAATCGTCAATTAGTAATAGGCACACATCGGCATGAACAAAATTTACCAATCGATAAGAAGGAAATCTCACAAAGGGTCAAAGTTCAAGTCAAAGAAACAATCAGTTCCAATACAAGTAGCCTAGAAGGTGTGAAAACACACTTAAACAACCAACCACATCCAAGGTCACCAGGAGAGACGAATAATAAACTCGTGGAGAAATCTAAAAGCTCACTTCAAGTTGAAGTATGCCCTGAAGATGTTGCCCAGTAGGGTAATGAGAGCTTCGTAAATAAACCACCCAGCTCAGAGAACACAATTACATCAAAACCATCCGCTTAAGCTACAAATCTTCTCAATCCTATCTAACCGACTTTTGCGTGGTGCTGGTTGTAATTTAGCTAACAGCTATTCTCTGATCAATCAAATCAAATGCAAATTCTAAAAATAAGTAAATACAAAGCTGGCAAGAAAATATTTTACTTATGGATTAATTTAGTGTTCCTATTGAAGTAGGTGTTCACCTTTCAGTCGGTGGGTACCGGGTTCAAATCTCGTCCCACCTAATTCAACCTTACTCAGTAATTACGTCGTATCATCAGCCAGCCACATTAATAGTGCTGTCACTTATAGCCTGACACATAAGAAACTGACTTCTATTCATTATTGTTAATTATGTCTGAATTTGTAAAACCTGAGTTATTCATTTTATCCCCACATTAACAAGTATGGGATCACGTATTCATTGGAACTCAGATCCTAACTTCCAAATTAATGATTATCCGTTGCTTAAAAGGAATGAATGAACCAGAAACATTTATTCATTGTAAATATTGTGATTCTATAGCTTAGTTTGATTCATGAGAACTATGTATTGCTAAGTTATTTTGATTCATGCTAACTAGCAGTAGAATCTAGGATGCTTATTTCGTCCTATTCGGCACTTGTCGGCTGGATGTATCTGCATTCCCCAGTAAGTGATGGTATTCCCATCTTTTTAAACGCCAAATCGTTATCCACTAAACCAATTGAGCCACGACAGCCATCTGTTGTGCAATGGGTATCAGTTATTATATAATTCAATTTGGAAATTCGCGTTCATTGATAACTGAACAGAGGTGCTGTTTTGTTTGAATTCCTTCACGTTCCCATTGGAACATAGGGCTTCAAGCTAGAGGTTTGAAGTTTCTGTAGCAGTGTTGATTTATACAGGATGGGGTTGCTAGCACCATGCCCAGCCTTTCCTCTTCACCAGCTTTAGTTCTGGTTTAGCGAGGTAAAGGCGTGCGTCGGCCGGGGATCAAACCTCGGTCGGCGAGCGTCCTAACCGCTATGCCACCGATGCACCAGAACAGAAGTGCTAGGTCTATGTTATTGATACCAGTTGCACAAGAGGTGGCTCTCGTGGAGTGAATAATTCTTTGGAGTCTGGAACGATTGGTACCTGGTTCGAGCCTCAAGGGGAATGCTATCATCACTCATTGGGGAATGCAGGTATATCCAGAAAATGAGTCCCATTTATGATGAAATGCGAATTTTAGCTTCCACTGTTAGTCGTCATTCACCAAATTACTTCAGGTTGAATCCTCAGACATCGTTGAAGCATCTACACAAGGACCTGATATACCAACAGAGACCAACCACTTCGGTCCAATCAATTAACGGGAAAGTCCAAATTAAATTAGATAATATGCTTTATTTTGTCGAGATTTTTGAAAACAGTGAACTTTTTAGATGGCATATTCGTTTCATTTGACTGTGGTACTCTGTACAAGTTGGTTGCAAGCGTTTATTTTTCAATATAGGAGAAATCCCTATTTTGACATTTAGAAAGAAAAAGGATTGAGCGAAGAAATATTTACTTCTCAATTAGGATATGATAGAGAAGATTTGTAGCTCAGGTGGGTGATTTTGATGTGGTTGTGTTCTCTGAGCTGGATAGTTAATTTGCGAAGCTTTCATCATCACTTCAAATTGAAGTATGCGCTGAAGATGTCACCTAGTAGGGTGATGAAAGCTTCGCAAATTAACTATCCAGCTCAGAGAACACAACCACATCAAAAACTTCTCAATTAGATCCTTATCTCTGGCTCTCCTCTAATATATATATCCATAGCATTTTTATTACAATACACAACAATTTACCAATCATCAAGTGGCACTGATATGTTTGTTAACAATAATTAGTCAGTGTCAACATGTCAATGGGGTGACTATTAACAAAGAAAATCAAAACACACACTTATAATTTTTATAACTTTTAAAGGTTTACGGGGAGAGGGGCGAAGTAGTCCGGTTTATACATTCATGTAACTATGACCAAGGTAAGGAAAGTGGCTGTAAAAATTTCTTCTGAACACACAGGTTTGGTTTATTCAGGTGAATTCCTATTGCTTCAGCTGTATGTAGAAGACGAACTCGTGAAGCAAAATCAAGATTAGTAGGAATGCGATAAATAAATTTAAAGGCTGTATTAACGTCAACCCTATGTTCACTATCTACAAGGTGTGCTAAAGTAGAATTACGAATAGATCTTGTTTGTCCCCTGCTTAACCATGCTGGATGATGTTGGGAAATACGATGATGAACCTGCCTAATTGTACGGCCGATGTAGATAGCTCCGTATCTGCAGTCAAACTGGTAGATACATAGCGAGGAGGCAAATTTAGGTAGTTTATCCTTACTTCTCGGAAGTAGAATAGAGGGGTGCTAGTGAAGAGACAACGTACCTCTGCTGTATAATAAGCTCTTTTAACTGCATTCTTCAGGCGCTGTGTTATTATTTTGCTTATGTTGTCACTGAGGAACTGCAGTTTCATGAACAATGCTTTTTTCGCAACTGTTGCCTTACTGACTCTCCTAGGTGCTGAAATCATATTTCTCCCAATGAAATTATCTGGATAACCATTTTTCCGAAGTAGTTCTCTAATAATCTTGAGCTCCTCATTGAGGCAGTCATCTGAACAGATTAACCTAGCTCTATGAACCAGACACTTTACCAGGTTATGTGTTTATATTTCAAAGGTACAAAACTCAAAAAAATGAGTGTACTGACCTGTTGTTGTAGGTTTCCTAGACACACTCCTTCTTAGTGTGCTATCTTTTTTCCTTGCCGTGAAGACGTTTAGGAATGAGATACTACCATTGCTTTCTTTCTCTATGGTAAAGTTTATTGCTGAAATATCGTGTTGAAATGTTACGATTCTAAGAATAAAAGAACAACTGGAGGGTGATATTTTCTACTAAAATGAACTCTTTTTTGTGAAAGCTATTTTTCTCTTCTACATGGACTCATTCATTTCATTAATTACTAAGAATTTTCGCAGTTATTGAAAAGGGAATTACTGTAAATCGAAAAAATAATAAAGTTTCATTTAAACAATTAAACTTGTCTTCAAGTGTTGCTTTGTAGGTATTTGATTGGTTACAGGATTTCATCATGAACTGACATCAGTTAGAGAACCATTGGAAAACCTGGGAGTACTGGACAGCTGTTTCGTCCTCGTTTGGGACTCTTCATCAGTACGCACCTACCCACACGGTTCGAACCCATGACTATCTGGTCATAAGGCTAGTGAGCTCGTAGACCATTAAGCCACTGGGACCCGATCCAATGGCCCATGAATTCTAACTTCTGCCAATTCACGACATAGCGCGACCCCTAGCCAATGCCTTCGGCGAGTATTTGTCCTCACACCCGACCTGCTGCACCCTACTGGTCACGACTTCTCGCTAAACTTGTCTCTTTCCTTCTTTGTTTTTTTATATTTTTCTGCTTTATCAAGTATATTAAAGGTCAACTATTGGATTCATTATATTGGGATACATGGTATAATCAATTAAATGTATCAATCAATGAAAGAGGCTTTATTGGTCATGATAATAAAATATTAGGCGTTCCACGTTTACGTCAGCTTAGAGTAGATCCATCAAAGTGTAAAACACAAAGTACAATGCGAACTGTTATCCAGAAATGTTATCCAGCTTATAGTACAGATGCAGAGTATAAAGGTCCATTAGAAGTACAAGGCAATATAACACCATATTATACAAAAAACGCGTAAGTTTTCGTTTTCTTTCATTGGATATTAAACCTTTTAAGCCTTAAGTATTCCCATACTATTAATATTATTATTAAATATGGTTTGTAAATTTATAGAGCTTTTCGACTTAGTTCAATATTTTCATCACTACAGTCGGAAATTTGTACAGAACACAGTTCACGGTGGGAAATTTCTCCATAGTTTTCTCTGGGTACCATAGTATGTGATCTTCATGATATCATAACTGTTAGTCAAGAAGGGAATATTTGTGTACCACTCACATCAACCAGTAGTGCCGCTTGCTAGCCAGCCAGAGGGAGAGAAATGATCTAAACTGCGGCCGGCGGTTTCGCTCGTTTAGGCCCTAGCTCATTGATTACTAATTCGCAAACTGTGAATTTGATTTATGGTGACACTAGTCCACTGAAGTAACTAACCAGAAATCGTCTCTCTGAGCTAATTCAAACCGGGTGCACGTATGATGAGCTCGAAAACCCAAACAAGCGAAACGGTCGTCTGGAGTTTCGGCCAACTCGATCTAGCTAGCCAACACTACCTTGTTGATACGATTGGCATACAAGAACTAATCTCAGTTAACCAGTAGTGTATATTATCAAGGATTATTTCGTCACTGTGTTATTTGATTAGTTCTCTGAATGTTCGATGATTGGAGGCAATCGGCAGGAAGCTTTGTGACATGATAACCTTCAAGTTTGCAGATATGCCTTGCTGACTGGTGAGTGCCAACTAGCAAGAAACCTAGTCTAGGTCCAAGGCTTCCTGTCGATTGCTTCCAACCATTTAATACCAACAATTCATAGTTGACCGTGATGGTGAGCCACCTAGTGGCATGGTGCCACATTGCAAACCTGACTGATAGAATTTAGTCTGCATCAAACAAAAGAATAGAAACATCACACTATTTACCAAGTGTCCAAGGAAAGTAGATCGCTGAATGTAAATAAATTTCACAAATTTTGATGTGGTTGTGTTCTCTGAACTGGACAGTTAATCAGCGAAGCTTTCATCACCCTACTAGGTGACATCTTCAGCGCATACTTCAATTTGAAGTGAGCTTTTAGATTTCTCCATGAGTTTATTAGTCATCTCTCCTGGTGATGACCTTGAACGTGATTGATTGCTTTTGCCTGTTTTCACACCCTCTAAGCTACTTGTATTGGTACTCATTGTTTCCTTTACTTGAACTTTGACCCTATATATGTGTGAGAGATCCTTTTTATTGATGGGTAAATTTTGTCTATGTCGATGTGTGTCTATTATTAATTGACGATTCACTGGAATACCAGACAGGCTTCTAAAAATTCTCTAGCATTCTTGGTGTTTCCTCTGTCAAATATTTGAACATTGTCCGAATCTAATTGATGCCCGTGGTTGTTACAGACAACAAGAATGCTAGAGAATTTTTAGAAGCTTGGCATTCCAGTGAATCATTAATCAATAGACACATCGAGATTGACAAAATTTATCAACCGATAAGAAGAAAATCTCACACAAAAAGGTTCAAAGTTCAAGTCAAAGAAACAATCAGTTCCAATACAAGTAGCCTAGAGGGTGTGAAAACACGCAAAAACAACCAACCACGTTCAAGATCACCCACCAGGAGAGATGACTAATAAACTCATGGAGAAATCTAGAAGCTCACTTCAAATTGAAGTATGCGCTGAAGATGTCACCTAGTAGGGTGATGAAAGCTTCGCAAGTTAACTATCCAGCTCAGAGAACACAACCACGTCAAAATCACCCACCTGAGCTACAAATTTTCTCCATCATATCTAAATTTCACAAAGTTGAGATGTTTGGAGAACTCATATATGTGCATTGTTCATTGTCTTTTTTTCGTATTCCTTTCCGTTCTCAGTGGTACATACAAAGCTTCAAGCTTGAAAGTCTTGAAGTTCCATTAGTTTTGGTGTTGCTTTTACAAGGCGGGGTTGCTGGCCTCACACTTGCAGGCAAAAAACCAACAAGTTGACAGAAGAAGGAGGCAGAGAAAACACGGCTTCAAGTGAGCATTGAGAAGACGGAAGTGACAAAAATAACCAAAAATAAGCACCAATCATTATCAATGGAATAATTTTGAAAGAGATTACTTCCTTCATTCATCTAGGAAACATCCGTTCACTTACAGCCAGTTGGCACGGTTGAGGTTGTCAAAGCCGGAATTGGAAAGTCAAGACAGACATTTATCATTCTCAAATCTGCAAACTTTTACCAACAATCGCCTTCTCTAGCTCCATATTGAAGACCAAATGGTCAGCTTGAAAAAATCAGCAACAAGGAACTCTGGGAACGAACCAACCGAGATCCATTCCCCCACAAATATGTAAGAGAAAGTGGAGATGGATCAGACACACTCTGAGAACAGCGTCGGATGACATCGCACGCCAAGCATAACCTAGACTAGGAACCCGAATGGGAAACGATGAGTGTGGTGTCCGAGAGTGACATGGAGGAGATTGTGCAAGGATTGGATGAGAGACTATAGGAAATCATGGGACCAGTTGAAGAGGACCACAGATAATATGGCAAAGTGAAGACGTTCTGTTGAAGCCCTATGCTCTGCTTGGAATCCAAGGGAACAATAATAAATTATATATATATATATATATATATATATATATCAAGTGACTGGAGTTTGTTACCCAAAATACACTCTACTCATCAACTTCCCATCGTCTAATTGCAACATCATTTCTATTTGATGTTATCTGATGGATGGTGGCTAGTAGTGGAGTCCAGGATGAGTATACTAGTCACCATCTATTAACTAATGTCATGTTTATCCTCAGACATCTTCAAAGTGTTCACATTAGCAGCTGACATTTCAACATGAACTGAACCTTTCGGTCCATTATGAGCAATCCACAATAAATGCAAAATTAACTTTGATCATTTCCATTTATGCGTAAAGCAATAATGTCAACCGACAAAGGATCCTTTTTATTTAAATATTCACTTTATTGTATCACCTAATAATTCCAATATCTGTTGATATTTTTTTCCTCCAAAATTTAGTTGGAACTTTAGTGATGCTAGTGTGACTGGTGCTACTGGCTTTTCTGCCCCATATGGTTATTATGAAGGCTCTGGTTATATACAAGATTTGTCGAAATCACGTAATATAACAGAAGCTATACTGGATGAGTTGTTTCAAGGAAGATGGATAGATCAAGCAACTCGTGTACTGTTTATTGATTTTACAGTATATAACGCCAATATTAATATGTTTATGATAGTAAAGTAAGTTATATACACATATATATTATTCCTTCACGTTCCTAGTGGAGCATAGGGCTTCAAGCTAGAGGCTTGAAGTTTCTGTAGCAATGGTGTTAATTTTTACAGGATGGAGTTGCTAGCCTCATGCCTAACCTTCCTTCTTTACCAGTCTTATTACTGGCTTAGCGAGGTAAAGGAGTGAGTCGGCCGGAGACCGGTCCCCGGACCACATGCGGGGTCGGTGAGCATTCTACTGCTGTGCCACCCACGCATATATATATATGTCCAAACCAAGGTCGCTTTTAGTAGTTTGAAGAAATTTTGGTTTTGGGTATATGATATTCATTGTGATAAGAGTTTTTGTATTTCCCAATGAATACAAAAAGCCGAAATGATGTTGTCTTTACTGATGTTTCGCTATTTAATGAGAATTTGTATGATTTCAAATCCAAAATAGAACAGCGAGAAATTGATAAAGGAGATATCATGATAAGCTATGATATTAACTCAATATATACTGGAACTGTCATTACCGAAAGTCTTGATATCTTTTTCAGTTTTTAGAGTCAGACACAACCGCGTCAGAAAGATGTCCACGGGACACCAGTGAAGTAATTAAGAGCTTAAAATTCTGTCTGGAAAATAATTATTTTACATTTACAAGGAATTTATATAGACAGACAAGTGGTGTTGCTGTGGGTTCATCAGTTTCCACAGTAGTCGCTGATTTTTTCTTGAGTATATTTGAAGAAAACATCTTTTCAAATATAATCATACCTAAATTATGGCTAAATGCATTGATTCTTGGAGACACTCAACAATCTATCTCCCAGCATTCAGTTTACTTCGAAAGCAGAATCAGACTTCGGTGAACAACCATTTCCAGACTGCCTAGTTAAGAGGAGGGAAAATGGACATTTTAGTATATCTATATTCAGGAAGAAAACACACTCCAACAAATATTTAGACTTTGGATCATCACACTCCATCATTGCAAAGGTATCAGTTGTTTCAAGTCTTCTTAGAGAGAGAGGGAAAAAGAAGAAGAAATGCCAAATATTGCTGAAATTCTCAAGAGAAATAACTTTCCAAAGAACTTTATTACCAAAATGAACACTGACATTAAATATGGTCGGAAACAAATGCCGAAGACATGGACTCCAACAGTTGTCATTTCACGTAGATCAGCAGTATTAGGCAACATCTGAAAAGCACTCAATAAACACAACATTATAATTTTCTTCAAAACACCAAACACACTACAAAGCAATATTGTCCATGTAAAAGACCAAATTCCAAAGGATTCACAATCTAATTGTGTCTATGAAATTAAATGCCTGTAATGTGATGCGATATACATCAGACAAACCTCACAAGAAATCAAGCTCAGAAGAAATGGACGCTGGAGAGCATCTATTCGACCACCAAGAAATCCAACTGAACCAGTGAAGCTTGAAAAATCATCAGCCATAAGTCTTCAAGCTATGGAATTTGGTTGCAAAATTGATTTTGAGACTACTGAAATCACAAAGAATGCCCAATATTAGGCGCACTTCACGTTAAAAAATATAATCCGAATTGTCTGAAGACTAGGAATGATGAACTAAGACGAAAATCAACCTCTTTCCAACACCCTCTCCCGCACCAATGAAGCAAGGAAATCAACACGAATGTGATAAGCAATTTCTTTATGCAGACATATGCCATTTTTATAATCACACACACTTATCAAGTCCAACGATCTACATATGGTTTTGTTATCTTTACCAAATGACCAGCTTGATAACGTAAAAATATTCACATACTGAAGAAAGATGATTAAACTGCTGAATATAAGCTGAGATTTTGTAAATTCTAATGTAATAATACTTTGATAAAGCTATTAGCAGCATTGAATAGCGAAACGCCAGTAAAAACAATAAATTATAATTGAAACAATATCTCTTTGTTTTTTATTCATTGGAAAATAGAAAATCTGTTATAATAATAGTAAATTAGGACTGTTTTACATATTTCATGATTTTAGAAGAAATTTTCTAATGTCTTTTTATTAAAAGACGGTTTACGAAGTTTCTGACTGCAGTTAGAAGACGTTTGAAATCTTTGAAAAGCTATGGTCATCATGAGAACTTAATCAAGTACTTCCTGTTAAACATTTCAAAAACGTACACCCTAGTAGTAAAGTTTAGTTCACAGAAGTGTCTTTCTGTAACTGTAAATGAAACATTTAAGATGTTAGCAGCATGACAGATAGACAATTCAACTGGTCCAGTGTGAAAACTGCAATAGAGGAATCTCGTTCAGATCCTGGACATTGAGAAATGCTCAGCTAAACTATAGTTTTCAGAAATGACAGTTACCTATAACTTCACAGATATTTATGGAAAATCAGTGTTGGTCATCTCTGAAACGTATATTAGTTGTATGATGCAGTAAATTTAAATCATTGTTTGAATAATACTCCCTTATTAATTTGACTATCCCATTCAACATCATACAATATAGTGTGTGGAATTATATATATATGTATATATATGTATATATATATATAAAGAATTGGTTAATCTAAATTCAGCAATCATACAGAAAGGAATTCTCAGAGTTGTGTAACCAAATGAAAGAAAGGATAAATACATCCAGTTACCAGAATGGGGAAGGAAAGACTGATAACTGCTTCTTTCTGAACACAAATCTAGTTTCAAGCGTTTGATAGAAACTGCTCCGGCAAACAAGGAGAATCAAGCTCCTTTATCTATTAATAATTTTAAAGGATTTTGCGATTTCCACCTCATGACCTGTATCAAGGAGATGCCTGGTAATAGCACGATTATAAGAGTTTCTCCCCTTGAGACGTAGGCTTTTTGGTACATGTTGAGAAAATCGGAGGTGTGCGCTTTTTTCTGTTCTCCAAATGCAACTGCTTCCGCAAATACAAGTAAATTTGTATACTCAGTCAGAGTTAATATGAGAAAGGCATCTATCGATTTCTGATTGCACCAACAAGCATGATGTCCGATAAATGGAAACCAACTTCGCTGCAGGATTGGTTCTCGCTAGGGAGGCATTCAACCTTCCGTCGATTACTCCTGCAATATTTTCACCTTTAAAACCTAGTTGAATGAAGACAGGCTTTTTTCCCGCTGTGATTTGTTTATCATTTCAGCCTTCATATCTTCTGTACTTGTCAATGAATCTCTGGGTGGTAACCGTTGTTTTCAACACCTTTTCGAGAATCAGAATTTCTTCCTCTAATTTATCTGTAGGGCATATTCTCCCGACTGAGTCTATGGGATAGAGTTCTTTCTAGAGCTCGTTTATAGCTGTTTAGACAAAAACTATGTTGGCTTTCAGTAGACTGACCTCTGGAGACTACCATCTTCCAGGCGTTGCGTGACAGTGTTAACGAAATAGGACTTTCCATCATTTTCATATTCCAGAAGTAAATTCAATATTTGTATGTACGTCGTTGAATAATCCAAGTAGGTAAGAAGCATGACTTTCGTTGTTGTAAACTACAAATGTGTCATCTACATATTGGCATGCTTCAGCTTTGTTCTCTCAAGATTGAACATGAAGATATCTGCTAAAACATGTCTACGTGGACTGCCCATAGCTACACCATCTATTTGTCGCTAAAGAGTGTTGTCAAACTGGAATTGCACACCCATGGTATACATTAGCAGTAGGCGTTCGAATTCCAATACTGCAAATGGGAGAAGATCATGATGTAGACAAACGATCTCAACAGATTCATTGATTGAAATTATTATGAACAAGGAAGTTACATTAAATGACGCCGCGAACTTATTTGAAGGGTTCATATGAATCCCGCTTTTGGAAAAATGTAATGAATCTTTCGCGAAGTACAAAGCTAGCCGTTGACAATTCTAAGAAGTCAACGAAATAAATAATAGTATCATTTTATTCTGTTACCCGATCAGCCACAAAAGTACAGAATAATTTATCAGTTGGTGTATTACTTGTACAGTTCAGTTTCAGTAAAACCATACAAATTGATGTTAAAAATCAGATTATTATTATTACTAACTTCCTTCTACACTGAGCTTAATAACCAGCTAGATACTGAAACATCCTCCAATTACAGGTTATTGTAAACCTAAAAACTAATAATAATAAAGCGAAAATATTCATTCAGACATCTATAAAACGCAAAATAATTGAGCAAAGAATATCCTTTCTGACAATTTCCTCTTCCGGCTCTACATATATATATATATATGTAGAGAGAGAGAGAGAATATTCTAGAATAGTAGTCAATAACAATCTTAGTTTTTTATAAATAATATCGATTTGTAAAGTAAGATCAATGGAATTACAGTTCATTAAAGATGCATAAGTTATAATAATAATAATATAATAGCAGATAGAATATCAACTAAAATTAGGAAAATTCCACAAAAATAGAGGATCATTCAAACCTAGATGGTCAAAGTAAAGACAATGTCTGAACTAACTTCTTTTGGATGCACAAATTAGGCTTGTTAATATGGATCCCAACAGCCTCAGCAATATTTAGTAGTCGAACTCTTAATGCGAAGTTAAGATTTATTGGAATGCGATAAATGACTTTGAAAGCCTCGTTGACATAAATCTTGTGTTCTGTATCCACAAGATGAGATAGAATAGCGCTACGAATAGATTTTGTTTGTCCTTTGCTTAACCAGGCAGGGTAATGTTCGGAAATTCGACGAGAAATACACCTAATTGTAGGGCTTATGTAACTGGCTCGACAAGAGCAGTAAAATTGGTAGATACACATGGAAGAGGCGAAATTAGGCAGTTTATTTCTTACTCCCGAACGCAAAAGAGAAGTGGTTTTAAAGACACAGCGTAATTCAGCAGCAGGGAATGCTGTTTTTACCGCATTTCTAAGGCGCTGTCTTAGTATCTCACTGATGTTGTCCCCAAGGAAATGCATTCGTAAGAATAAGGCCTTTTTAGGAACTGTTGGTACCTTGGGCTGCCTTGATTTTAGATTCATATTCTTATCAATGAACTTTTCTGGATAACCGTTTTCACTCAGCAACCGTTTGATATTATTAAGTTCCTCATCAAGACATTCATCCGAGCAGATTGCTCTTGCTCTGTGAACCAAGCACTTTATCAGATTGCGTTTGTATTTTAAGGGCACGAAGCTGAAAAAATGAGTAAACTGACCAGTTGATGTAGGTTTTCTATATACACTCCTTCTTATTGCGCCATCCTCTTTTCTGGTCATAAAGACGTCTAGAAATGAAATACTAGAGTCTTTTTCTTTCTCAATAGTAAAATTTATTGCAGGATGAACCTCGTTAATTTTATCCAGGATGTTCTTTGCTTCCTCCTCATTTTTCATAATCAAAAATGTATCACCCATTTACCGACAATAGAATTCAAGTTCATCAATAACATCTTCCAAAGGCCCATTTTTTAGTTTCGCAAAGAAAATGTCGGCTAGAATGGGTCCTAGTGGTGACCCCATTGCCACACTTTCGATTTGTCTATATACATATACATATATATATATATATATTCACATATACATATACATTGATATCTTTGTCATTTTATTTTATGAACATCAGAATCACATTTGAAATGCCAGAATCTGGAGGAATATTCGGGAGTTGTGAAATTCAACCAGCTAAATTACTTCGTTATCAAACATCGTTGGATTACTTTGTTTTAGCCTGTGAAATAATGTACCTAGCATTCCTTGTGTATTATATTATTGAAGAAATAATTGAAGTGAGATGTCTTCTTTTATTAAATAAAATGAAATTATCAAGTTATTTGTGTATGATAAAATTGTACATTGACTATGTATTTCTGGTGTTTACAGGTTACCTATTTCGAAACATGAACACTATGTGATATGAGATGTTTTAGTAGGAAATCGATTTATTTCAGGTTTAGTCACGGATCGATATCAGTTAGAGAACCGTTGAAAACTAGCGTGGAATGCTGGACAGCTGTTTCGTCAGCCTAGTTTGGAACTTATCGGAAGTACATACCAACCACCAGAGTCCGAAAAACAGGACCTACCCATTACAAGTCAATCTCACGGACCATTCAACCACTGGATCCTGATTCAATAACCCATTATTTTTAGCACAACTACCAGCCAGTGTCACTGGCGAGTATCTGCCCTCACTCCTGACAGGATGGCCCCCAACGGAACTCCAAGCAACTCTGTCCTGTAGCCAGTCACTAACGAGCATCAGATTAATTTCTAAGAGTTTGTTTGCAGGGATTTAATTTTTTTCATGAATTGGTAGATGTTCAAATTCATGGGCTGGCCATCCAGTTGGATCCCAGTGGCCGAATGATCCGCAAGCTTGACTCGCACCTGGAAGGTTCTGGGTTCGAATACCGACGGCTGGTACGTACTTCCCTAACTATGATGAAACAGCTGTTCAGCACCACATGCTGGTTTTCAATGGTCCTCCCCTGATATCAATCCACGATCAAACCTAAAAGAAAGTGACTAGTATTCCTTCAATTTGTTCCGTTTGGTCTTTCTTGCTACTTTCTTTTGAAAATTTGTTTTCATCTGAGATTTTATTTATTTCTTTATTTTTGGTTACAGCTTGATGCCACACCGTATTTTCAGTACAAGTATGGAATTTTCAGCATGAATATCGGTAGCCCAAATTTTGCAGGCCGACCATAGATATCGAGTGTGCGTCAGCAGGGGATCGAACCTCGGACCATGTGCATGGTCGGCGAGAGTCCTAAACACTGTGCCACCGACGCACATTTTATCAATGTATTCTTGGCGATCCATCAGGAAAAATTGATTAGCAAGCTAGTTGTCTTTTTAACGACTTCAAAAAGGGCAATACTGCCATAAATTTTTGCAAACATTTGAGTGAAGTTCCGTGCAGTAGACTATGAAGGATAATATATACTTTAGACGGTTGGATACAATCATCAGGAAAACAGTGAAGCTAGTTAGCTATTCACTGAACGGCCCAATGGTAATATCTCTGACTAAAACGCATTGGCTGACGCACTTCCAGATCTCATACGTGACACTGGTCCCTTCAGCGTTGCAAATGTGCCGTCCTAACAAGTGCCAATAGGTAAAAAATTAAGATTCACAGTTTCATGCTGATTGTCTTTATTCATCTAACAATATTTTGCAAAATGTATCGCTATGTTGAGTCGTTTAGACTACTGGCGTCATTGTAAATTGACTGGAAGAATTCACTCAACATGAATACTAAGCACTAAACACATGAGTTTGGTTACCTCCCAAAGATATATCAAGATAACAGTTACAAGTATGTGTTATGGCCCTGAATTAACACAGTACTATAAATGCAATGGATTAGGATTCAAATGTGAAATGAGATTCTCTTCAGGTATACTGTCCACAATATAAGAATAGAACTTGTGCACTGTGGTAGAGTATAATTCGATTGTGGGTAAAATTTATTTTGATAAAGTCTCACAGTGTTATCCGGCAATATATACTGATGACCACGTTTCGAGCACAATTTTTTACTGCAGCCCATAATCATATCAAGGTACTCACACAGATTTCTAACTTCGTTTATACAATTCCCTTATTTTTCATCACTTGAATTGATTGGTAGTAGTATTTTCCATATTTCTGGTATGAGTGACGAGTCATCCCTGTTGCACATGTTGGAGTGTAGAATCGATGAACCAGGCAGGATTCAGTAATCAACCTCTCTCTCTCTCCCCATCTACCTACATTACTTTTTAGAATTTTAACTCTTTCCCACCCCATTGTGTGTTAATGCATGCAGTGCAATTGCTGAGCTTTTTCTAAATTACTCATCTTCGCAGGGTGAAATATTCTAACCTTAGCTAAATTTTTAATGTTCTGATAATGTGACTACCGCCGACCTACTAGTTTGATCTATGTCCTTTAACCTACAGAGTCTGTTCGCAAGTTAAATCATGTGCTCATGCTAATATTTACAATAAAGTTGGCTTCAATATTATTATACATGTTAAAACTAAGTGTAGTAAGTATCGGTCAGAATTAAACTGAACTGAAGGACTCATTTTATAGTTTGAAACTGGCATTTTGGAACGCATAAAAACATTTCACGAACAAATATTAGTTGGACAGCCACTGAAAACCAGGAAGTTCCAGGCAGCTGTTTTGTCCTAGTTTGAGACTCCGCATCATTACTGGCCTATGCCTCACTGGAAATCGGACCCACGACCTTCAGACTGGGAGGCAAGTTTGCTGGCCATTCGCAACCACTATTATGGAATCCGATGACACATGACGTCTAACTTCTGCCAATTCACTTTTCACTTTTTGAGGAAGACTAAGAATCTTTCATTACGGTTTCTCATTGACATATGTTCGTAGTGATACTATTTTATTTGAGCTCTGAAAGGCAGGCTGGTCCCCGGCACAATCCTCAGTTTCCTCTGTTTTCTGTCTTAGGAATAATACCTGGCACTATTATAGTGAAGATCTATCGCCAATTTTAATACAGTGGACCATTTAAGTAGAGCTGCCTTCTAACTGTTATAAGTCTGATTGAAAGTATTAAGAGTATTCTGCATAAAAATCGACTACAACCGTCGACATTTTGACTATAATTAGAGTTTTTGACACACACTTTATGCTACAGTTTATGAATAGCTTTTATCCCTTCATTTACCAATAGGACAAAAATTAGATCCTGTTAAGCCTATCTTTGTCTCTAGCCACACTACTAACTACCCATACAAAAACTTGAAGAATCTTAACTACATTGATGATATATATCTGATTTCACACAAACTGGAAGATATCCAAGTGAGAGAGAAAAAAAACAAGTCGGCGATAGGAGAAATATCCAGAGAAGAAGGGACTTCAGGTGAACTTAGAGAAAACAGAAGTGGTGAAGATTCCTGGCCAACACCAACAGCAACTGCAGCAACAACAGACAGCAGTCAGCATAAATGGGAGAAGTGTGAAAGAAGCAACCTCCTTCAACTGCACACCTAAATACCTACCTACCTGGGAAGCATCGCTTCAACTACAGACCGACGGAACTGATGAAGATATCAAAGCGAAAATCGAGAAAGCAAGGGAAGCTTCCAAGTCTGTGTGGAGATCAACAGCACTCAGGATGAAAATTAAGATTCGAATTTTCAATTCCAGTGTGAAATCAGTCAGCGCTACTCACTATACGGATCACAGACTTGGCGCCGCGTCACCAAGGCCAATTCGAACAAACTACAGAGCTTCATCAACAGCCGCCTTCACATGCTCCATACTCAACATCAGATGGCCGGCCAGAAAAGATCAGCGACAGGGTGGGATCTCTGGCAATGAACGAACCACCCAACCAGGAACCAATTGTGCTGGAAGAAATGGCTGCCCATACTCTGGGAAAACAAACCATAAAGTGAGTGACAGTCACACGCCAAGCTCTCTCTCGAGTAGGATCCGAATGGGAAGCGGCGAGTTGGTTGTCAGTGTGAGGGTGACATGGAGGAGGTCATGTGAGGAGGAGGTGAAAGCATTTTGGCAGACGTGGAGCCTGGTGAAAACGTTGGCAGAGAACCGAATGCAATGGAGACGTGCTACTGAAGCCCTATATTCCTCTAGGAACTAAAGGAGACATTAATAATAATACTGCAGTTCGGAACGTTGTGTTCGGAAAGAAGGTCACTAGCGAACAGATAAGTCACTTCATAAATTTGCTAAGTGATCTACTGAAACATGTCAGCTGTTTTCATGGCGAACACAACTGTCATGCAGTTTAGCAGTCAAACTTCTTACACAGATAGATTCACTCTTTTTACTTTTTATTCACTTACATCCTATGTCCTTGCTTCATTGATATTGCTTTTCTTATCGTTTATTTGAATAATACTCCAGTTCTCTTTGTTCTTATAATTTAATACTGTTGCACAAAAGTCACGTTTGTGTAAACTGTCCCACGTTGTTGTACCTGTCTGTCTCAAATCAATCCTGTGACATTCCCACTCTAAGAAAAATATAGATAAAGGAATTATTTAATACTTTTAGTTATCATTACCATTTATTTGTAGACTAATTGACTGGAGATGCTTGAAATATTTCAGGAGAATGTAGGATTTCTCATTCCTTTAAGTCCCGAGTGGGACATAGCATTTCAAGCACGAAGCCTTGAAAATTCAGTAGCTATGCTGTTGTTTTTACAGTATGAGGTTGCTAACCTCACGTTCAGCCTTCCCAGATTCTTGAGCTAACTATCGGCTGACGAAATAGGCAAGGTTGGACACAAGTAACTACTGTGATTTTTCTAGTCCTTTCTTTGGTGCAGACTGAATTCTATCAGTCAGTCAGGTTTGCAATGTCGATTGCCTCCAACCATCTAATATCATCAAATCACTGTGATGGCAAGCTACCTAGAATGGTGGCCACACCGCGAACTTGACTGATAGAATTCAATCTGCACCAAAGAAAGGACTAGACACATCACACTGGTTACTAGTGTCCAATCAAAGTATCCAATACAGTCCTACAGAAGGTCAATCGTGAGCCCGAATAGCTCAGTGGTAACGTCTCTGACTGCAGCGCTCATTGGGTGACATGGGTTGGAATCTCAGAAGGGACATGAGTTCCTTCAAGGTTGCAGATACGCCTTACTGACTAGTGAGTGCCAACTAGCACGAAACCTAGGTCAAGCAAGGCTTCCTGCCGATTGCCTCCAACCATCTAGACTAGGCAAGGTTCAAGAGTCCGTCTGCCGGGAATCAAACTCTGGATCACGTGTCTAGTTAGCAAGTATTCTGCTACTGAGTCGCAGACATAAAGACCAGGTGCAGCCACCAGCAACTGAACCAGGATCTACTGCTTGGAAATAAGCTATGAGAACTATTACACTACGGTCAGTGGTGGGAGTTTTCATATGAACTTTTGTTTTTTTTAATTGATTTGTAATTGTATATTTTCAATTCTAGTCTTTTTCTTTAACTATTTAACATTATTAAATAGATTTCAGTGAAACGTTGGAAATACTTTTTAAGTGTTTGGAATCTAATGGATGCTGCAATGATTATTATCAGTTTAATATGTGCTGGATTCCTAATATATAGTACTCTAATTGTTGAAAAGAATATGGCTACTTTAATTAATGATGTCAACTCATATCCAAATTTTGATTATCTTGGCTATTGGTATGGTCATTATATAAGAGCTATAGCACTGTGTGTATTCTTGGGGATAATTAAGGTGAGTTATTCTTGGCTTCTTCTGTTTCCTTTGGTTGTAATAAATACATTAGTAGGCATACAACCTAATATACTACTGAAATGGTACTCAAACATAATAATACTTCATGTAATTTAAGAACTTTGTTTATGTTAAGCCATGGTTCAGTAAGTAGTCTAGGTGCTGGAATTCCAAAAGTTGAGTGAAAGGGGTTCAAACTTCTCCCTACCAACTGAGGTTTTACAGAATTCAACAACACTAACAACAACAGGATAGAAGTACTAGTTTAGACTATTGTTGACTTCTGATTGCGAGTCAGGCTGCGGTACCTACTTCAACTATCCTTCTATTACACTGACATTATTCTGTGGTGACATTTCCACGCCAAGTCCTTAAATGAACTGCGAATGAGATGTGGCTGGTTTAGATGTTCAAGGGAGAAATGCAGATCATGTGAGAAGGAAACGGAAGCCTTTGCGTACTGACGAAACCAGTTGAAAGTGACGGAAGAGAACCAAGTACAGTGGAAAGATACTGCTGAAGACCTATATAATGCTCAGAAGGCAAATAATGTAAAGTAATCACATTGTGTTACAAACAAGTATCGACTGGGGAATCTATCACAACTAAATAGCTGTTAGCGCTTAATTTTGAAGTCTACAGAATTGCATAACTGTCTACGGCACTGAATTATAGTGACACTGTGTAGCCAGTAGAAAATATTTAGAAATTATGAACTACTGCTGAAGAGTCCCAAACTGGGACGAAGCAGCTGTCGAGTACTCTGCAGTGATTTTCCAATGGTTCTCTAACTGATTTCAGCTCATGATGAAATTATGTAACCTATGAACTACATTATTGTGACCTAATTGCTGAATGGCAACGTGCCGTTTTTTGGAGTAATCCCATGCGGATTACGAATTAACACTGTGGGGTCTTTTACGCTGTGGCAAATTAGCCATCTAGTATGATGATTATTATATTGAGATTCTTACGAAATATGCTTAATTCAAGTAGTTTTAACAGGAAATAGGATGTATAGTGTACTTGTCTTTTCACAACACTTTTAAAACGATCACTGATACTGTTGTTCATTTGCCTTTTGTTTCTGTCCCGCCCCCTGTCCCCCTTTATTCACACAGATATTCAAATACTTAACTTTTGATAATTCACTGAATCAACTAACAAATACTCTGAGTAACGGGGCTTACGATCTACTTGGATTTCTTGTCATGTTCTGTATCGTTTATTTTGCTTTTGCACAATTGGGTTATTTAGCTTTCAGTGCAAAAACCGTAGCATACAGCTCATTCACTCAAACCACGTAAGTAACATTATTGATATTATTATTATGATATTATTGCCTCCTTTAGTAACTAAAGGAACACAGGGCTTCACCCGCACGTCTCTGTTGCATTTGGTTCTCCACCAACGTTCTCACCTGGCCCCAAGTCTGCCCATATGCTCTCATCTCCTCTTCACATCACCTCCTCCTCCATGTCAACCTCGCACTGATGACCAGCTCGCTGCTTCCTATTTAGATTCCACTCGACCGATAGCATGGCGTGTGATGTCAATTGATGATGGTTTGTTTAATCAGAGTATGGCCAGCCAATCCACTTCCATTTCTTCCTGCATATTTGTTGCACAATTGGTTCCTGGTTGGTTGGTTCATTCATTGCCAGAGATCCCTCCCTGTCGCTGATCTTTTCTGGCCGGCTATCTGATCTCGAGTATTACTGAGGGAACACAGTTGTTGATGAAGGTGTATAGTTTGTTTGAAGTGGCCTCCGTGACGCCTTGGCCAAGTCTCTGATCCGTATAGTGAGTAGCACTGACTGACTTCACACTGGAGTTGGAAATCCGGATCCTATTTCCATTTTCATGCTGAGTAGTGCTGTTGATCTCCACACAGACTTGAAAACTTTGCTTGCTTTCTCGATTCTCCCTTCGATATCCCCATCAGTTGCGTCTGCCTGTAGTTGAAACGATTCTTCCCAGATAGGTAGGTAGGTAGGTAGGTGTGTAGTTGAAGGAGGTTGCTTCTTTCAGATTTTTCCTATTTATGCTGATTGTTGTTTGTTGTTTTTGGTGTTGTTGCTGTTGGCCGGGATTCTTCATGACGTCTGTTTTCTCTATGTACGCCTGAAATCCTTTCTTCTCTGGATGTTTCTCCTATCGCCGACTTGTTTCTTTTCACTTGGATATCTTCCAGTTTGTTTGAAACCAGACATATATCATCGGTGAAGTTCAGATCCTCCAAGTTTTTCTGAAATAATAATAATAAGTTTTAATGATATAATAATTAAAAAACAATAAACTTTACCTAGCATTTTTCTATATTGCCATGTTTCTCTAGTAAAATCTATGAATCCCATTTCTATTTGCTTAAGTGAATTTATATAATGAGTGGTCAGTGCTGAATATATATATATATATATATTCAAATATAGCACTCCTTATTGATCCATTGTGATATATTGTAGTCAAACCGGATAATTTCCCATGACTGGTTAAGATAATATACACGTTGACAGACTTGTCGCATCTTATCACTTGTAAATATATCTTCGAGTTTGCCCACGGATTGATATCAGTTAGAGAACCAGTGAAAACCAGCGGGGAATGCTGGACAGCTCTTTCAACCTAATTTGAGAATCACCGGCAGCACGCAGCCTCTGGGTTTCGAACCCAGGGCCCTTTGGTTGCAAGGCAAGCTAGTATAACGTTCAACCAATGGGACGCGATTCAGTGGCCAGCCCATGAATTCTAACTTCTACCAATTCATGATTTCAGTGCGCGACCAGCAACTAATGTCATCGGTGGGAATTCCGTCCTCACTCCCGACTGGATGGACCTTACTAGGAAAACAAATCTAATCCTTACATATCAACTCTTGAAAAAAGTATATATATCTACCGATTCGCTTGTCTCTGTAAAACAAGATACATGGGTCGTTCAATGCAGTGAGTGTTTTTCATCTGAAAGAGTCAACAGTCACAATGGATCACTGAAGAGTTTTATAGTTTTGATTTTGCGATTGACTGGAATGTTCGACCTCGGTTGGTATGTCGGCTCCTACTGCGGATGCTTCTACGATGCCAATGGATGAAACGTCGTATCCTGAGTTCCACTGCCAGTTGCCATTTACCGAATAACTTCACGAACAAATTCCTCTCAATCTGGTCTCACATAAAAGTGATTGGTAGTTTTAGGCTTGCGAATTCTAAATCAGAAATAATAATGAAATATTTTAAACGCTAAGATTTAGATGACATGAATCATGAGATGTCTAATCAATGAGTGGTACTTTAAAAATAACAGAGAAGATTTCTAACTCAAGTGAATGATTTTGATATGATTCTGTTCTCTAAGCTGATTGGTTTAATTGGAGAATCCTGGTAAGTTCATTTCATATTGAAGATAATGTCCAGAAAGACAATGAAAGCTTTGCCATTTAACCATCCAGGTCAAAGAACACAACCAGGGAGATGAAGTAAATTTTGTAGGAACTCTAATTTTATACTCAACCAACTGTACAACTCAAAAGAAACAAGGTACGGAGTTCAGCATTCCTGCTGACAGAATTTTTGAAATATTTTAAGATAACGTCAAAAACGCTTCAGAAAATAAAAAATATTTCTTTTGAAAGCAGGTAATTTTATATGTAGAAACACTGAGATGCACAGGAACACAGAAACAGCATTTAATCATCTCTACCCACCAGAAATGGACAGAAACACCTAAAGCTCATAGTGTCACGTCAGAAGACAAGACTCGGGCAACAGATCATTTATTGAGAAAATCAACAGATATTTATAGATTTTTATCTAAGTTATTATTCGTTATTGTTAGTAGAGAAGCAACATCTTCTGGTTGGTTGTTTTCCTGTTGAAGGTTATTCTGTCATCATCTCTTCATCACCGTTTCTTAGACAGTCCGGTGGTATATCTGCGAATCGTATCCGCCCACGCTAAGTCTGCCCTGACTGGTTGCTGCGTTCCTCAAGATTAGGCTTTGTTCTTGGTTTTTCTCATGACCAAGATTTGGGACGTAAACATTGACGTAAATTGCTGTCTACCAATTTTGGCTAGCAGAGGGCTCTCACCACAATAGGAGTTGAACATATTATATGTTATGCATTAAATTGCTTTGAATATTTAAATACGTTTCCAATAACTAGAGGTATGTAAACCGACCGCCGGCCAATGGCATAGGTGAGTATTTGTCTTCACGTCCACCTTGGTGACTCCTGCTAAGTGTGACTTCTCACTGGAATTTCAGGCGATTTCATCATCCAGTCAATCACCAGTATTCATCAGACCGACTTTTTAAGTAGTGGTTTGATCACGAAAGGACTTCAGTTAGAGAACCATTGGAAAACCAGCCAGAAGTACTGGATAGCTTTTCAGTCATAGTATGCAACTCTTTAGTTCATTCTGTAACCTGAGGGTCTTGAGTTCAACCGTTGGTGAAGTCATTTATTCATACTCCTGAAGAGTCACAAGGTATGACGAAACAGCTGTCCAGTACTCCCTACTGGCCTTTATTGCTTCTCTAAGTTATAGTCACTTAGTGATCACAGTTGAAATCATTTTAAAAAATGCAAACTAACGCTTGAAAATGAATTTTTATTTTATCAAAAATTGTGATCATAACTCTGAAGTTCAATGAGTAATCTACTAATATGCAGAACGATGATATGTTACAAAAGTTAGATGGGGTAATGTTCATTTTAACAGTCATATCCTTTATGATGAGACATAAAACTTAAGGTGGAATGCGTCTTCGGTAAATGAGTATTGAAACGGATACACAGGTTGAAATCGAAAGGTATTTCAGATAAAATGCCAAATTGTCTCCTGGAAAAACTGTAAGAAAATCCACTGTAATTTAGACCACCTTATCTAAAAAATACTTTCTTTCTACATATTTTTCAAATCAATTCCAAGTGGATCAATGGTCTATGAGCTGAACTTGTAAGCGTATGGCCTTTAGTTCGAATCCCCGTGGGTGTTTACCGCCAAAGAACCCCAAACTAGGATAAAACAACTGTCCACTACTAATTGGTTTTCCAGTGGTCCTCTAACTGGTGTCACCTCGTGGTCTAACCTGTAATTTAAACTTTGTTTAAGATGTTTAACATATTTATGAGTAGTCTAGCTTAAAGCTTTTAGACGTTACACCATAAAAAAGCGGTGAATTACGTGTCCTGAATGAGTTACACCACACACATTTGTACGAAACTTTGAATTTCATATTTTAAGTCCTTACCGAGAAGAATCCCTCACACATAAGATGGCTCGCTAACTTTTTCTACTTACTGATGTAATTTATTTACTACAACTGAAGTGCATTATAATGTATTTCTCTTTTTCAGTTACTCCTTATTTCGTATAATGGTTGGTGATATTGACTTCCCGTCAATTTTACAGGCTCATCCTGTTTTGGGACCATTATTTTTCGTCACTTTCATCTTCTTTGTATTCTTTGTACTGCTGAATATGTTTCTGGCTATAGTTGATGAATCATATAAAGCAACGAAAGCAGAATTAATTAAACAAAAGAATGATTTAACATTGGGTCATATACTTAAAAAAGTAGGTGGTTATGCATTTTCATAATTATTATTATTACGGTTTTATCTTACTTATGAGTAGTGTGAGTTGATAAACGAAATTTTTACAGGGAGTAATTTAGGTGAAGACGAATTTCGACATAAAACTTTTCGCAGAAGTGCAACAGTTCAAATTGTCACACTCAATAGAGCCCACAAATGGTAGAGAAAAGAGACGAATGTATACGGGGGAAATAACAATAACGTGGAAAAACATGAGGGTTTAATCCATCTGCAAGTTTATAAAGAGTGAATGTCTCTGTAACATAGTGAATGATTTTGGTTCAAATCAGAAACTGCCTGCAGTCATTGGTTTTATGGTATCCTGAAGACTCCAAGCAAGCAGTCCACATATCCCCCTATGTCACTGTCTTAAGCCAACTGTCAAGGACTTTATGGATTGTTCTGACCACCCCTAACCACTTCCCAACCTAATTCTATATCCAAGCAAACAGTGCTTGAAGAGGAAGGCAGTAGCTTGTCATTCGCAAGACGTGTCCCAGCCATCTCAATCAATACAGCCTCAAAACCGCATTGATTGACTTCCCTTCCTTACCTAACACTCGACGCCTAACGTCAATACTGCTGACCATATTATACCATTTAACACTAGAAATAAAACTCAAACATCTGTCCTCATGTGTGTTTCGCAAATGAATTTTATTTTCTCTAGAACCCTGATCAACTATGACTCCCGCACTCCGTACAAAAGATATTCACTGATTATATAGCTCAATATGCTACTTGTCTTTAACTACTTCTATTTTCAGTCGTAGAGTTCCTTCTCTGGATACAAATGAGCACTGGGAAGTGGGTGATCAATGACATGGATTAGATATATCTTTCTCAAACGATTAGTTCTAAAAAATTCAGTTACAAACAATAAAGTAAACTTGACTGACAGCAGGCTTTATCCTTTACAGTTGGTCTTCTAGAAATCAGGTATTCGAAATCTTGAAGAGTTGTTTTCCATGGATTTGACTGGTTTCAGGATATCATCATGAACTGATATCGGTTAGAGGACCGTTGGAAAACCTGGGAGCACTGAACAGCTGTTTCGTCCTAGTTTGGGAAACTACATCAGTACGCACCCACTGAGGTTAGAACCCAGGACCTTCTGATTACCAGAATCACGAGATCTCACAGAGCATCATTGAGGGAACACATGAAATTATGAGAATCTGAATGCTGTAACTCAACTAATTAAATTAACTTCTTAACTCCGTAGGATACTTGCTGGGGATGCCTTCTGGTAACCAGACGGTCCTAGATTCGAACCTCACTTGGTGTGTACTGCTGAGGAGTCTAGAACTAGGCTGACGAAACAGCTGTCCAGTACTCCCTGCAGGTTTTCCAATGGTTTTCCAGCCGATGTCAGTTCACGATAAAATCCTGAAACTATTCGAGATCTGTCAGTTACTACAAAAGAACTGTTGGTAGGCAGGCATCCTCAACAAGTATCCCATGGAGTTAACAATTTAGTGTGACTAGTTGAGTTACCGCATTCAGATTCTCATAGTTTCGTGTATTTCCTCAATGTTGCTTTCACTAATCTCGTGATCTCAATGAACCTTCACACGACAACGCTAGGTATCATCCCTGTGCCGAACTAAATGATATGTGTGAAATCATGTACATAATACTGATACTAGAAAACTTTCAAAAGTTACCCAATCTCAGTGATATATATGATTTCCAGTGTGTTCTCAGATATCCTAAACCGCACTATTTCTAGTTAACTGAGAAGCTTTCAAACGTATTTCCCCGATATTAATTTGGCTAATGAATTTATAACATAGTCAAAGCATACCTCTACATTCAACCACTAGGTTGAAAAGCCTTCAGCAAAGAGTTAGTATTCTAAAATAGATTGTTCATTTGTCTTCATTTGAGAGCTAACAGAATATTTCAGACTTCAATAAGTATCTGGAAGCTTTGAACAAGCAATGTTTGTTATAACTTACTGTTCCGTTGGTAGGAAGCGATTTTTAGGTTCATTATTGTCATACTGACGAGACTACTGAGTGTCATCAAGAGTCAGGCCCTAGAGTAGAAACGGAATGGGAAACAACTAGTCGGGAGTTTATTCGAGGTTGATATGGAGAAGATCATGTGAAGAAGAAGAAGAAGTAAAACCTTATGGAGAATCGGGGATCCAACCTAGAAGGATTGCAGAGAACAAGATGAAATGAATATGTGCTGCTGAAGCCTTATTTTCCACTTGGAACACAAGGAACAGTAATATTATATTATTATTGTTTCCTTTAGTTCGTAGAGAAACATATGGCTTGAGTAGCACGTCTCCATTGTATTCGATTGTCCACCAACGTTTTCACCTGACTACACGTCTGCCAACACGCTCCGCCCTTCTCTATGGCGGTGAGACGTGGCCATTGAGAGCGGAAGACATGAAGAGATTGTCTGTTTTTGACCACAGATGTTTACGATCTCTTTCTCGCGTTAAGTGGTATAATAAGGTAAGTAATGTTGACGTCAGGCGTAGAGTGTTGGGCAGAGAGGGAAAATCAATCGAAGAGGCTATGAAGTTACATAGAGTGAGATGGCTAGGTCACGTGCTGTGCATACCTAACCATCACCTCCCCCGACGGGCATTACTAGCTGATATAGGTGCAGGTTGGAAAAGAGTAAGTGGTGGCCAAACAAAAACATGGCATCAATCCATGAAATACTTGACAATTAAACTGAGTCAGGTAGGGAGATGCAGACTTCCGGATTGGGGCCCTCGGAACTCTAAGAATCAATGTCTGGAGACAATAGGTGACATGGCTCAAAATCGTTGTCAATGGCGCAGATGTATTCAGTCTCTGTAATCTTTCATATTCCTTTCTACCATTACTCATTCTGTTTCACTCTTATACTTATCTAAATTCTATTGATTCTCTTCACTCATTTTCCTGTCTACCTTTGTGTGCTATTTGGAACGTGGCAACTCGAACTACTGCACTTCGGTGCCAAGTTCTATGTTGAATCCAGCAGCAGCAGCATCTCCTCTTCACATCACCTCCTTCATATAACGCTCGCACTGACGACCAACTCGCCGCTTCCCATTCGAGTTCCATTCGAATGGTGGCCTGGGGTTTGATGCCACTTGGTGGTTTGTTTTCTCAGAGTATGGCCAGTCAATCCAGCTCCATTTCTTCCTGCATATTTATTGCACGATTGGTCCCCGCTGGGTTGGGTCGCTGGTCTTTTCTAGCTGGTCATCTGATCTTGAGTATTGAGCGAAGAGAGCTGTTGATGAAGGTGTGTAGTTTTTTCATAGTGCCCTTTCATGAAGCGGCGACAATCCTCTGATCCGTATAGTGAGTAGCTCTGACTGACATCACATTGGAGTTGAAAATCCGCATCTTGTTTTTCATGCTAAGGAAGAATATTAATAATGATAATTTCTACAATCACTAGTATATACATTTCTTCGATAGGGATGTTAAATTTATGGGAAAAGGTATTCTACTCTCAACTGTTCTATAGAATTCTTCTAATTATCGTTATTCATGTATGTATATTGTTTAGAAAGCTAAAGATGTAGTTAAACGAGTTCAGAAGAAACGATCCAAATCAATTGTACGCATACTACGTGAAAGTGGACTTATGGGTCTTGAAATGTTACCATATGAATACTATCGTGTAGCATTGAAAAAGTAAGTTAGCAAGTTGTTTCATTAAGGAACTATCCCTCTTTTTTCTTTTACATAAAGCTTACTGAGCATATTCACCAGGAAACTTGTGTATTTTATATGTTGAATATCTTTTCAGTATTATGTAAACTGTACTCACATATTTTTGAGCTGATTAACGTATATGAATCGACCTCTGATTAGTTTGTATCTTAACAGCATACTTAAAATGAGTGCAATTTAATGTGTGTGCGTGTGTGTGTGACAGCTAATTATACCATATGGTTGCCCTTGCCACATTAGGTGAACTTTTAAACTACTCGTTAGACTTCAAGTGCATAGATCGATTAATCATTAGTTTCACCTAGTGTATAACATTCTATTGACTCATGTCAGGCAACTGTTATTATTCAGAATGTGTGACAATGACTACAGAGCAATTAAATTTACCAATAAAATCTTATTTTAGTGATACGTAGACAAGGGAGAAATAATTTCTAGGCTATTTCTTTGAGTGAAACATAGGACTTCAAGTTTCAGCCTAACAGTTTCAGTAGCAGTAGTTCTAGTTGTACGAAGTGGAGTCGCTATCAATCACGTCTAACCTTCCCTTTTTACCGGCCTTATTAGAGGTTTAGAGAGGTTTGAGAGTCATTTTGTCTTGGAAGGAACCCTGGGCCAAGTGCGTGAGTGGCGAGCATTCTACCGCTGAACCACCAACATGTTACTAAAATTAAAAATTATCATATAATTTGAATGCTTAGTTTAAAATCTACAGAAAAATAAATTACAACTAAGAAACTGTCCATAGATTTGTCAAATGGATTATCCATGACCCACACAAAAAACTTGGAGGATCTGAACTTTGCCGATGATATACGTCTGATTTCACACAAACTGGAAGATATCCAAGTGAAAAGCAACAAGCAGGGGATAGAAGAAGCATCACATACAGGACTTCAGGTGAATATAGAAAAACAGAAGTGATGAAGATTCCTGGCCAACAGCAACAGCAACAACAACAGACAACAATCAGCATAAGTGGGAGAAGTTTGAGAGAGGCAACCTCCTTCAACTACCCACCTACCTACCTGGGAAGCATCCTTTCAACTACAGGCGGACGGAACTGATGAAGATATCAAAGCGAGGATCGGGAAAGCAAAGCGAACTTTCATTACTCTCTAGTTTCTTTGGAGGTCGACAGCACTCAGCATGAAAATGAGATCCTGATTTCCAAATCCATTGTGAAGTCAGTGCTACTTTATGGATCAGAGACTAGGCGCGTCATGAAGAGCACCTCAAACAAACTACAGACATTCATCAATGTCTGTCTGTGCTCCAAACTACTCAAGATCAGATGGCCAGAAAAAGTCAGCAACAAAAAGGGAGGAATCTCTGGCAGTGAACGAACCAACCAACCAGGAACCAACTGTGCAACAAATATGCAGGAAAAATGGAGGTGGATTGGCTGGCCATACTCTGAGGAAACAATTCATCATCAATTGACATCACACGCCATGCTATCGCTCGAGTGGAAGCCGAATGGGAAGCGGCGAGTTGGTTGTCAGTGTGAGAGTGACATAGAGGAGGTGGCATGTGAATAGGAGATGAAAGCATGTTGGCAGACGTGGAGCCAGGTGAAAACGTTGGTAGCGAACCGAACGCAATGGATATGTGTGGCTGAGCCCCTGATTTCCTCTAGGAACTGAAGGAAACAACAATAATATATAATAATAATATGACTTGAGAGGTGAGTACTCAGTTACCCGGAAGAGGTCTTTTACGTATCAGGTTATGAGACATGCTTACTGTGTGACAGTCGATAGTAGTAATCAGTTGCCTAGGGTGCAGTAGCTGGAGTGGAATTCAAATTCAGGACCGTGTAATCGAGAGGTCAGGTGCATAAGTCAATGACCGACATCTCTACTCATCTATTGGTTACCCGTCTGACAGTTGAAGAGCTGGGACCTATGACTCACTGGTAAAATGTTCAGTTCCTAGACAAATTCTCAAATTTTATCTGTAAACTGTGAATTTGTAGGTTAGCAGTTAAAAATGTCTCGTCGAAATTCCCCATTAAATGTAAATGATAGCAAAACGGCATTACTTCTATTGGAATATTGGAATGGGTCCTAAGTTGAAGCTTTGCAGAGGCACATTTTACAGAACACGACAAATTTTTGGGGGCTAAAAGAAACTAACTTATCAAGTAAAATACGTCTAAACGAGAAATTAGGCAGTACATTATTTTTGTTACTACATTTGTAGAATGATCATTGATTTATTGGCTGTGAGATATGTATGCCGGACTCAAGACATTCACATTGAAAGGGTAAAGACTGTTGAAAATCACGTTTGTGTTTAACTTTTGATTCATTCATTTCTTTCTTAAAAATAGCATTTATCAAAAAGTTGAAATAAGGGTAGCATATAGCTCTAGAATTATAACTTACTAGTGAGTAGTCTTCTGGCTTTTCTTTTCCTATTTATTATGTGATATCGATCTGTCAAAGTCCAGTAGCTTTTTCTGCAGACCTAATTAGCTGGCCGCACAACTGCCTATAAGCTTACATCTTCTCCTTCTAACACAATCCCCTCCATATTATCCTCGGATACCCAACTCGTCGTTCCTCATTCGGGTTCCATTCGACAGCATGTTACTCAACTGTCTCCACAGTGGGGGACATACTCTTGGTCGGTTCATTGGCTGTCAGAGCTCTTTGTTGCTTAGCCTTTCCATCCGATCTTCAGGGCGGATCAAAGGCAATTATGGATGCAAATCTGAAGGAGCCTATTGGAAATGCCTTTTGTGACAGACTGGCCAAGTTGTCTGAACTTTATCGAGGAAATGACTGAAAATTAGTGTTGAAAATCCGGATCTTGTCTTTTTTTACACTGATTGTATTAGATTTTTACACTGATTTCGAAATTTTCTTTATCGACGAAATCCTTTTCAGAGGCTGTATAGTTGTGTTTATACATACCAAAAAATATACAGTGGTCTATTATTGAGTAATAGAGAGTGACATGATTGATATAATTACTCGGAAGTGGCTTTAGAAGTGAAAGTTAAAAGGTGTAAATTAAGTGGTACTCAGTGGCACAAAGATAGAAATTTGATAAGGTTAAAATTGCTATTGGGTGAGAATAAAGGTATTTGAGTGTCAATTTAACAAGTGTTAAGAGGGTGTGAAAATGTACAAAAGGAACATATGAGAGTGATAATAGTGAATTAATTATTAAAGCAAAAGCAAATTAAAAGTAAAAGAAAAAAACCAAATTCTTTTTAAAGGAAACGACTAGTGAAATATATTTTATTTACAAGGAATGATTAGTGAAGAGGTTAAGACCAAGGTAGAATAAGAGACTGGACAAACTTTTTCTGTATACAGAGTTCAGGGTTGCATTGATGAATTGCCAGAGCCTCCGCCATACACAAAAGCCGAAACCTGACGGTCTTTGTACAATTTGGCTTCACTTTGTAGATGATCTTGGAAGACGATTCTGGTGGAGCTAAGTGGCCTGAGTTCACCAAATGCTCGCAAATTGAGCTAGTAATTGTCCTACATTGTCCTCTTGCTAACCATGCCGGATAATGTTCAGAGGTGCGTTTGGAAAGAGTGAGCTTTGTGCGGCCAATACAACTAGCTCCACACGAGCAAGTGAATTTATAAACACACATTGAGGTAGCCCAAAGCGGCAGTTTATCCTTCACACATCCGTTGATCATTTGTTGGCTGTAGAAATTGATACGTAGCTCAGCCGTAAAGAAGGCTTTCCTCAGTGATCTGCATAAGCGATTTTTTAGGATCTCAGCTGCAGTATCGTCTTTAAATTCAACACTCATAAATAGCAGTTTCTTCGGCACCGTCTGTATTCTTTCAGGTTTTTCCCTTGGCTTCATGTTTTTCTCGATAAATCTTGGAGGATATCCATTCCCTATGAGGACTTGTCTGAGTCGCCCCAGTTCCCCTTCGATTGTATCACTGGAACATATACTCCTACATTCTTGAGGATAAGGAGTGGATCAGGTTTCTCTTTCTTCTCAAAGGGACCCGACTATGGAAATTTGTGTACTGACCATTCCAAGTTGGTTTCCTGTTGGTTGATTTCGAAATAATTAAGGATTGTCTGACTTATTCGATACTGCTTTTGATATCCTCAGCTGTTCTGTATGTAGTTAAAACCAGAACGATGTATATAGAGTAGTCAGGTGAGGGATTCTAACGAAACTTAGTGAATTCATTAAATCCCTGTTTTATCAATATTTGTTAGTTGCTTTAAATTCATTATCGCGAAATACATCTTTCCAAGAGACAAATTAATTTTTAATTTTCATTCTTAAATACATACTACCAACAAACCTCGTAGGAATTGGAAAGATTCCATGAAATATACAAAATCGATTATTTCTAAGGTTTTCATACAATGATTCCCTTTTATAAATTTGAACAAAGAGAGAAGAAACACTGGCGCAGAATAATCTGGATCCATTTTATTTCATGGGTTCTCATCATCTGCGTACAACCTGAATTTTTGTTATTAAAAATAAATAGTGTACAATTTTTAACAAACCTTTGTCCATTAGTAAGCATAGTGTCAGAGCGTCATAGTAAAATAAGGCATTGAGATTTACAGGGTGTCTAAAGTGTCACGACATGTATATATATATATATCTTGGTAGAGAGAAGTTTCCTGAAAAAAAATTGGTTAACAGTTGTGTTGTTAGGGTGGTAACAAAAGACAATTAGCAATAGTTACGTAATTAGATAAGAGAAGATCAAAATTTTCTAAAATTGCGGTGCACATGAGGTCAGATGAGAAGTTGGTGATGTAATACAGTGAGCAGAACTCAGAAGATCAAGAAAAATTACCTCTTAAGAGAGTCAAACGAAACATAAAGGGGAGGAGTGGAGTGAAAAGATAAGTTAACAAAATTAGCAAACAAAGAGTTACTAAGAAGTCAGTTACTAGCATAATTGAAGTCAAACGACGGATGCTTTTGGACACATAAGTCAGGCTTA